ACCTTACCTTGCCCTTATAGCTAAGTCTCCATAGCTGATAGTACTCAACCATCTGATGAGTGACTATAGGAAAAAACTGCTACTAAGATGTTGCTTTATTAGCTACCTCTACCGTACTCTGATTGGACAATGAAGGAGCCACATATTATTGATCACACCATTCCTTCCTGTAAACATGCTTCATACCTATGTGGCATATTCATCTTTAGAAGCTATATTATTCAGAGACATCCTAATTCATCAACCCCCTAAAATGGCTTGACAGAATTTAGGCATGTTTCTTTGTTATGTAATATCTTTCTTTGAGACCTACAAATACTGTACTATTTTTGATATGTTGCTGAGTAAAAGGCTCTTCCTGAATGATTAGCTGTATGCATGATTAGAATTATTGCTTTTAGCGCATGCCTCTTGGAATTCTGAAGTACAATTACTATAATTAAAGAGACATTATTATAATTGGCATTAAAACCCCAGTATTTGCTGGTGTCAGGTACTAGAGGCGACGGTGACATCACTCCTTCTATGATATGACAGTGCTTGTTCCTATAGTAGAGCATAATTTTTTATTTATATTTTTTAATAACAGTAAATACAGAGCTGATAGACAGAATGCAGTGTCACATGCAGAGAGGAGAGACATTTTTATATGCATTTTTGATCAGGAGCTCTGCCTAGTTATGATAAACTTGTCTTTGATTTCACAAAGACATGCAACTGAATTTTAGTTGTAATGTGTTGGGGAAAAAATTTGCTCTATTCATTGTACACACAGATCATATATTTCCTAATATCAGGACAAATGGATTAGAGGGATCTATTACTGAAAACCTGAGGGTGGTGAATGGATGGTAAAATACTTATATTATTTCCTGTACTATATTAAGACAAATAAAAGTAGAATTGTGGATAGTACATTTATTAACTGATACATATTTTCTGCTTTATATTATTAGCGTTAGTGCTATTTTTTATTTTGTTTTTAGATGACTCTTGACAAGATGTATATTGCAAGTCACCGGTACCACCAAGCAGTGCAGTCTGCATCTGACTGGCTTGAAGAAGCACAGGAATTACTCCAACAAAATGAAACTGGCGTGGATATTGAGGTAGCTGAAGAAAGTCTTAAAGTCTATACAGAGTTCTTTAGCACAGAAAGCAAATTCAATGGACTTTTAGATGAACTGCGGACTCTGGTATCTGAACTTGAAGCTTTTGTGCACAAATCTGGACAAGATTATTTGAAAGAAGCTGTAGCTTCTCTGAAAAGGAAAGGAAAAGAAGCCAAAGAGCAAGCCCAACTTCAGTTAGACTTGCTGAGAAGGTATTATGGCTATTCTTCTTGTATGTGATTGGGGTGTTTAACATCAACTTTAAATATAAAATGACTCCACAACTGCTAAATGCAGTTGAGTTAAACTGCAACTTTACTCAAATCAATCAATACCGTGACTAATAAACCTGGACAGGTCCATGCATACAAAGACCAATGAAATGTGATTAGTTTTTCTGCAAGAAATTTGATACATTTTTATTGAAAATTTTAAAAAGTTAATTAGGTTTATGATATTGTTCTGCACTTCACATCTGATGTGAATTTGTTGATCATAGATGCACTGTCCAGTGGAATTTATACCAAGAGGAAAGACAACAGGTTATTATGTCTTTAAATGAGGCTGAGAAAAAAGTTGTCTAAGTTTTCTGTGGTTAGAGATGCTTCGTGTCCCAAAGCTGAAGAGAATCTTCTGGCTCACAAGGTAAGTGGCATAAGTGCGTATGGTATCTTCTTGGGTACTGAGCTAAGGATGAGCTTCAACCAGAAAAGACACATACAGTAAATCAGATGTTATTATGTTCAAATATTTCAAAATAGTATCCAAAAAGTGTGACCGGCAACCACAAGTTAGTGATCTTGATTTCAAATTAAAATTGCACACTTCCTCCAAGAGGGATAAAATCATGATGCATGGTATCAATACAGGGAATCAACTTACTGTATGTCATCACATAAACTGGCTTTTTTAAAGTAAAAAAAAAGTATCAGCAAACTGACATATTTTTGTCCCCACATTTTACATTTGATGATGCTAAACCATTGATTTTCTCAATCATTATCCACTGATTCCTATGGAGGATGCAGTATCTATGTGCACACATTTTCATTTTATGCGATGTCTTGCAAATGAGGATTTTAGCCAAATCCAATAGTTGTTCTTGTCTTTTCAACATTCATTTGGAAAAGTGTAAACACAAAGCTTTACCTCTATGTTAAGAAAATAACTTGTTTTCCTTAAAATACACAGAGGGACAGTCCCACTGACATGGGTGTCCTCAGCCTATGTAGGTAGGGTTGTATACCCAGTATTCCCAAAAGAAACATGTTATTTGAAACCAAAAAATTCAGGATGTACTTGGCCGAAAACTGAAACTGAAATGTTTGTGAAGGTGGGGAGGCTCAGTTTTTTTTGTATTTTTTTTTTACTTTTAATGTGTGTTTTCATTTATTTTTTTTTTAACTTATGTTATTTCTATCACATAGGGGACCAATAGTCCCCTATGTGATAGCATATAAGTGACAGGTCCTCTTTGTGGGGGGCAGTGTGTACAAGGAGGGGGCAGGAGAGGAGCAGTGTATACAGTGAGAGAGCAGTATATACAGTCAGGCTCCCTCACTTGCCGCCGCTAAATGTCATTGCCGTTTTTTTTAAATGCAATTGCCAGCTTTTTTTTTTCTTCACTTTACAGCTCCAAGAAGGCATTCGCCCCACCACTAAAGTAAGCAAAGGGGCAGGGTCAATTGGTAATGTCACTGGGTGACCCCAACTCTTTGTTTACTTTAGCAGTGGGGTGAATGACAGCTCCTTCTTGGAGCAATAGTGAAGAAATAAAAAAGCTGGCAATTGCATTTAAAAACCATCAATAACAAATAGCCGAAATGGCTATTTTCAGCTGATATGTTTTGGCTGTCGAAATTTCAGTGCATCCCTCATTGTATTTTATTATTTAACAACTAAGTGCTTTCCAGGTCCATAGCCATGGCACAGTCATAAATGTGACCCTGAGAAGACTCACTTAGTGAGTGAGGCTGGTTGGGTGAAAGCACCTGTTTTACCTCACTATTTGCACAGCTGGGTGCCTTTTTTAAAATTCTCAATATCACCAGTTTTACAGTGGTGCGGGCTGTGCTTACATCATCTACGTGGTGGAGCGCATGCAAGCTTTTTGTATGTCCACTCTAGTGACTTTTCCTGGCATTCCCATTGTGGAACACACGGATTTACCTACTTGAAATTAGTCAGCTTCTGTACCTATGCAGTGAGAGCTTTTCTGAAGGTTGTAACAACTGCAAGCTTTGACCGAATAGGGCATCATATTTGTCTAGTGATGGTAATTAGTCACCAAAGGGCAAGGCAGTTCAGCTCAAATCTCCGCTAAAGAAGTCTGCACCCTGTGGGTCATTGGTCCCTTTCAAAGACATTCCCCCTAAATTTCCCTTTAGGGGCTTGTAGAGTATTAAGAAAATACCCTCCTTACTTAGTCTCCCCCTCTCTCATTGACTCTTGTTCCCTTTCTGCTTCCCCATCAATTCCTGGGACTTTGCACTCAAGTTTGAGGCATGACCCCTATTTCTCTTAGGGTAAAAGGTTTACAAAGGGGCACTCCACTTTCAGGATTGTCCCTATACCGAGGGCTTATGTGTGTTTCCTCAGATCAGTTGGCCCCATTTCATCAAGGGATCCCATTTTGACCTAAAATTCGCTGGACATCACTTAGGGTTTTTAAGACATTTTTAAAAGGTTTGGAAGTTGTCCCTGTAATTGGACAAGTAACCCGGTCCGTACGCTGGACAAATGCTACTCCTGACCACACTGTCTTCCTTAGAGAATATCTGGCTCTCTCCAACCAGTAGTCTACACATTGGAGATAGAGGTTCGTGCACCTAGGTGCTCCTCATCTCCTGCTTTGCAGGAATAAACCATCACTTGGGGCCTCGTGTTTCAGTGGAATGTCAGTAGGCAGAACATGCTGGAATTCTGCTGCCGGTATCCCCTGTTAGGGATAAAGCATGTCTGAGGCCTTTGTGGGACCTGATCACCTAGAGATAGGTTCTCCCCCTGTGGTTGATCTTCAGCTTCTTGGGGAAGTGCCTCCAGATCCCATCATCAGGTCTGTTGCTAATCATGTGAATGTTCACAGCTGTTTGGTTAAGGTTTCTGTCCCTTGTTCTATGGCTATGGATGCTTCACTCAGATGGAGGGGTCAAAAGATTCCCTGAATCCCAAGGGTAAGAAATGTAAGCCCACCCTTCACTTAGACTGCTTTAGGGCATCCTGACAGTTTGTGAATTCATTTGTCCCTCATTGCATGGCAAATGAAATAGGATTTTTGTACATAGCATACAATCATTTTTTAAAGTTCATTGAGCAACACAGGTTTCACCCCTTTGTGTTATTTGACATAGAAAAGCGCTTATACAAATATTGGTATTCATAAAATGTCACTCCTGCTGTCTTTTGCCCTGATACTCCTTGTTCCTTTGGGCCTCTAGGAAAAGTAATGAAAGGAGATGTGAAAGAAAATTTGAATAGTGTAGATATTATCTGACTGCTGAACATTTTTTTATATACTCTTTCTATTAACATGCTCACTAATGCTTATGGAAACGGGATTAGTAATGTCCACACATCCCAATAGATGGTAGATATATCCTAGAGGGGAACAATAACAGCTGGACAAAAAAATCCAGTTTAGGATATCATCAGTCCTCCCTAGCAAAAATGTTTGATCTATGTGAACCTTTGGTGATTGTAATGAGCACCATCTCAAACAAAGATATGTTGCACCCTAAAAAGAATGTGGGAAAATTAAGTGTTAAATTTTTTTTTTTATATGGAGCCACCTCTAATTACCCCAAACTGTTATTAACTTTGTAGACTTTGGTAACACTGGTGAATTCTTTCCATGAGAAAATCACAGCTCTTGAGGAGAAGGCATCAGCAATGGAAAAACTAGGGGATAACGCAACCAAAGCAACCATCAGCAAGTCAATGACAACAGTATGGCAGAGATGGACCAGACTCCCGCAGTACAGCACGTGAGCAGGAGAAGATACTGGAAGAGGCTGTACAGGAATGGAAAAATCTCAGTGATAAGGTACCAGCTGTTGGTATGGGAGCTGTGTAATCATACCTTTTAATCAAAAATTACTTTAATGTGAAACTGTTTTTAGCGAGTACTTGTTGGGGGGGGGGGTATTTTAACATTTATCTTGTAAATTTCAGGTGAAGTGTCACTTGATTGTCCTGAATACCTGTTCTGTATTTTGAGAACTGTATTGCATTAATTTGTAAATGCTTCTTCCAGTGGTCATCTCATATAAGGAATGTGATTTAGGTCTACTTACTAACAGTTGTAATTTAAAAATTAAACAATGTTAGGCTCAAAACATCTGTATTAGGTAAAAGAGAGACTCACTTTTCCTATTTAAAGTCCCACTCCATTGGCAAGGTGTACTCTCCTGTACAAAATCCCATACGTCTGAGGTTTTAATGAGTTTTGATTTGGGTGTTCTCAGAAAGAGGTGTAAGTAAGCAGGATGCTTAAGCTGTCTGGTTTGCATTTTCAGATACAGGAATCCACCTTGGCAATTGATCAGCTTCAGGAACGCCTACCAGAGAGCTCCACAGAAAAGGCCACGAAAGCTGAACTAATAGAGCTACTGGAAAACCATGAAACCTTCTCTCGTCAGTTGGAGAAGGAGTTCTCAGCAGTCAATCGGCTTAGACAGCATGCACTGAATACTGTCTTGCGAGATGCTGCATCTGAACCAGCTGCCTTTGAAGACCTGCCAGTCATTCAAGAAATTAAAGCCATGCTTGACAGATGTTCAAAGTAAGGAATCTGTACTTGGAAATGTAGCTATAGCAAATATTAATTTGAGGTTAAAATAGACATTAACTCAGTCACTTAAATCTCATATAATTTTTAACATGTAATTTAAAAATAGTTTTCAATCTTTTAAAAATATGCAGCTTTCATTAAAATATGGACAATATTGTATAGACATCCTGGGATAAAGTGGCTTTTCAGGAACTTCCTGTGATAGGGTGACAACACTGTCCCAGTCTCCCGGCTGCAGTCCTGAATATCACACTGTTATGTGCACTTCTGGTGGAGACTATAAGCATCTTTGCCATCACACATGCTCTGCAGTTCTCACTGTCTGGAAGCTAGAGAGTGTCGATATTCAGCTGATACTGGAGAACACGCATGCTGTACTTTGAAGCAGGACAATTGATAAAAATAGGTTGTTATATGCAACAACCCCTTTTTACTGAAGTTTTTCTATTTCAACTACAAAACTCTTAAAGCAGACCTTGCAGCACAGTGCAAGGTCCTCATATAATACCCAGGCTCCATTTCCTTTTAAAAATTCATCTATTTCAAAATGTACCAGTCAATACAAATGTTAGATTTATGCTTACCTTACCCTCATCTTCTGCATCACTGCATGTGATATCAACATCCTTCTGATAAGACTCCTGCGGGAAGATTCTGGAAATATTCTTCTTGCGGGATTTGGACTGCTTGTATTTCCCAACATGTAGTCAAAAGAAATATGATGTCATCCTTGTCTAGGCACCGTATGTGGAAGACTGGTGTATAGTAAATTTAAATCTAGTGTTTTTCTGTACAGTACAAGGACATTTTGGAATGACTAACATTGGGTGTTTTTAAAAGGTGGGAGAGCCCCGACAATGAAAACATACCTTGCATTTTACTGCATGGTCCACTTTAAGCAATAGGTATACAGTATATGTGCCATGCATACAAGCAGGACCGAAGTTCATTTGTGTTTCCCCTAAGGTCAGTTTTTGTGGGGCTCATGTACAGTAACTTTTGTTTGCATGTTTCTTGGCCACACAAGTTAATGTGAATGCAAAAGCAAGTGGATTCAGCTCAGAAGCAGCTTGCAGTAAATCCTTGAGGAACGGACAGGCAAAACAGGAGTCAATACAACTGAAAGGCACCTAAATACATACTACATATGACTTGCTTCTGTGCCTTATTTTATTTGCATGGGCCCTTATTTTGACTTTTCTATATCTTGAAATTTTACAGACTCATTTTATATAATTTCCATAGCTAAAGATCTTATGATTTATACATTTATACTTGCATGCTAACAAGCGAATAAAGTGATAATAAATATAAATGAGATGGTGCCACCTGAAATGCATCACCTCTAGACTTCAGCCCATGTGGACTTTCAACAAGTCAGGAACTTCTTTGTGTCAACAATTACCCCAAGCTTAATCACCAGCTTTTTGATTGGGTTTTCTAATAACTAACTTAACAGCTTATACACAACTGTGGAAAATTAAATTGTGCATAAATCATATTTCATGTTTGTCATTCATGATGGTTTCTTAAAGTATGCAGCAGAAATTAAAGAAGAGCAAGAAGCTTGTAGAGCAGGAATTGAAGGAAAGGGAGGATGTGGAGAAGGAGCTGAATGCAGTTAAAACCTGGATCAAGGATACTAAGGCCAGTCTACTGAACCCTGCATCAGAAATGGACATGCAGATAGAAGATTGGCAGGTACCCTATTGTGGGAAAGTTAATGCTGAAGTTTAAAATTGCTTATATTTTGCCTTCTCTGGTTCCTCCCTCCACATGAACACGCTAGTGGCGTTTTTAATAAAAATCATTCATTTTCATTACACACTTCATTTTAGGTCAACGGATGCTAAAACTGGGTTCTCTATGCTTCTTTATGTGATAGAGGCTTCATGGCTGGTGGGAGGGGGCTGGCAGGGTACAGTACATTGTTTCCTGAAAATATCACCTTGCCTCGGTATGCCTGTCAATAGCCCTCATTCCTGATGTAATCTATATCAAAATGCCTTGATGAGTGGATGTCAGTCTGGAGGAGTGATTTCTAAGCAAGCTGTATTTACAAGCAGAACCTCCAGAAGATTTACCCCCCTTCCTGACCAGGCCATTTTTTTGCGATACGGTGCTGCGTTAATTTAACTGACAATTGCGTGGTCATGCAATGCTGTACCCAAATTAAATTTATGTCCTTTTTTCACACAAATAGAGGTTTCTTTTGGTGGTATTTGTTCAGCACTGCAGTTTTTACTTTTTGCGCTATAAACAAAACAAGACTGACAATTTTGAAAAGATACAATTATTTTTATTTTCTGCTATAAACAGATCAAATAAAGAAAAAATAAAAAATAAAATTGCTCCATAAATTTAGACCAAAATGTATTCTGCTACATATTTTTGGTAAAAAAAACATCCCAATAATTGTATGTTGATTAGTTTGCGCAAAAGTTATAGCGTCTACAAACTATGGTACATATATTGGACATTTTTATTTTTTTAAACTAGTAATGGCGGCGATCAGTGACTTATACTGGGACTGCGATATTCCGGCGGACATTTTTACACTAACTGACACTTTTTGGGAACCAGTGACACTAATACAGTGATCAATGCTAAAAATATATGCACTGACACTGTACTAATGACACTGGCTGGGAAGGGGTTAACATCTAGAGTGGGTTAAGAGTGTGCCTAGCTATGTGCTTGGTGTACAATAGGTACGACTTTTCGTATGGGAAGTGATGGATCATGTTCTCAGCTCTACAGAGAGAAACGATTTATGACATAGCTCTGTTCTTCCTCCCTGACCAACGATCTGCAGGTGCTTGCAGATCATTTTGTGCTGTGACACTCCACAGCCGAAGATTTCCTCTGGCGGTGTGTGTCCACCCCCCCGTGTGGTGGAAGCGCAAAATTACGTTTATATACGTGATTTTGCACAGGAATGCTACCCTGTAGCAGTAAAACTGTTATAGGGCAGAGGGAAAGTGGTCGTGTAACACCCACATGTGATGATGAGCCTCCATGCGTGAAAGAGCTGAAATCAAATGAATGAAAGGGATGGACCATGGGCAGTAAGACAGGAGAGGAAAGGGCTAGGTGATGCTAGCTGATCTTTTGCTAGGAAATAGTGTGGGCTATATCTGATTTCCTGCAGCTTTTATTGCACATTGTTGGAGGTTCACATTGTGCAGTGAAATTGGATTAATCATCTTTCAATACAACTGTGCAAGACTCAATGAAAGATTTACAATAATCAACCATAACATTATTACCACCGACAAGTGGATAACATTGATTAGCTCGTTACATTGGTTCCTGAAAGTGGGTGGGATATATTAGGCAGCAAGTGAACATGTTGTCCCTGAAGTTGATGTGTTGAAAGCATAAATAATAGGCAAACGTAAGGATTTGATCAACTTTGACAAAGGCCAAATTGTAATGGTTAGACATATGAGTCAGAGCAACTCCAAAACTGAAGCTCTTGTGGGATGTTGATGGTCTACAGTGGTCAGGATCTACCAAAAATGGTCTAAGGAAGGAAAAACAGTGACAGGGCCATGGGTGTCCAAGGCTTATTTATGTACCTAGGGAGCGAAGGCTGGCCTATGTAGTCTATTCCAATGGAAGAGCAACTGTAGCTCAAAGTGCCAAAAAGTTAATCTGGTTACAATAGAAAGGTGTCAGAACACACAGTGCATCACAGTTTGTTGCATATGGAGATGTGTAGCTGCAGACTGGTCAGGGTGCCCATACTGACCTATGTCCACAGCCAAAAGTGCCTGCAATTGGCACAGGAGCACGAGAAAAGGAAGAATGTGGCCTGATCTGATGAATCATGTATTCTTTTACATCATGTGGATGGCTGGGGGTGTGTGCTTTGCTTACCTGGGGAATAGATAACACCAGGATGCACCATGGGAAGAAGGCAAGCCAGTGGAGGCAGTGTGATGTTTTGGGCAATGTTCTGCTGGGAAACCTTGGGTGCTGCCATTCATGTTGATGCTACTTTGCATTCCATATCTAATGTAAAGTAGGGAAAGAGTCAGTGCTAGAGAAAATAGAGGCAGCTGGCAAAACAGGTAAGTATATACCGTATAACCCTCAGTCAAAGTTTTCCAAAGATATGCAGCCCCAGTAAATGTTAATGTGCAATATAATGTAAAGGTCAAAAGTTGTTATGAATAAAACTTTAACTTCTTGAATATGCATATTCAAAAAGGGGCTGGTGAGCATTTATATGCATTTCCAAGACTTGGATGCATGGTTCTTTTTAAAGGGTGAATAGTACCAGTGATTGTTGGAATTTGGGAACCATGCTGCCATTCTGGTGTTGATGAAAATTGCCGCTACATAACAGTCTGTAAAGGGAGAAGCCGAAGTGACCATTTGATATCATATGCGTTGATGCTGCAACTTTTGCAGTTTGTGAGTTGGTGAGTGCATAGTGGTGACAGCTGAGCACATGTGGTGTATCGCCTTTGAAATAATGGATTAACAACACACAGACACCCTTTATCTCATGCTTTGGATTTTATTTGTATATTGTAGTACTTCCACATGTTTATTGGTAAAAACGGTTTAAAACCACTTACAAACGATAATAAGGCTCAGGCATATAGAATGTCAATGCAGGGCTCCTGTCACTGTTTCCTGGAGCTCACTGTGCCGTCCAGTAGCAGCAGGGGGAGCTCAGGTGCAGCTCCAAGATGGCCGCCGTTCTTCCTGGGCCGCAGAAGAACGCACACTATCCGCGTGCGCACATCCTGGAAGTGATGTCAATGGTGGGCGGTGACGTGTTCCGGAGCATGCACAATAGCTTCTTCATCAAGACCGTGTCAATACAGTGAGCTCCAGGAAACAGTGACCAGAGCCCTGCATTGACGTTCTATATGCCTGAGCCCTATTTGTAAGTGGTTTTAACCGTTTTTACCAATAAACATGTGGATGTACTACACTTAGAAGTGCCTTCTTTCTCTTATGTTCTGCCCAGAGTCTGCTTCTACTCCTGGAAGTGCTATTCTAGTGCCTATTCCCACTGTCTCCCTCCACTGGTCTCCAAGGCAGATGCGCCCTAAGATCTCCTCTTCTCATTTGTATATTGTAGACTTCACTTATGATCATACATTATATATATATTCAAGAAGTTATAATTTTATTCATAACAAATTTTGACTTACACTATATTGCACATTATCATTTATTGGTGCTGCATATCTTTGGAAAAGTTTGGATTCCATGCCTCAGCGGGTTAGGACTTTAAGAGGCAAAAGCGGGACCTACTCAATATTAGGTGGGTGGTCCTAATGTTATGGTGGGTGGTCATAATATTATGGCTGATCAGTGCAAAAGTCATTATTAATGTCAATAAATCTGAAATTAATTTATTAAAGCAGAATTTCTAACAGATGCAGAAACATCCCATTTCACACCCCAGATGGAGGATTACCAAATTCTATGCTCCTGAAAGTATCACACTTAGGGGTAGATTTACTACAGACAAATAGACTGTGCACTTTGCACTCATTTTCCTTAAAGCTTACTGAATGTGATGAAGCTTCACTTTGTAAAGAATACACAATCAAGTGCAAGAAAAGGATGCACATGATTGGAAGATGGAAATCAACGTTTACTAAGCTCTGGGGAAAATGAATGCAATTTGGAAAGTGCATAGTCTATTTGCCTTTAGAAAATCCACCCCTTAGTATTTCAGTCCTCCAAATATTGCTTATCAGTGAGTATTGTTTCTGGTTTGTTAACACTTAATAGATCTGATTTTCATTTGTCTTCCCAGATCACTTATATTTGAAGTGAACATTTCATATGCTTTTTTTAGTAGATATACATATACACAGTTTTTAGCTGTTTTTCTTTTTTTATTTCAAATAACTAAGATGTTAACAGGCAGTTTGTTTAATAAATTTGCTTAACAGTGTTATCTGTTTTGAAAATTCCACTCATGTGTGGGGTAGTGCTTGGCTCTCTTAATGTTTAGTCTGGCTGCTTTGCTGTTTTCTGAATGTGAGCTTTTAGCAAGTTAGCAAGTAGTATGTTCAACTTTCTGGGGTTTTTTTTTATATTATTTCTATCTAAATATTTTAACTTGTATATTTGAATATGGACTATCACATGTCATTAAACATTTAATGTGATATCTGTGCGGTTTTCATTTTCTTTTATAAATACTGACAATTCTTCAGAGGTGTAAGATATAGAAAAAAAACAAATGTATAGCAAGTCTTCACCCCTGTTTGATCTACTAGATGGCTCTAATTTCAGACTGTGATAAACACTTTTATATATTTAATGAATAACATTGCTGCGTTCTAAAATATGCCAATTTCCATCTTTCCCAGAGTTTGCAGAAAGAATTAAATTCTCATCGTCACAAAGTGGAGAATTTGTCTGAAGAGCAACAGAACAAATATTTGGAGATGTATGCAATTCTACCATCTGAACTTTCATTATTGCTTGCTGAAGTGGCATTAGCACTGGCAAATGTAAATGAAGAGGTACGCCCCGCTAGTTTTTTTTGTTTTAAAATAGTACAATTCTTGCTTTCTCACTAACAGAGGTTCATATAATTTGGTGTGCATTCCCATGTGCAGCTCAAATATCCCAACCACAGCACCACGTGCCTGGAGTTTGCATGTTCTCCCTGTGCTTGCGTGGGTTTCCTCCGGGTACTCTGGTTTCCTCCCACACTCCAAAGACATGCTGGTAGGTTAATTGGCTCCTGTCTAAATTGGCCCTAGTATGTATGAATGTGAGTTAGGGACTGTAGATTGTACGCCCCTTGAGGGTTAGGGACTGATGTGAATGTATAATATATATATATGTAAAGTGCTGTGTAAATTGACGGCGCTATATAAGTACCTGAAATTTGATATAGCCATGGTCTGGTGTGAATTCTAGTGTTTTGGTTTTAGTACATACTGCAGTGTGCATATAGAGAAGATACCTGAGTTTGTTTTCTTTCTTTATACAATTAGGATGGTGGAGAATAACCCCCTAAGTAGTGTGGCAGGCTAACATTTCTGTCTCAGAGTCTGGTCCTTGGTTGGGAGAAAGATAAGTTGTATGCCAGTTATTTTAGTCTTTTTACCTTTTTTTATTCAACTCAATTCTAGGAGAGAGGTGCAGGATACCAAAAAATAATACATATTTTCTGATAGTAGCAAGAACAGTCTTTTGATAATTGCTGAGCCTTTAAGAGCAGTCACAGTCTATCTTAACCCCCTTCCCACCCACCCCGGTGTCCCCTTTAAAAGTTCTTAATGCTCAGGGGAAGAGATATATAATTTCTGGTAATTTTAAAGTTATGAGGAAAACTTTTTTTTTCTGAAAAAAAAATGGAAATTTTGGAAAAATTAAAAAACAATTCGGTGGGGAGTAGTTTTACAAATTGAAAGTCATTTTGTTACACTAGCAAGGTGAAATGCAGTGTATATAAAAATATTATGCTTGAAATAAAAGTATAGCTTATTCAGTAATAAATAAAATAGCTTTTTAAAAAATTTATTTTTTATTACAAATTGAATTGAAAAGGACTGTATATGGTAAGAACATTTCAGCTATACATGAGAACAGGTAACCACCCACATGTCCCTCATAATAATTAAAAAACTTCCTGCAATATGCATTTTCAGTTATTGACAATGCTGATCCAGAAGCATATATTGCAAGCATTTCGTCTGTAAATGAAGATATTTTCTATTTTTGTGATTAGTGGTTTGCAACACTTCCTTACCTGAAGATGCTGCTGGTGAGGAAACATGTTGTGATGATCCAGAAGCAGCAGAAAGATTGTTTCTAGAATGAGAACTCTAGAGGGAAAAGCTACTCGCACTTTCATTATGGTCCTCATCATTTCATTCCATAAAGTATTTTTAATGTCTTTAGGGCACCTCTGGCATGTAAGGATGTGTTTTGACATCCTTGTTGCATTTGGAAAAGAATATTCACAATATTTGCAAATTGCAGCCTTGCTCTCAGAAATTGCAGTGTGGAAATGTTTCCAAACTCTAGATGTTGTTCTCACCATTTTACTAAGAGGAGGAAAAGAAAAACAATTTACTGACCAGACTATAGGTAAACATTATGCTGTGATAGTAGATAATAATAATGGGAATCGTGTAACGGTGAAAAAGATAAACTAATTTGTGAGACAAATTTACCCTCTTACCTGTCAATTAAGGAGAGGACAGAAACTTTCATCCACTGTGTTCCAAAAATCACCCAGCTGTAGAAGGTACAAGATGGAGCTCACAAGCAAAACTAAACCAAAGCCTTTCCCCTGCAGTGCCTCCTAGTGGCAGAAATGCATATGTCTCTTGTTTGAGAATTGGATTGAGAAGTACAGTGTTACTTGAATTGTATTCCAGGAGTTTCTTGTCTTCAGCTGAGATAATTTGCCATAATTTAAGACTTTATATAAAATCTCAGAAATCTTTCATTAAAGTGGAACTTTAGTCAGAAAATTAAGTCCTGCTAGATCACTTCAGGCTGGCCCTTTTGTAGGTATACCTATGTAAAACATTAAAAATAAGTGTATATACTGTTTAAAATCCAGTAATACACTGTCTTACCCTGCTCTGCACATACTCAGTTGCTCTCAATTTTTAGGCATTTTTAGGCACTGCTGAATTTGTAGAAGCTGATCTGCTGACAGCCTTAAAGTGGAATTAAACCCTCCTATCCTTTAGCCCGGGTTCGCACTATGCGGTGCAGGACAGCACATGTAATTTGCACAGGAATAGCACCGCATTCCTGTGCAAATTGCATACAAATGACTGTGCGGTGCAATTTGAGCCATACATTTTGTATGGCTCAAATTGCATGGCTTCGCACCAAAAAAGGGGAAGTTTGTGGTTTCCCGCACTGCATTGGTGTGAACCTGGTCTTACAGCCAAGGAAGCTGCTTCTGTTTAATCTGCAAGTGCCATGGTGCTTCAAATGTGATCAGTTATAACACCAGCTGTTTGATGGTTTGATAGTTTGGTTGAGGACACAAGCAATGTGACAGTTAGCAATTCTGGTATTCCAGGAATGTAACTGTTTTTTAAATCATTGTATCGATGGCTTTAGTTCTGCTTTTTGATTTACTTCTGTTCAGGTGTTCTGGGATTCAACAAAATGGCAACCTCCAGCAATAAGAAACAGGAGCAATACTGGAGGCAATTTAGAGCACGCACTCATTTTGGTAGCATAACTATTAATGTGGAATGTATGTTCCCTGCTAAAGAACATTATTTTTTATCAAGTTGTTAGGTAAAGTTCGGCTTTAAGGTCTTCATGTTATATAGTTTGAATACCACGTCAAAGAGATATTAGTTATCATTGTAAAATGGCTTTGAAAAATACGGGACAAAAAAGTTTTTTACAAGGCATTGTGCCTATCACAGTAGCCACACGGTTGGAAGTTGGTCTCACACGGTTGGAAGGGACCAAGAGCCATTTTTGGCAGTCTTTGTGCTGGGTTCTTGACCCATTTAGAACAGTCAACCTTGATTGGGGGGCAATGAATCTTTTTTTCAAAGTCCAGACAATAAGTTCTACCCATCTCCTCTGTGATACTCTTCAGCAGGAAGATTCTTTACAAATCCAACTGTATTCAAATATCCACTCCAGCTGGTAGCTCCCTGGGCCCATGGTACCATGATGAGATGACCCAAGTGGATAGACACCCTAAACTCACATCCTATAGACCCAGAAACCTAGGAGGTAGAAAGGGTACTGTGGATAGGTGACGCAAAATATATTCAAACTATACCTGTGAAAAAGGACCTCTGGGGTTGGTTGGGTTAAATAAATATTCATAACATAAGAGAATGTATTTACCACAATGATTCCTGGAATCCCTTTTACAATAACAGGCAAAAGCACATAATCCACTGAGCTTAGGGAGGACCTGAAGAAGCTTGAAAGGGTAGATAGTTCAGGCCGGTTACAGCCTAGCAACATACACACTGAGGTTGATTTACTAAAGACAAATAGTCTGCACACTGCAAGTGCAGGTGCTATAAATTTGAGGGGGATCTCTAAAGTGAGAAGGAGCTCTGCTGATTTATATCTTCCAATCATGTGCAAGCAAAAATGCTGGTTTTTTTTTTTTTGCTTGCATGTGATTGGGTATTCTTTCCAAAAATGAAGTTTTATCTAATTTATTAAGCTCTCGAGCAAATGTACTTGCAGTGCTTACAGTGGTAAGTGCATTTAAACATACATACAAGACATATGGGCACATTTACTGAAAATGTGCTTTTGTCTGTGTAACTGGCTGGAAGATTTCCCATTACTTCCTGCATTGTCAGGAACGAAGGGGAATTTTCCCCAGTAAAGGACATAAAGGGAACTAAAAACCTGACATGTTCTAAGCCACCTTTGCTCTGTCCAAAATGAAATAAAACATTTTAATTGGAGTTAGCAGAGAGAGGCAAAGCAACTGTAGCGAGCCACTGTGAACTCCCTCTTATGATAATGTACAAATCTTTACATTTACCACACTAACAAAAATATGGAAGAATAAGATTGTAAACTGTAAATGCCATATAAATGTCACTTTAAAGCCGGCCAAACATGGGTCGAATTCCGAAATAATTTTCTTTTGAAAATCTTTTCTAAGAATTTTCTTTCGAATTTTGCACCATTAGTGGGTTACAGAAATGGACGATTTTTGTGTGTGACCATCGAATTTGAGTGATCGGACATGTTAGACATTTTTTGAAAAACAAACGAATTTCAAATCCATGATGGGAGAATCGTGTGAGAAATATAAATGAAAAAGAAATTAGCATGAGCTGTGACCTGGAAAGAAAAGAAAATTCTTGGCCACGAAAATTCTTTTCTTTAACAACATGAGGTAAAATTGAAGGCTTGGTTGTTTGAATTTCGAACTCAATGTTGGCACCATCGGAAAGCAAGCACAAAATTTCCGATTTTCTAAAGAAAATTTGTTTGGGATTTGACCCATGTATGGCATGCATAGGATGAACACTTTAGTATTAGCTTTAAATATATGTGCTCAATGATACACTATACCTTTTCTGCAATGTTCATCCTCTAGATTCAAATGAAGCAGAAAGAAGCACAGCAGAATCAAGTGTTGTATCAGGATCTAAATCAGCAAGCTGCAGAAGTTGAGCAAGAGTTGAATATAATTTTGGAAAAACTGAAAGGGAAAGCAAGCGACGTGGCTCAAGCTAAAAAAGATCACAAGGTATGTAAGGTCTGAAATCTGTGTTGACTTGCATCTCAAGTGTAAATGATGGCTTGTGTGTGTGTGCTGACATTCCTACCTTCTCTGATCAGGAGAGACAATTCACATACTTTGTCTACATGTGTGAAGCAATGGTGCAGCTTTCTGCAGCCACAACAAAGTACAGGAAGGGGTATAGCTTGCCTTCATTGGGCAGCTCTAGCTTCAGAATAGCTACTCTAGAAGAGCTATACAAGGACTTGACACAAGAGAAGTGTCAGAAGACACTCCAGTTGTATTGAAAATCTTGGAACTTTATATATAGGAGTGAAAGTGATGAATTCTATAATTGATTCCATCTGAACCTTGCAGCACTAGGGTTGTTGGTTCGAATCCCAACCATGACACTACCTGCCTGGAGTTTGCATGTTCTCCCTGTGCCTGCATGGGTTTCCCCTGTGTATTCCAGTTTTCTCCCACACTCTAAATTAACTAAATTAGCCCTAGTATGTGTAGGTATGAATGTGAGTTAGGGACCTTAGATTGGTAGCTCCTTGATGGCAGGGACTGATATGAATGTACAATACTGTATATGTAAAGTGCTGCGAAATTGATGGCGCTATATAAGTACCTGTAATAAATAAATAAATAAACCTAAACATAAATTTTAAATGTATTGCAGCTTACCGGTCTTTGGATGCGGTGGCTGTGTTGGTATTCTTTTTTTAATTATTTGTTTCTTTCTTTTCACCTCAAAAGCCTGCGGTAACATACTTTCTGTCATACAGGGACAACACTCACTTACTGTACTGTATCTATGGGGAGCACTGTTGTCACTCTAGGACAGAAAGTATGTTTGATTACAGAACACCTTCCCCTTCCTTTTTTCTTTATAGCATGGGGGGAGTTGTAACTGATGCTGTACAGAGAGCACAAAAAATGTTAGACAGGGCCAACCTTTTTTATTGCAGTTAGCAAACAAATATAGCTAAATGTGTTGAATGGGTCTTCTAATGTCATTACAGCTGCTTAACATTTGTATGTGTTCAGTATGTATCGCTGCAGATCTGTTCTATGCATGGATAAACTATAACTTGGGGTCAAAAGTGGGGTGCTGCAACACTACATATAACTTTTATATGATCTTGACTATTGTATACACAATGTCTGATTACAATTCCTTCTTTTCACAGATCTTATGTGAGGAATTAGACAAGTGCAATATAAAGCTTGTGGAACTGGATGCAGCTGTGCAAGACTTTAGTGAGCAAAGTCCCACATTGGCAAAGCAGCTGGTGGACAAAGTAGGCATACTAACAGAACTACAGCAGCAAGCCAGCAAGGAGGCTGAATACAAGACAGGCAGAGTAAAACAGGTACAGAACTGGCTTTACTTTTCAAATACTTAATCAGTACATGATCAGCATCTTTCCACGGGAAGCTTGATTTTTTATTTTATTTTTTTTTAGCAGCTAGAATTAATTTTGTGATGAAAATGCAATACACCAAATTTCATATTTCAACATTTACTACTAGCATATTACTGTTTGTGCCCCTAATGTGCTCTTTTTTGTACATTAGACAAGAGGTGGCCCACGTGTTCTGACCAAACTACATGCGGGCAATTAGAGTAAAATACAAACAGCATGGTGGTTATCAGGATCTTATTTTAGCGATTTAACCACTTGACCTCCTAAGGATTTACCCCCCTTAATGACCAGGCCTCTTTTTGCTACTCGGCGCTGCACTAATTCAACTGATAAATGCGCGGTCATGCAATGCTGCACCCAAACGAAATTTACGTCCTTTTTTTCACACAAATATAGCTTTTTTTCGGTGGTATTGATCACCTGTGCGCTTTTTATTTTTCACACTATAAACAAAAAAAGGCCAAAAATTTTGAAGAAAAACAATATTTTTTACTTTCAGCTATAAAAAATATATAGTAAACTCAAAGTTGGTTATAAATTTAGGCCAAAATGTATTCTGCTACATGTTTTTGGTAAAAAAAATCACAGTAAGTGTATATTGATTGCTTTGTGTGAAAGTTATAGCGTCTACAAACTATGGTATAGATACTGCAATTTACGCCTTTTTTTGCTATACAGTGCTGCGCTAGTTTAACGGACAATTGCGCGGTCATACAATACGGTACATAAATGAAATTTACATCCTTTTTTTTCCCATAAATTGAGCTTTCTTTCGGTGGTATTTGATCGCCTGTGTGGTTTTTATTTTTTGCGCTATAGAAAAAAAGACTGACAATTCTGAGGAAAAAAAACAATATTTTGGACTTTTTGCTATAAAATATGTCCAGTAAAAAAAAATTTTAAAATCAAATTTAGTCATAAATTTCTGCCAAAATGCATTTTGCAACATGTCTTTGCTAAAAAAAAAACCCCAATACGTGTAAATTAATTGGTTTACGTGAAAGTTATAGCGTTTACAAATGGCGGGAAAGATACTGGGATTTTTAGAGGTTTTTTTATACTAATAATGGCGGCGATCAGTGACTTATGGCGGGACTGCGGCGGACATTCTGACATTGGGGGGTACTGACTTGGAGTCACTGACATCCCCAGTGACACCAATACAGTGATCAGTGCAAAAAAAAAAAAAAAAAACACTGACACTGTACTAATGGCACTGGGGAGGAAGGGGTTAAGTTTATTATTCAGGGAAAGGGTTAACTGTGTGATGGGAGTGTTTTACTAGGGGGCGGGGATGTGTACTGCAGGGAACACCACCCATCGGGAGAGAGAAACTCTTCTGTCCCGTGTCCTGGAGCTGTCAGGGAACTGACAGAAAGCACAGCTACTGCAAAGAGCTGTCAAAGGACACCAGAAACAAAATTGTAGACCTGCACCAGGCTGGGAAGACTGAATCTGCAATAGGCAAGCAGCTTGGTGTGAACAAATCAACTGTGGGTGCAATAATTAGAAAATGGAAGACATACAAGACCACTGATAATCTCCCTCGATCTGGGGCTCCACGCAAGATCTCACCCCGTGGGGTCAAAATGATCACAAGACCGGTGAGCAAAAATCCCAGGACCACACGGGTGGACCTAGTGAATGACCTGCAGAGAGCTGGGACCAACGTAACAAAGGCTACCATCAGTAACACACTAGGGACTCAGATCCTGCAGTGCCAGACGTGTCCCCATGCTTAAGCCAGTACATGTCCGGGCCCATCTGAAATTTGCTACAGAGCATTTGGATGATCCAGAAGAGGATTGGGAGCATGTCATATGGTCAGATGAAACCAAAATAGAACTGTTTGGTAGAAACACAACTCGTCGTGTTTGGAGGAGAGAGAATGTTGAGTTGCATCCAAAGAACACCATACCTACTGTGAAGCATGGGGGTGGCAACATCATGCTTTGGGGCTGTTTCTCCACAAAGGGACCAGGACGACTGATCCATGTACAGGACAGAATGAATGGGGCCATGTTTCGTGAGATTTTGAGTGCAAACCTCCTTCCATCAGCAAGGGCATTGAAGATGAAACATGGCTGGGTCTTCCAACATGACAATGATCTCAAAACATACCGCAACGAAGGAGTGGCTTCGTAAGAAGCATTTCAAGGTCCTGGAGTGGCCTAGCCAGTCTCCAGATCTCAACCCCATAGAAAACCTTTGGAGGGAGTTGAAAGTTCGTGTTGCCCAGCGACAGCCCCAAAACATCACTGCTCTAGAGGAGATCTGCATGGAGGAATGGGCCAACATACCAGCAACAGTGTGTGCCAACCTTGTGAAGACTTACAGGAAACGTTTGACCTCTGTCATTGCCAACAAAGGATATATAACAAATTATTGAGATGAACTTTTGATATTGACCAAATACTTATTTTCCACCATAATTTGCAAATAAATTCTTTCCAAATCAGCCAATGTGATTTCTCATTTTGCCTCTCATAGTTGAGGTCTACCTATGATGCCAATTACAGGCCTCTCTCATCTTTTTAAGTGCGAGAACTTGCACAATTGGTGGCTGACTAAATACTTTTTTGCCCCACTGTATATAAATACAATATGTGAGAATTTATACATGCCTAAAAAGTGTAGTAGTAGCCATGGAGACAAGATGTTTAACACTTAAAGTTGTTCAAACGTTTTTCAAAAATGCCAACACGTTGGTCTTAACATGCCTGATTGCTGTGTGCAGCTGTTTTGCCTTTCTTCAGATTTCTTTGTTTAATGTTTATATGACTTCACCTCTGTAAAATCTCTAAAATTCGCTCCTTTTAATTAATCAAACCACCAAACTACTCATTCACTCCCTTGTTATCTTGGCTATTGCAACTCCCTTCTCATAGGTCTACCTCTACACAGGCTATCCCCCCTTCAGTCCCTCATGAATGCTGCTGCCAAACTCATCTACCTTACCAATTCCTCAGTGTCTGCCACCCCTCTCTGCCAATTCCTCCGTTGGCTTCTGATTGCCCAGCAAATTAAATTTGAAATACTAACATACAAAGCCACTTGCAACTCTGGCCCAAGCTACATCACCAATCTTGTCTCAAGATATCACCCATTCTCTCTGCTCCTCCAAAGACCTCCTGCTTTGTTGCTCCCTTGTATCCTCCTCTTATGCTCGTCTCCAGGACTTCGAGAAGTTCTTACCTTCTTTCGGAGCTCTGTACCTCAGTCTGTTCAGCTAGCTACTACTCTGGCCACCTTTAGGTGATCTCTGAAAACTCATCTCTTCTGGAAAGCCTATCCTGCCTCCGCCTAACAACTGAACTTTAATCCCTCAGAGCTATTACATTTTTGAACGACTTTTATATTGTAAAGCTTCTCAAACTGTTGGCGTTATATAAATCCTGAAGAATATTAATAATATGCTTCCCACCAACCTACATTTTTTATAGGCTGCAGTTCAACTGGAGGAATACAACGAAATGCTAGAATTTATTCTGCGGTGGATAGGGAAGGCAAAAATATTAGTGCATGGTCTCATTACCTGGAATTCAGCAAGTCAGCTTCGTGATCAGGCAATGGCTCACCAGGTAAGCTGCAGCTGTTTCAGTGGTTTACTACTTTTGGATTACACCACTAGACAGATTACTTTGGATAGCTATATATGTGTTTTCATTTTGTTTTATCTCTATGAAGCCGCAGCCTTATGTAGATTTACCTGTCACAATTTAGAAAACATTTTAGGTGGATAATTATTGACCAAGACCTTAAAGTATATAGAAACTCTAATGCTGGACATACGTTAGTAGGTTTTTGGATGAGAATATTTGTACAAACATTCATATGAGAATTCTTTGTACGTTTAATGAATGGATGAATGTCGTTCAAAAGGTTAACTTGCTTTTAACATTAAGTTGTAAAATGATTGTAATTCCCAAAAGAAAAACTGTACAACAATTTGTTAGTTCTAAACATTTTCTAATCCTGCTCCTTCAATTTTTCTTGTCACTGTGGTCAAAAACAAACATCAATATGACCCCACTAATGATTTGAAAGTTGAATGAACATTCTACTGATCACCTTCTGTACAATCACCCTGTCAGATTTTTACCCCTCGATTAGTGCTAATCAGTGTATTCCGACAGCGGGGAAGCCTCCATGCTATCTGAATACAATAGCACCACAGAAGGGATTTCCCCATACACATTGAGGATGGGGGAATCAACTAATTTTCTTCATATTCAACCTACTGGATGAATGAAAGAAAATTATTCATGTATGGCCAGCCTTAGGCAACCTAATTGGGACACTGCAGGCTGCTAATTGAGAGGCAGCGACTTTTTGTTGTCAGCCTGCAAATGGAAGCACTGTAACTGACAAGATCTCCAGGTAAGGAACTTTGCACAAAAATAAAAGCAACATGCTTGTGAAAACTGTACAGTGACACATGATTTCAAGCATATTGAAGAATAGATTTCGAGTTTTTAAACACTTGAACTGAAATTATATCTTTTTCGTTTATCTAGTCTTATACATTCAGTTCTATAAAGAATATTTCTGTCAAAAATGGGAAGCCCTGGGATGCCAAACCAAGTGCTTCATAGCTTATTTTTTGTTATTTAGATAATTTGCCTGTCTATGACAGTTCCTTAGGTCTGTAATCTGGTAATCCTGGAATGCACCTAATGGGGATTCTGAAACCCCTGCCTGCCCCTCGCGTACAGAAATCCATTACTAAGACCTTTATAACGGCCACCAATCAGGTTCAAATCTACCATACAATTTTAAATATGATTTGTTATATAGGAAGCAAAAAATGCACAGACTTCAGAAAGTACACACCTAATGCCTTCCTACTCTTTGACTTTTAGCACTGTTGCTACTGGAAATAACTGTTCACGTGTTTTTTGTTCATAGGCTATGTTAGATGAGTCTAGAGATATCCGCAGTGATCTGGAAGCTATGAATGAGAAAATAGACTACTTGTCAAGTGTGTACCATACTGGTGGATTGTGTCAGCAAGTATCGGAACTTGGACGAGAGACTGAAGAATTGCAACAAACAATCAAACAACGCTTGCAGAGCCTTTATGATGCTGCAGAAGTAAGAGTCTTGTTATATCAGAACAGGGGTAGGCAACCATTCAGAGGCTGAGATCTGTCGGGACATTAAGGAAGAAATCAAAGATCCCCAGGGAGGGGGGGATGGTGCGGCACCACCACCCTTTTAAAAAAAAAACAACTCAAACCTCCAACAAAAAGATGGCATGAAGAACATATAGTGTGTCACAGTGGTGTCTTCTGCCCCGCTTCACATCACTCCCCCCCAACAGTAGTATCCTCTGCCCCCTCTCCACAAACACACACAGTGGTGTCCTCTGCCTCCTTTCACATCACCCCACAATAAGAACCCTGCCCCCCCCCACTGTAGTGTTCTCTGCCACCCCTCCTCCCCCCACATGGTAGGGTCCTCTGCCCCCTCCCCCAAAATAGAGTGTCCTCTGTCCCCCCTACACACATGGTATCTGCTGCCCCCTCAACACACACGGTAGTGTCCTCTGCCCCCCCCTCCTCTCTGACACGGTAGTGTCCTCTATTCCCCCTTCCACAACAGTGTCCTCTGCCCCCCTGATACACACATTAGTGTCCTCTGCCCCCCCATAGCAGTGTCCACTGCCTTCCCATAGTAGTGTCCTGTGCCGCCAAAAAAGCAGTGTCCTCTGCCCCCCTCCCCCCCACTGTAGTGCTCTCTGCCCCCCATTTCAGTGTCCTCTGCCCCTCCTTCCTTCCCCCCAAAGAAATGTTCTCTGTTGCCCACCAGTGGCTACATTTGATCCCTTCACAATACACAGCCATGTGTAGGTACCTCTCTCTTAGCTTACCCTGGCTGTACATCAGAGCACAGCCATCCAGAGCAGTGTGCCCGAGCTGACAGGGAGGAGGACTGTTAGTAAACAAAGCAGCCCTCCTCCCCGTTGGAGATCCTCTGTAATCACCGGGCGCTGGCGGGTAATCACCGGCCGGGACCTGGTGATTGACAGCTGCGGCTTCGAATGGCGGAGAGGGTAGGGCGTGCACCCCCTACTCGGAAATATAAAATCACGTATATATATATATATGTATGTGATTTTGTGCACCCCTACCACCCTGTAGCAGTATACCTGCTGTAGGGCGGCGGGAATGTGGTTAAAAGAAGAGCAGCGGAGGCTGGGGGGAAACACAGTCCTGATCGTGGTCTACCTATCGGTTTCCCACGATCAACAGGTAGATCACGATCGACGGGTTGCTGACCCTTGTATTCATGGTCTTAAACATTTGGTTAATACAATCAATGTATTTATCCTGGGATTTTAAATGAGACACAACAAACACGAACAACGAATAACTAGTTTCCAACATTAATTTTTAATAAACAAATAAACTTCTCATTGCATACAAATCAATTGCTCCATGAGGATACTGAGAAGCAACACTTACATACGTTTGATGAATGGACGTTCAGCTCTTGATTCATGTAATTACTTTGGGTGCCATCATGATTGCCCACCCACTTTGACTCTGCTTCTGGCTTGTTCCCTTGGGTTTTCGCAGAGTCACACTTCCATAGCTCCTGGGTGAGACTCCCCTGGCGATCACCATTTGGAAATACTGTCATACGTATTTTTAGCTGACTTATATTATATATGCATCTACTCCTGAAGATGTGAACAAGAAGTCACGAAACACATTGAGTTTTTGAATGCAATTTTAATGTAATTATGTATTGACATCTGGTTTGTATACGGTCAATAGTATATCCAATTATGTATGAAATGCATTAATATGGATTTATTACAAAACAGCTTGTTACCATTTTATCCTCTTTTTGTATGCAATGAAAAGTTTATTTAATTATTAAAAATTTATGTTGGAAACTAGTTATTTGTTGGTAGTGTGTTGTGCCTCATTTAATGTCCTGGGACAAATAAATTGATTGTATGGATATATTAAGGGATAGAGGCACATCACTGGATGCAACTAACTGGAGGAAAGTTTAAAACTAATTTCAGAAAGTACTACTTTGCTGAAAGAGTAGTTGATGCTTGTAATTATCTTCTAGCAGAGGTAGTGAGCCAGTCAATAGCAAATAGCTTCAAACATGCTTGGGACAATCAAACAAAACAAAACAAAAAACCCCAACCTCCCCCCCACCCCCGTTAGTAACTCCCTAATAGGTATGTCCATCTTTTTGTAGTGTCTGCACTAAGAGTACATACATGACAATTAGGATGCTAGTAAAATATTATACATGGGATATTTTGCTCTTGTTTTTTTTTACGTGATAACATACCCACAATTTGTATTATTTTGCGAAAATGATCAATAATTCCCTGATTATTATACTGAAAATTATACTTTTTAGGATATGAAGAAGTTTGAAAGTGAAGTGAGAGCTTTACAAACCGCACTGGCACAAGCCCAGTCTACGTTGACTTCTACAGAGCTTGGGCGCTTAAGTCTTAAGGAACAACTATCACATCGACAGGTGAGATGGTGTTGAGTTTACTCCTAAAAGTTTAAAAAACAGTTTCCGTTTTGGATGTTTACTATACACTTTTGTAAAATAATCATTACGTTTTACAGCATCTGCTTTCCAAAATGGAATCTCTGAAGCCAAAAGTACAAGCTGTACAGGTTTGCCAGAGTGCCTTAAGAATCCCCGAAGAGGTTGTTACCAGCCTTCCTATATGCTGTACAGCTGTCAGGCTGCTAGAGGAGACCAGCCGTCTTCAACATACAGCTATCCAACAGTGCAATATAATGCAGGTAACTACTTAATGAACACTCTATAAAACAGCACATGCTTAGAAATCTAACCTATCCAATAGCCTTGTTTCTCTGTTTGCTTTTGTATGACCTAAATATATAAATATGTGTTAAGAATGTAATAAATGCTCTCTACAGGCTCAGCCTGGAAATTAATTATGGGGGCCAGGGCATGGACTTTGTTATCCAGTGTGACTCGGTATATAGTTTTGTTCCCTGTTACAACAATGGGCATTTGTAAAAATATACAAATTGCATTTTGCATGTATACAGTTTCATGTGAAGCTGTTGCTTTGTTTCTTTAACCCATAGGAGGCCGTAGTCCAGTATGAACAGTATGAACAGGAAATGAAACATTTGCAGCATCTCATTGAGGAAGCACATCGGGAATTACAAGATGCAAAAGTAACAACTAACAACATCCAAGAACTACAGATCCAAATCAAACGCCATGAGGTATTCTGCATCTAGATAATTTTTTGTGGCGCTTTTCTGTGTATGTTTTATTGTATTGTTGTTCAAAGAAGTTTACCTATTTATATAAGAAAGAAGAGAGAGAGGCGCCTTCTAAGTGCAGTATATAACACAATTTAATAAGCCACTGTTTACAAAAACTCACAATAGTGAAGAGGTAAAAAAGCCCATCAAGTAGGGATAGTCTGCAGGTATGCCGCCGTCATCCACATCCTGCAGAAGTCCATCCAACTGCCATGGTGGGTGGTAGGTGAGGCTCAGAATGCCGCTGTCAGAACCAGAAGTGTCTGTGACCAGCGTAGGCCGCAAGAGCTGGGTGGATGTGACGTCACCATGGCCTGTAGAAGGAGCAGTAAGCTCCGAGCGCATAGCCTTTCCTTTCCTTGGTGTGCCAACCTTTCCACTTCGTGACATCACATCCGCCCCACTCTCGCGGTCCACGCTGGTCACAAACATTTCCAGTTCCGGTGGCGGTGTTCTGAGACTCTCCTACCACCCACAGTGGTCCCATGACAGTTAGATGGACATCTGCAGGATGTGGATGACGGCAGCATACCTGGAGACTATCCCTAATTGATGGGCTTTTTTTACCTCTTCACTATTGTGAGTTTTTTAATCAGTGACTTATTCAATTGTGTTATATAGTGCACTTAGAAGGTGCCTCTCTCTCTTCTTTCTTATACATTTATCTCTATAGAGTTGGCATGCTCTGGGATGGCTGCCACCTAAGCGGTTATAGAGTTATGGACATTTATGGAATATCATGGACTTATTGTGTATTTAACAGGATATGAGCCTCTAGTGTGCTGAGAGTGTTTTTCTACATTGCTTGTTTACTTATTTATAGATTGTCCACTTCCATGCAGACATTGTTTGAAAAGCCAGATTTGTACAAGGTGGAGAGGTCGGGGGGTGATGTCATGGTCTCCACTTGGTTGAATCAGAGAACACTCTGCATTCACTGAGAAAATACAAAGTGGCGCCTATGCCAAGTGAATAATTCCCTGTGCAGCAGCAGCAGCAAGCAGCCCGCTCAGTACAGGACCTGGAATCTAGCAGCAACGGCGCTTCTACAGTGGTTTCCAGTTTCCATGGGGATCGGCTAGATATATGGGTCATTCATACTTACACATTGGTCCAAGCTGGAACAATGTAATAATGCCAAAATAGCCATACCTAAACTTCAGCTTGAAAGTTGTGAATAAGGTTGAGCTGAGAGGGCTACATTTTCTATATAAAGCTGAGATATAGAAAAAGGAGCATGATCTTAAACTAGCAGAAGGAAAGTTCAAGAGTAATGTTAGAAAGTATTATATTTACCAAAAGAGTAGCGAATGCTTAGAACAGACTTCTAGAAAGGTAGTGAGTCAGTTAACAATAAGAGAATTTAAATATGCCTCAGATAAACATATATAATGATATAAACATAATTATAGTTATAAAAAGGTGTTTTAACCACTTGCTGTCTGACCGCTGTATATAAACGGCTGGACGGTGGCAGTCCAGGGGCGGGTTGCCGTTCATAAACGGCGCCCACATTTTCAAGCCATGTGCACTCCCTGGGAGCGTGCAGCACCGCGATCCGGTGCCCACTGTGTCCGGATCGGTGCCCACCGATCGTCGTACAGGACCTCTGTGCCAGATCCCGATCACATGCAGAGTAGTAAGCAAGATGTCACTTCTGACATCATTGCTTACTGTGTGTGAAATCTGTGAATGATCACAGAGGTCACATGGTACAAGGCTATTCACAACAGCCTTGTACCATGTGATAAGCTGTGACCAATGACAGCTCACACAGCATTTCTCAATGGCTGCAAGAATGCAGCCAGAGAGAAGGAGAAATGATTGTTTTTACATCCTTTATGGGTGTAAAAACAATGTAAAAAAAAAAAAATCTTCATCACCCCCCCACAAGTAGTACAGTGTCACCATGGTGACACTGTACTGCTAGGGTGACAGTATGTAAAAAAAAAAACAACAAAAAACAAATAATATAAAAAAATAATAAAAATGTAAATGTTTAAAATGTTATTTAAAAATATAATTTTTTGGTTATAAACTAGTTTGGGTTATTTTTTTTACTAAAAAAAATAACAATATATTTTGGCCAAGATTTGTGATGAGATATTATTTATTTTCAAAATTTTATAAGAAAAACACTTTCAAAATTTTGGGACTTTTTCATTTTTATAGCCAAAAAAAATTAAAATCCCAGCGGTGAATAAATACCACCAAAATAAAGCTTTATCTGTCTCAAAAAATGTAAAAAAATTCATATGGGTACAGTGTTGCATGACCGCGCAATTTGCATTCAAAGTGTGAGCGCTTAAAGCTGAAAATTGGCCTGGACAGGAAGGGGGTGAACGTGTCTGGACTTGGAGTGGTTAATAAAAGGCCAGTTTGCTTTTGTTTTTTTATTTTTTGTTTTGTTTTGGGGGTTTTTTTAACATCAGGCTTATTCGCCTCTCCATGCAATTTCATTATATTTTTCTGAAAAAAAACGCATTTTTTTCAGTTGTATTTTTAGTCTTGATCATAATAAAGAAAATAAGCATCACCACTAAAGACCATTATACAATATAGTATGTTCCCTTTATATGATTGTATGTGCATAATACTAGTTTGGACAAACATAGTATATTTATTGAGCTATTCTACAGCATAATAATAACATTTGTCTGGTCACCTGTTTGCTTCTTATATAAACTGAACATGTTTATACGGCTGATGTATACAATTGGCAATAGCTAGTATATACAGTATACTGTAGGTCCCCATGCAATGTATAGAGAACAGGTTTTATAGGTTTGGAACGGTGTTGAATGTTCAAACATGTTTGTAAAGACTACTTACTGTATTACTGGAAAATACAGATAACGGTGATGAGGTACAAAGTGCAGCAACCCGTATTCTTTCCATTTACTGGACTGTAATCAGTGATAGATGAATCCAAAATGATTGCTGTATTAAAGTCAATTTTATTTCATTACATCTTATGGAACTTTTGTGACTCATTTTTAGCTGCCAAAATACAATCTGTGTTCTTTGCATTGTATTTGTTTAGGTAATGTCAGTACAGTGCCCAAGTTTTAGCCACCATTCACACTTGACTATCTTTTTTCTCCTTGTTTCCCTATGCCTGGCTATCCCTTACTATGCCTGACCATTCTTTCCAATTGTGCTTGATCACATTGTCTCCCTACGCTCTGAACCCTATGCTCAAAAAAGTACATGAGCTCTTTTTGTAGTGTTTTCAGATGTTTTTAAACCCTTAGGCTTGGGAATGCCTATAAATGCATGATATGCACGGTTTTATGCTTAAAGAATTTCTCTACTCCCATAGAACTGCTTTCCTTCCCTTGTCCAGCCCAGGAAACCAACTCCTGAAGCTTGATACACATGCAAAAACATAACCTACAAATGGTGACTGCACTGTAACCTTTTAGCAACACCCAACAATATAATACACAGTTTTATGTCCTGAAATTTGTGCAAAATGAAAAAACATAAATAGTCCAAATAGTACAGTATGACAAAAAACTGAAAAACAATAATTGCAAATATTACAAAAACTATGCAAAAAATAAAAATCTCCTGAAAATAGTTCAAAAAGTGTCCAGTGCTATAATTTAAATTTTGAACAAAAATGCCTGTAAAATGCTTGAAAGAGGCTTCAAAATCACCAGGAATATGCTCTGCTCAGGTTGGCATGAATGCAGGCGTAGATGGTAACTTTTTTTAACAGTTGTTGCCCTCTATTGTTCAGAACTTCTCCTGTTATTGTTTTAAGCTTGGCTGATAGCTGAGCAGTGCATATTTTATGCTGGTAGTCATCACATGACCTCATTACAAAGCCTGAGACATAAGCCATCTGGGGGGCAGCTTATACTTTTCTGTATTAAGTGACTAGAATCTTGCCAGGTTGGCCTCGCCGTCTGTCTGCTGAATCTTTGTGTTTTGTCGGGTTAGAATCTGGCCCTGAAAAGCTGCACGGCCGTTTCCTCTTCTCGCTGCTGCGCTCTACTTCTGTTCTGTGGTTTCCCTGTATTGTGAGATGCAGCCTGGCTTAGTTCATTTTCACAGTCAACAACACCCTGCCTCTTAGCCACTGCCGATGGATGATGCAGGGCTAGTGAGCTGTGATTTTATTGGCCAGACGCACTCAGCCTATTTGCCTGCCTGAAGCACAATGAAAGCTTGATTTTTTTTTTTCATGTCCCTCTCTGTGTTTTCTGCCTAAATAAAAAATGTGTTCGCAGGAGCTGGCAAAGAAAATCAAAGGCTATCAGGATCAGATAGCGTCGCTGAATTCTAAATGTAAGATGTTAACCATGAAAGCAAAACATGCTACGATGTTACTGACTGTGACTGAAGTGGAAGGACTGACAGAGGGAATGGAAGAACTGGATGCTGAACTCCTCCCTGCACACTCTGCTCACCCGTCAGTTGTTATGGTAAGGCCTCTGCTCACATTAGCTGCTATTGTATGGGCTGCGTTACATGTAGGTAGGAACAAAGCCACCAACACAGCTTCTGATGTCGGCTGCTTTCTTGGACAAAAAAAAGATATCTGATTGCTTCTACATAACATTTCTGTTGTAATTCATTAATATAGATTTTCTTAAATCATACAGATAAAATCAGCTATTACTTAGTCAAAAGATTACACTGACATTCCCTTATACATATATATTTAAATAGTTTTCGTTTTTTGTTTTTATACGGTCCTATTGTGTTTCTATAAACTGTTAAGCTGTACACAATTGTTTCCTTTGTTAGTGTACCACATCCTTCCTGCATGCTATTTGTTTACTGGCCAAGGCATGTGACTGTGAACATTCTGTGTACAGCTATCCCTGAATTCATTCACTCCCTAGTATCACTTTCTAATTTCCTATTTAACGATCCCTATTCATTGCAGCAACTTTCAATATCATCATTTTCTTAGATTTGCATACAGAAATGTAGCTAATGAAATTTGTAATGCAGTATAAAAATGGAGGGCTGATGTAGGAAATATATTGCTAGGCAACAGAGACATCTTGCAGAAGAGAACTGGTAGGAAGGACACCTTGTGGTGACAGGTTACATTGTTAAAAATGCACACGATCTTGTATCTCACATTATTATTATCCAGTTTTCCTATGAAATATTAACATGACCATACCAATAAGGGGTATAGCATTACAAAATAAGCAACTGCAATGGCCCAAAAAAAAAAAAAAAAAAAGTTCAATCTTAACCTGTTTGCACAGATAATCATTGCACAGATATAAAATGACTTAAGTAGAAGTTGTAGTAGTAAGTTTTTTTGTATATACTGTATATAATCATTTTTACACATTTCATTATTTTTATTTTTAAAGGCCTGTAGGAGACACATAAAGTAATCTTTTAAGGTTAATGTGTATAATAATACTTTTAATCCACCATTAATAGACCATTGTCCTTATTTAGAAATGTTCTTGTTTTCATTTTTATTCGTTTTATAGTTATTCAGCTATGCCTATAATGGTGTGTATATCAATGGTGTGCTGTTATCTGGGGGGGCAATCAAAAATCTTTCTTAATCCATTTGCCCGCTCTATACATGATAAAGAATATTTTGAATTAGATGCCAAGGGTTACAGCACACCACTGCTATGTGTATTGTGTTAATTATGTTACCAATGCCACTGAATTGGGTGGAAAATTTTACCGCTAACTAATTATTTTAAATTGAGCTTTGAATCTGTTTTTGTCATAATTTTAAAATTAAGAGCTTTTGCTCCTAGACACATGGAGGTTGATTTACTAAAGGTAACTATACTGTGCACTGCAAGTGCAGCTGCTTTATATCCAAGGGTAAACTCTGAAATGAGGAGAAGCTCTGCTGATTTCTTTCATCCAATCATGTGCAAGCAAAAATGCGTTTTTTTTATTTTCCTTGCATGTTCCCCTTAGATCTAGAGCAACTGCACTTCCAAGTGTACTTGGAGTGCACTTGTGGTGCACAGCCTATTTGCCTTTAGTATATCAACCCCACACTGTATATGCTCCACATAAACTGCTGTTCTAAATGAACAAAGTGCACATTCTTTCATGTAATTCAGCAATTATATCGAAATCGCGAAAGCTGTGAAGATTACATTTGGATTTTGCATTGTGAAGGAACGATTAAACGTTATGTAGGTCTGCTGTGGGACATATTATTAAAGAGAAGCAGCCAAGAAGAGTGACCAAGATTGGATATTCATAAGAATCCAATTCTACCATTTAAAATTATTATAATAATGCAGGACTAGATGTTGATATTCACTTGTATTCTCTTTCTGACAGAGAAGTGTCAGTCAAATCCCCTATCTATAGAATTGATAACTGCCACTCTGTTAGATTCAGCTATTGATTAACTAAACATATTGTAAATCCTTTTTGCACCAATGATTGACCGTTTTTCAGTGCCAGCAATAGCATTAGGCCTCTTGCACACTGCACATTATAAAAACGCCAGTATCATTAGCTGTAGAATTGCGCATTAAAAACACGAGTTTTTTCACTTTTCTTTTTTTGCTTTAGCTTATTTCAATGTATTTTAGTGTTTTTCAGTGTTTGTGTTTTTAGCAAAACTATTCTCCCAAAAAAGCTTGAGGCTCAAAAACGCTCAAACTCAATAAATAATTTTTTTTAATATCTTCATCTTTTATCAGTGTTTTTCAGCTTTTATCAGCGTTAGAGAGTTTTTACAGCTAAAAAACTCCTCTTAAAACCCACTAGTTCTGTTTTTTTTTCCCAGACAGAAAACACCCCTGCCAAAAAGTTGATTAAAGCCTATTTGTGCATGGACATATAGGATATCATGCTGGGGAGTTTTACTGGCTGTAGAAAAAATTGCCAGAAACAGCCACTGTAAAAAACCCAGTGTGCATGAGGCCTTAAGCTCACACAGTAGATAGGACAACCTTACATAGAAAAAAATCTATTAGCCTCTGAAAAGTATGACTAAACTGTTTTAATAATTTGGGTGTTGTGCTTTTTTTAGGCATAATAGTTATTTTGGAATCACCTGCCTCACGGTTTCGATAGAAGGCAGTAACAAAACCTTTTTTTGTGTCTTACTTTTGTTAGTATTTTATAAAAGTATTGATAGGTCCAAGTCTTCAAATAGTTTAAAATACATTAAAGTTTACTTTATAAGCATTCTTACTTGCAATCAGTTTTCCATATGGCATCTGTCCCCATATTTATTATTATAACTGCTCTGGCAGCTCAATATGTACAGTATGCTTATTGTGAAATAATTATGTTTTTTTATGTCAGTTTCAAATAACATATTTCTTAGGTGAATACACTTATGCTGATTAGTTGTCTTTTGATGTTTGTTGATTTGTGTGTGCACTTGTCTCTGACTTTCTCTATTCTACTTGCTGCCTTCTGGGGTTCTTCTGATGATCTTTAATGGCAGATGACCGCTGGTCGCTGTCACACTCTTCTATCACCTGTCACTGAGGAATCAGGGGAGGAGGGTACCAACAGTGAGATTTCCTCTCCACCGGCCTGTCGTTCACCTTCACCTGTGGCTAATACAGATGCTTCTGTTAATCAGGTATCACTTTGCTGTATTTTCCCCCTACCTAATTAAAGGCAACACTCTGTTCTCTGTACCTTCTTGTACAATAAAGAGTGCGCAAACGGATAATTAAGGCCAAAAAAGACTGGTAGTTTTAAATATCCTTGACCTGACCCTACCGTATCTAAAGTAACAGATATGCTAAAGAAAAGACACCTTGTATTGTCAGCAAGTACGTGTGCTAGTGTTTAAATCAATGATTGGGTCCCTATGGTGCCCTTTGGAACCTGGCTCTAGCTGTAAATGGGACTTTGAATTCTTCCCAAGTCAAGATTAAACTCTTCTGCCTTCCTGGTCCAACTTGGATTGGTAACAAAATGGTACTATCCACTGCATTGATTGGAGTGGGCTGAAACACTACAGGAAGCAGGGCTTGACATGGGCATTAGTCAAGACTCCATGTACAGCCTTCCATTTAGGGTAGTTATTTGAAGACTAACACAGGTACTTGCAGGATTAACAATGTGTTGTGCTTCAACACTGTTTTCAATTTTAGAAAATTTTAGGTTCACTTTAATGTTCATTGGAGCAACACCTAATAAAAAGTATCAAGATCCAGAGATAAAAAGGTCCTGAAGTACAAATTGTAATCATTTCAAAATATTTCACAGCAGCAATGGCATTTAATTAATAACATAGTTGTAATACATCAAGTTTTAGCTTTTTGCATAAGGACAGTCATACCAGTTAACCAGACTGACTGCTATAAATGTAGTTCATTCCTTTCAATCATATTACAATTTGTGCACTGGGGACTACACAAATCATTGTGAAACACCTATAGCCTGTTTTCTACAAAAGAAATCCCCTTTAAAACATGCTATATGTGAAAGCTGCAAAATAATAGGTAGATCCTATATTACAGGGTGAAATACCATATGTTGGGGCTATACTATACAGCTAATAATTATTATTTGTATATGCCCTTCAAAATTATATGTTAGCACAATAAATATTAATTATTGAAAGCCATATTTAAACTAGGTACAGAAAGCTGAGTGTTGCACTTCACTGTGAAATAAATGTTTTGTCTTGTTGTATTTGTTGATTTTCTGTTTTCTGTTCAGTGGTTTATCCATCTATAGTCAAGCATTCTCCACCATTTGCATGATGTTTAGGGAGATGAGATATTGGCGGAACTAGGAAACAAAATTAGTTTTGTATATCAGGCTTAGTGTGGTGTACTTTAGAAGTTTGCTAGACTGGTGAAGGTATAGGTACTGTCCTATAGAAGGACACAGAATAATAAAGCTAAAATTCAAAAGCCAATCCAACATAACACCACTGCTTTCCAATTATCCTGTCAATATTTGTACATTAACATGTGCCGAACAAATGACTGGGATGCAAGAGAAAAATGCTGGTAGAGTAGTTGGTTGGTATGGTGGCATATAAAATTTATCAGCAATTATCAATACCTCCCCAGTACAGGCACATACAGCAGCAAAATGGGTAATTTGTAATTGGGAAAAGGTTATTGTCAAATTTTTCATGCTGAGCAAATATTTCAATTTTATTGAGATCCGTCCCCATTCTTTGTCCTGGTATCTCAGGAGAATAAAATGAAAGCAAATCACACCGACAGGGCTACATACAGCTTTCATATTTCACTGAAGTTCTAGCCTGTCTCTTCTTTATCCTTTGATTGATAATGTTGGTTTTTAACATTTTATGACCACTACAGAACATATTAAGTAACATTCTTTGCACTAGTCATCTGTTTAAAGTGTATGTAAACCCTCACCTTGTAAAACAACCCATTCAGTTTAAAATAGAAATGAACGGTAAAATATTTGTGTACAAATATAAAAAAAATTATAAATACCTCTTTTTCCTTTTTTATAAGTGATCATTAACCCTCAGTTGCATACAGAGCTGAGGTAGGCAAACAGCAGCACAGTGGTCTTCCCAGTGAATGGTTGTGCAGGCCGGGCGTGTCAGGGCAAGTCTAATCATTGGAGGAGAGCAGGCCGAGTTACCAGCACAGCAAGAGAACTGACCATGTTGTGCTGTTATGCCTAGTATGGTCAGTTTTTAATAGGAAAGCAGAGGGACTGGCAGGATTACCAGGGATTGCAAACAAAGGAAGCAATACAAAGAGAACAAGATATCTTTTCATATAAGTAAATGGTACATCAGGCACATATCAGAAATATGAAATGCTGGGTTTATATACTCTTTAATACTGGTATATTCCTGTTTCCCTGCAGCCACCATCCTGGCCTCCCCATATAATTCCTAATGTTATCCCATAGTACAGATTTACATAAACATGGTACTGCAGGTTCTTAGGTGGAAGTGGCTTTTACCATAAATCAGTGTTTTTTGGAGTCTGATACTAGATGTGTGACATGATATTGGTAAATACATTTGCAGGTTATAAAAGGAGTATCTACATCATGGAGTTTGGATACATATTTGTGGTTTGTAGTAGAGGACACTGGGGCTTGCACAATACTTTTATTGAAGGAATGAGGAATTTGGAGTTGAAGACAGAGGTGTCTGCAAAATGCTGTTTAGGAATGAGAAACTTGGTTTTGGAATCAGAGGTTTCATTGCCAATGCTATTTAGGAATGAGGGCCTTGGGGTTGGAGACAGAGGTGTCCACTCAGTTCTGTTTGGGCCTTAGAGCTGGAGACAGAACTGTCTACTCTTTGCTTTTATGAGTGAGGGGCTTGGATATGGAGACACAAATGTCTACTCACTGTTGCTTAGATGTGAGGGCCTTGGAGTTGGAGATGATGATATGTACTTGGTCCTGTTTAGGAGTGAGGGTCTTGAAGTTGGAGACATTGATATGTACTTGGTTCTGTTTAGGAGTGGGAGTCTTGGAGTTTGAGATGTTGATATGTACTTGGTCCTATTTAGAAGTGAGGGTGTTGGAGTTATTATTATTATTATTATTATACAGTATTTATAAAGCGCCAATAGTTCGCTCAGCGCTGTACATTACAAAGGGTGACAGAACATGTGACAGAACAATACCAATACAATGCAAAACATGAGGGGATCGAGGGCCCTGCTCTTCGAGCTTACAATCTAGAAAGTTGGAGAGAGAGATGTCTGCTAGTGATGTTTAGGAGGGATGGTCTTTTAGTTTGGTACACATGTGTCTGTTATTGCTTTTAGTAAGGATCATGTTGTCAGGGGACGAGATATCTGCTCAGTACCGTTTAGGAGCAAAGTCACAGCATTGTGAATAGTACATAAATCCATATTCTTATGGCACTTACACAGTGGACTGAAGATATATATAATTTACTTTGTGTTGTCATATAAGGTGTCTAGGAAATTATTTTTCTTTATAGTTTTGGCCCTGTTTGGAATAACATTGTACCTGATCATGCTTTTATATACTCCCTTTTTTTAATTCCTAACCTCTTTACTATTATGTTCTAGTGCTTGGGTCCAGTTTATATTCCACACTCAGAATCTGTACGTGTCATGTGGCATCCCATAAATTTATATATTATCTTATGATGAAATAATGTGTTAATTATGTTTGTGTCAGAAACTTCTTCAGAGCTTCTTCTTTAGAGCATTCGGTATTATAATTTATAATTACTATAGAAAAGTAAAAAATTAAGAAAATAGCTTGTAGAGTAAATAATTCATAAGGCTGTATCTGGCTTTACCTATGTCAGAGCATTATTTAAGATGTTTAGCATGAAACGATAAGGGCAAAACAGCAAGGCAAAGCAAAGCAGCTCAGGTGCAAATCTGAAGCAAATGTGGGAGGCAGAAACACTGAGTTAAAGAATAACTTCGGGATGATGATAAAAACTGCAGAATAGTCCTGTGTAAATAGATAATTTAATTTGATTTTGAATAAAAATGCACACTATACATAAAACACACAGTTTTAAAAAGCTGTGATGTCATCTCCTTGCAGAGAATCTTCCTCTATTCCCGGGCTCTTGCAGCGACATCACTTCCTGTCAGTGTTAGTTATGGCTTCTTTAGACTACAATCCCTTCATGCCCTGGGATATGGAGTCTGAATGGGCAGCATTGTGGGCAGGACTGTGGACTTGTTTGGAATGGAGAAGACTCCTGGCCTGTCAATCTATGCTGCACAGTGGGAGGATCAGAGCAGGAGTCTGGGACTCTGGGATCCATCCACTGCAGCAAGCGGTGTGAAGACTCCGATGTGTTGGGGGCGAGCAGCCTGCCTCGGTGACATTTGCAGGAGCTTTAGCCTCCATGAGAGGAAGACATCTGCTGCCCTTTAGCTTCTCTCTAGGGCCACAGGTCCATTGCCACTGCCAGCTCACTTCTCCTCACAGCTCCCCGCACCAAAGACCTGATGGAACACAAAGGCCAGTGAAATTAAGTGCTATAAAGACAATTTGACAGTGACAGAGGAGCTCTCTCCCTAAGCGTTTGCTCCAGCTTAGATTCCAGCCCCACCACTGCAGCCAGTGCAGACTCCTGGTCTGATCCGCCTACTGCGCAGCATAGATTGACACTGATCCATTCCAAACACGCCCACAGTCCCGCCCACAGTGCCGCCCATTCACATCACCGCTTGCATTACTAAAAACTACAGTCTGAATGGGAGGCACTGTGGGTATGTTTGGAATAGATCAATGTCAATCTGTGCTGCACAGTGGGCAGTTTAGACTGGGAGTTTGAGACGCTCAGATCCACCTCCATCCTCTGCGACGAGCTGTTATATAATAACGTAACCAGGTATTTTACTAGAACTACAGGGGGGAATGTACAAGACCAGTGGCCAGGGGGATAGAGGAGACAGTGGCCACCACCATGATGAACAGGGTGTAAGGGGAACAGAGGGCTCATCAAAGAGCAAACAAGGCTGGATTTCTGACTAGCAAGGAGACTGTACACTATAACACCGAGAAATTGTTTAAAGGAGCAAACAAATTCTGCCCAGAGTTCTGCTTTAAGTCGACAGGCCAATTTCCAATTAAAGTGTATCTAAATCCAACTAAAATATTTCATATATCGGCAGCTTACCAGTTCTTAGATGGGGTACCCACAATAGTCTTCTTATTTTCAGGCTTTATTGCCTTTTTTTTTTACCTGAATCCTGTGGACAACAACGTTCCTGTCCTAGGGTGGCTACACTCACTCACTCAATCTCTCACTCCACTGTATCTATGGAGGTAGCTATGGTTGCCATCCAGGCTGAACTTCAAATATGTCTTTGTCTTTTTATCTTTCTTGCATGGGGCTGGGGGGGTTGGTATGTTGTAGGAGGAAGGCAAAATTATTTGTGCTTTTAGTTTAGCTCACATGATCAACATGTATTTTCTGTACTTGTTGAAAAAATTCTTAGCCTAAAAAATTAAACTACTGCAGTCACCACATCTAAGGATTGGTCAGCTGTAATATACTGTATTTAATTTTTGTTCTTTGGATTGGTTATACTTCAGAAGTTTCCTTACCCACTTTCATTATTGAACACATGCCTCACAGTGGGTTCTACAAGCACAAACACAATTATTTAACCTCGGTGGCAATACTCCTAGCACATCAACAGTCCCACCACCTTCAGGCACCTGGGCCCTCAGCCAAGTGCAAAACCTGTAGCATAGTGGTGGCCAGGGAATCCATTCTCTCTTTCCATGGCCAGACTCCAGAGCTCCTAGAAGAAACAACTTTATTTTATTTCTTTCTGTGTCTCCCTCCGGGTCCTGTCTGGATCAGAGGGGTAAATAGGCTCTTGGCAGACAGTTCGGTAAATTTAGAATCCATTTTATTTATCAGCAAACATAAATGTGACAGAATTTGTCTTCAGATTCAGCTCAAGCAAGACAGGTAAATCTTCCCATCAGTACAATACACAGTCTCCAGTGTTATAGCCACAACACACAGAATATTTCCAAATTCCCGTTAGAGGCAAACTTACCCACCAGGTAAAGGTCCGACTATGGAGACTTCCAGGCTGCATACAGATCTCCTCACTGCAAACAGCAAAACTGCCATCAATCAGCCTCACTGACCAGCTGCTTAATAAACCAGTCTGAAGGGGAAGTACCTGCCTTCTACAATTAACCCCCTCCTAAATCTGCCCTAGGCTGTCTCTCCACAGCCGTTAGATACAGTAGGGCATACAAAATCAGGGGCTTTATAGCAAATAAAATAAAATAGAATAAAAAAAAAAATATATATATAGATAGATAGATAGATAGATAGATAGATAGATAGATAGATAGATATATAAAACATCAATCCCAGTGCTTAGAACAAAACAAACATATAGTAATACTTTAAGCTGGTTTTATAAATAAGTTCTTTGGAATTGTTGCAGGTGTTTATATCAGTAAAGTGTAAGTGTAGTTTTTTTATTCAAGCTGATAACATGTATTGCAGTTACAGGAATTAGTTTGCATGCTTGTGTTACCTTTTCTGTTGAAAGTACTGTGTTATCCTTCATGCTCTTAGGACATTGCTTATTACCAGGCCTTATCTGCTGAACAGTTGCAGACAGATGCTGCCAAGATCCAGCCCAACACAGCTTCTTCTCAAGAATTGTATGATCCCGGAATAGAGACAGCTGCTAACGCCAAATTAGATGATCTACAGCGTTCCTGGGAGACACTGAAAAATGTGGTATGTTTTTATCTTAATGTTTAGCCAAATATATGCAGTATATGGAATTAAAAGCAAAACATGGGATAGAATATGTTAAAAGAATTTTTTACAAATCCATTGTATTCGTTTTAAATTGTTGATGTTGCATTCTATGATCACCTGTGCTACAATATTTTTGTATAATAGTGTACATTCTGCCTTGATATGTCTGTTAGATTAGCGAAAAGCAACGCACTTTATATGAGGCTCTTGAACGACAGCAAAGATATCAAGATTCGCTTCAGTCCATTTCCACTAAAATGGAGGCTGTTGAAGTTAAATTAAATGAAAGTTTGGAGCCCAGCAAGACCCCTGAAAGTCAGATGGCTGAACACCAGGTAATCTGTTGTATTCATGTCTTGTATTACTTGTGCTTTTTTTTTCAGTACCCTGAAATGTTGACCTGATCCTGATGTAAACCTGACCTGAAACACTGAACAATTACTTTGTCAATTAGCTGTGAAAACAAAGAGGATCCCATGTGTGAATTCACACCATTCCAACCATTAGGTTTTCTTTAAAACATAACTCCTTCCGCACCAGGGCCCTAAAAATGAATTAACCCATATTGAGTTCCTTAACATCTAAGTAATCCCAAATCCTAACCATAACTTTAACCTAATCCTAAAAAAATATTTTTATCTTTTTACCACAAAAATGTAGCCTAGCACTTAATTCCTAAAACCTAGACTTAGTTATTATTCTTAGACACTAAACTCCAAGTTTTCAGGACAAGCTTTTGGGGTGTATCCCTTTCTTCAAGGTTCAAGCAGTATTTAAAAAATGAAGTATCATGGACAGTACTTAACTGTTTTTGTAACAAGTGCACTAATACAGCTACAATCACTTTTAGACACTAACTGTAACCCAACCCTTACTCTTAAACCCCTTACACTAAGTAAAAGGATAAGGTCACTTTTTGACAGTTAAAAATTGTGTATTTTAACCACATCCCCCGTGTGCCACCTGGGGCACGCGCCATGCACGATCTGTGATATCTGTGTCCTTTGGACACAGCTGATCACTTGTCCAAGTAAAGGGCCAATCAGAGCTGTCTTTTACCATGTGACCAGCTGTGTCCAATCATAGCTGATCACAGTGTAAATAGCAAATGCTGGTTATCCGCAGTCCTCTCCTCATGCTCACAGCGCTTGAGAGAGGAGAAGAGAGCCAATAAGCTGCATTTCTCAGGGGGACATCTACACTGATCATCAGTGCCCCGATGATCAGTGTAGCCCCATCAATTCCCATCAGTGTGGCCAATAGTACCCATCTGTGTTGGTTTTCAGTGTCCATATGTGCAGGCTTTCAGTGCCCATCTGTGCTGGCTATCAGTGCCCATATGTGCTGGCTTTCAGTGCCCATCAGTGCCTCCTCAGTGATGCCTGTCAGTGCCCCTCAGTGATGCCTGTCCATGCCACCTATCAGTGCCCATCAGTGCCATCTATCAATGTCCATCAATGCCCATTAGCGCCGCATATCAGTGCAGCCTCATCAGTGCCCCCACAGCACTGCCTATCAGTGCAGCCTATCAGTGACCATCCGTGCAGCCTCATCAACGCACATCAGTGAAGGAGAAGAAACACTTATTTACAAAATTTTAGTACGGAAACTAAGAAAAACATTTTTTTTTTTTTTAAATTGTTGGTCTTTTTTTGTTTGTTTAACAAAAAATAAATACCCCAGTGGAGATTAAATATCACCAAAAGAAAGCTCTATTTGTGTAAAAACATTATAAAAATGTTGAAAATTTGGGCCTGGGCAGGAAGGGGGTAAAAGTGCCCAGTAGGCAAGTGGCTAAATGAGTCATTGTTTGAGATTTCAATGCACATTTAGTAATTTCACTTTTAATAATCGAGTGGTCTTCACTCTACAGCAATCCACAAAGAGTAGTAACGCTTGGGAACCACAAACCAACATTCTGTTTATTCTGTTAATTAAAGAAAATAGGATCCGCTTAACTGTTTTGTTATGCTAACTGCACACAGACCTATTTTGTATCACAAAAGAAAAGATAAACAAAATTTGAACAAAATTTATGACAGTTGTGTAGTCAGATGATCTATCAGATAAGATATATAAATATATAATTTAGGTGGGTCTTTGCACTATATATATGTTGGTAAATTCTGTTAATCTAATCAACAAATTGAGCACTCATGGACTATTCCTCACAGTGATCATTCAGTGTGTAGAATTAGAATGGGAGCTTCCAAGCTTCAGAAGTGTATATTATCACATGCAAGTGTATTCTGACTTGTTAGGAAATTTCTATGCTGACATTTGCCAATAGTTCTCTTGTCTGTGGATTAACCCTTTGTCTGCCACTGATGTATACCATATGTCAGTAGAAGCGGGGTTTTTACACACACTCCTAGCTGCTACAGCAGCAGTGTGTTGCAAGCCAACTGTTGCCTTTCAGATGGATGTTATTTGGTAGATGTGCTCCAGTGGCTTCACTGGAGTGCAGGGAAGACATCAGGGGTCTAATAGACCCCTGATGTCCATTAGGGCTGGTTCACACCAGATGCAGTCCAGTACATTTTTGATCTGCATCAAAAAGGAATGCACAGTGTTTTCCATGTATTCAAATGATCCTAGTTTAAATCAGTGCAGTGCGTTCCAGTGCAGTCAACAAAAGGAGAACATTTAGCATTTTTTTCTGTATGGAATTAATCTGGAATGTGGTCAAAAAATTTGTGCCTGATGAAGATTTGCACTGATACATAAAAAACACTGGAAATACCACTATTTTTGTTCAGAAAATATATACTATTTGGGGTTTTAACTAACCTTCAGACCTAAAATGATTATTTAATTATGTGTGCAATAAACTTAAAAATGGCTATGGCATGCCTGTATGTTAAGCAAGATAATGACATTTCTGATGATTGCACAGTTTTAGTGAGGATGGCCAGATCTTTCATGCACTGTTCTAAGTAGGAGATCTGCAATTTTTTCTTTTTTATGCCAAAGATTGTAAGATGGAGGTATATAATATATTTATATATTTCTCTCCAGGCTCTTATGGATGAGATTTTAATGTTACAGGAAGAGATCAGCAAGTTGCAAGCTTCCTTTGCAGATGAGCTAGTATCTGAATCTCTTGATTCAGAAGCTGCTGATCAGTTAGCTCTGCAATCAACACTGACTGTTTTGGCTGAGAGAATGGCCACCATCAGAATGAAGGCCTCAGGAAAACGGCAACTCTTGGAGGTAAATGCAGCATTCAAGTTGTTGAGATGAGAAAACATTGTCTATATACACCTATTACTGAATATTGCTTTTACACTGTTGATGTGCAATCTGTTGCTTATACTTAGGGGAGAGGTCTTTACACTATTTTCATTTTTTTCTAAGCATTCTAGCATGTATTGTATAGTATTACTGTAAAATTGTTATATATGGATGAAAATAAAAATTGCCATATTAAATATATATATATATTAAAACCTTATAATTTACAAAATTAAATTTTAAAGATTTCATGCAACTCATCAACACCAGTTGATTACTGTCTGTGATACTTTATTTATTTGCAGTAACATCCAAATTTTCAGAACAAGCTTTCAATGTTTTCAGTGTTCCCCTCTTCCTCAAGGTCCAAGCAGTACATTTGAAGAAGGGGGTACACCCTGAAAGCTTGTTCTGAAAATTTGGATGTTAGTGCAAATAAAAGAAGTATTACAAACAGTACTCAATTGTTCTTGTTGCAAGTGCACTAATAAGGCTACAATCACCTTATACAATTCAACAGCACAGGTGAAAAATTGTAATTGATTTAATAGTTTATTGAAACATGTTTTACTTCTTGGTGCAAACCATTATTACAGAAGTAATAGACATAGAATGTTCTGAAATCATCAAAGTGTTGGCGCTTTACTTCTGGACATATTATCATGCATTATACACACAAGCACAGCAATATTCTTATCTTGCCTGTGTGAGATACTAGTCCCATCATTCTACCATGTAATGGTGATGAACGAAGATGAACAAAGGGAGGACATATTTAAAGTCCAGCTTGTGTGACAACCATGGCTACCACCCCCATAGATACAGAAGAGAAGTGAGTGTAAACACAAAGGGAGAGTTAGTGTGTTATTTGCAGGATCCCCAGGTGAAAATAAAGGGAAAAGGCCTAATATTAAGAAAACTAACCACATCTGGTAGGGCTGCTAAACTGCAAATGATTACATTTTTATTTTTGAGTTTAGTTGCACTTCCACATTTTGTCATTTTGTTGCCAGATTTGAACCTTTGTGCTGATTTACTTGTATAATGGAGAATAGATATCACTATCAACTGTACAGTCCATCTTATTTAGAAAAATCGGACTGTGGTGTATAGTCTGCAGAATGCAGAACACATTTGTAAAACACATTGCTATGCTTTCTAAATGTTTTTTTTTAAAGTAGTATGCTATTAAAAAAGTAGCCCCTAGTCTTTTTGGTCTCCCTCTCTGCTCATTTAGTGGTTTTTGTTAGGTACAACTTTCAGGCTTCTAGCGTGCCAATAATTCAGCAACTCTGAAATGGCTGTTAATATGTGTTCAAAACACAAACTTTGTAAAGTTCAGTTTCTGGAACACTTAATCAGATCAAATGACAGTACTAAATTTACAAATATTAAAAAGCATTGCGTTTATACAGTAGATACTGCATTCCTATTACTGAACAGTGTACAAACAAACCTTATCACCATGCCTTTCTGCTATTATAAATAAATTAAAAAAATGTTGGTATCATTATATTCCCAACAACATTTTACTTGGGTCGGGTGGAGGAGGGGAGTTAAAAGAATATTGTGCATGATTACATTGATGATGCTAATTTCCTACAGTGGAAAGTATGTATGTTTTAAGCACACCCCTTAACAATGACAGAAAAGCTAAACAAATTATGTCATTAGGAAAAACTGAGTGAGCAGCTGGAAGAACAACGCCATGAACAGGCTCTGCAGAGATACCGCAGTGAAGCAGATGAACTTGATCACTGGCTGCTGGGGGCCAGGTCTACTCTGGACAATGTATTGCGTGCCTTTGAGGAGCCTATGGATATGGAGGCACAACTAATTGATTGCCAGGTATAGTGCGTCACACATATAACATGGTTCAGAGCTCTATATTTTTAGAGACGTTAATAAATTCTTGCACAGGTCTGGTTCCATATCTGCTTTATGTGCATATTTGTTCATTATACACTTTACAGAATTGTAATAGAAGGCATAATTAATTATCCTGTATTTGACAAAATAAATAGAGCATTCCTCATTTTCTGTAAAGCCTCATTCAGCTCAACCTCAGTGAGCTTTCTCCATCTATCTACCTCTCCGCCCCCCCCAGTGTAAATGTCGTTCAGTGTTGCTATATAATATTAATAATAATACATTATTATTAATAATATTATTATTATAATACAGGATTTATAAAGGGTGGCACAGTGGCTAAATGGTTAGCACTTCCGCCTGGCAGCACTAGGGTCATTGGTTCAAATCTCAACCAGGGCACCACCTGCCTAGAGTTTGCATGTTCTTCCTATGCCTGTGTGAGTTTCCTCCAAGTACTCCAGTTTCCTCCCACACTCCAAAGACATGCTGGTAGGTTAATTGGAACCTGTCTAAATTGGCCCTAGTATGTGTATGTAAGTTAGGGACCTTAGATTGTACACTCCTTGAGGGTTATGGGACTGATGTGAATGTACAATATATATGTAAAGCACTGCATAAATTGATAGCACTATATAAGTACCTGAAATAAAAGAATAAATAATTATAGCTTATATACATTGGAGGGAGCATACAGACTATATTTTTTTCTTTTGGCAAACCTTTTATAGAGAGAGTGGGAAATGCTGTTATTAGTCCAATTACATCATTACAGGAACTACAACACTTTTCTGTCTCTTGGTATTAGAAGGAGTGTTTAAAGAGGTGCTCTGCGTCACTTCCACCAGAAGCAAAATAACCATATTATCTACATATGGTATACCCTGCACCTATAGTCAAACTCATTGGAAATGTAGGTGGTGTGGCAGGTCTTTATGAAGCAATCTTGTAAACCATGCAGCTGCAGTGATGAGTAGGGTAATGCTGCAGTGGTGCCTTTTTTATGCTTCAATGCCAAATGTAGTAAAGTGCTAATTAAATTTTGTTATTTTATTTTAAATAACATAACATTTTTTTTTCCGCTAAACATAATCTGCTTAAAGCCTAACTGTACTCAAAGTAAAACAATAAATTAGCACAATGGATATTACTCTTTGAGCTTTCTCCTCTGTTAGCTAAAATTTCCTCTACTTATTCTCCCCCCACCCCCCCACCCCACCCTGCCACTGTAATTGTCCAGGGTGTTGGGAGTTGATAGAACTGAGGAAGCTCATCAAGATTGCCCAGCTCTTTTCTGCCCATCTCCTCCATTCATAGAAGGCATACTACTGCTTCTATGACCTAAACGTGATGTATAAATGGAGGTATGAATGGAGGATTGGGTAGATGATTGAAAGGTCTGCCCTCTCCTTTCATAGATCATGTTTTATTCATAGATCATAGCATTGTCTATGAATGGAGGAGCTGGCTGGAAAGGACAAGCATAGCCAAGTATGAGTGAGTATCACAGCTTCCTTAGTTCTATTATCTCTGATGCACCAGAAGATTGTGGGAGGTGGAGGGGATGGAGAATGAACAGCTAACAGCGGAGACACCAGCACAAGGTACATGTCCTACTGACTGTAATTAATATCCATTGTGCACATTTTTTTGTACTACATTTAGCCTTTAGGGGCATATTTATAAAGCAGTGAATGTGACATTTACAAAACCATTCACTGGTGATGAATCAATAACTTCATGTGATAACATCTTGCCCAGGAAGAGTCACATGCAGTAAATGTTTGGTGAGTATCACATTCACTGCTTTATAAATATGCTCCTTAGGTTTTATAATATGCGCAAAGTTTGTGTTAAAAGAAAAATAAAATAAAATCAAACATCCATATTCACCTCTATGACTGCAGCATCGCTGTAATGTGTCAGCTTTCCTCCACCTCATCAAAGCCCAAGAACTGAGCGATCATATGACCACTGATCACTCAGGTCTTCAGTGAGCAAAGAGCGGTGACTGTCTGTCATTGGCTCTCTGCTCTGCCCTGCCAGTGCTCACTGGATCACTGGGCTGGGGAGGGGGCAGGAGCGGCTGGCTCAGGCTCCCACAATAATGTTGGGTTCCTTCCAGAGTCGAGAGCGGCTCTGTGACTCTTCCAACAGTGGGCTTTAGTCTGTGGTTGGCTTATTCTGGGTCACAAAACTGCAACATTAAGACCATTCCTGTGAGCCAGAAGACAAGTTTGGCCCTAAAACCTGTGACCATACTTCTCTAAGGCTTTATGCACACAGGGCGTCTGTTTAGCCTCTCTGAACACCAAAAGCTGCTTAAATAATAAGGAAAGCTGCATATTGCACACTCGTTTAGGCATGTTTAGATGTGTTAAGCATTTGAATGGAATGGATATTAATTTTTTCTGGCCAATGGAATGCATTATTGCTCAAAAGCCGGACACATCTAGCATTTAGGTGCATTTAGACACATCCAGCTTTTTTTTTTTTTTCTGTATTTCGGCTTCTCACTTAAAGGCATCTTTAGTGTTTTTTTTTTACTTTTAGTCTGTAAATACTACTCTTCTAATATACCTGTAAAAGCCTATGTGTGCATGGACATATAGGGGAAATTTACTAAAACTGGAAAATGCCAAACATGGTGCTGCTCTGTATAGAAACCAATCAGCTTCCAGGTTTTATTGTCAGAGCTTAATTTAACAAGCTGAAGTTAGAAGCTGATTGACTGCCATGCAGTGTTAGTAAATCTCACCCATAGGCTAAAAGTGGAGGTTTTTTTTCAAGCCCAGTGTGCATGAGACCTAATTTTTTCATTTCTGTGCTGAGAAAAATGCTACATTAAAAAATTACAGTTTACAGTTCTTGTTTTATGTGATTTCCTGAATAAGGTAATTTAGGATTCATCTATAAATAAAACTTCATGTGAAGTTACACATTACTGGAGCAGTTCATAGAAGGATACCCAGTAAAGATGTGTTTATGCAGGTCAATCTGTAAAGAGGATTATGCAGATATACTCAGTCATTCACAAACCTTGGAAGCTAAAAGCTTATCCATATAGCACATGGCTCATTTGTAGAAAACAAGGCAGAGAGCAAAGAGCTTGGGTCTAATAATGCATAGGCTTGAAGAATAAATGCGCATGCAAGATCATTTCTTATATAGATTTGCCATTTACTGGGTTCAAGAGATAACCTTGTTTTAATTTTGCAAAGTTTTTTTTTGTTCTTTTTATGAAAATGACTCTATTTTTGCTGTGGATTTGCTCCTGTAACAAAGACTTTGCCATCGATGTAACAGAGATGCCGAAGTGCCTTATTTCATAAAATGTTTGAACTTGCTTCTTTGTTTTCACTGCTGCAGAACATGCTTTTGGAAATAGAACAGAAAGTGGTGGCTTTGTCGGAACTGTCCGTACACAGTGAGAACTTACTCATGGAAGGGAAGGCCCAAACTAAGGAAGAGGCTGAACAGTTGGCAATGAAACTAAGAACTTTGAAGGGGAGCCTCTTGGAACTGCAGAGGGTTCTCCAAGACAAACAGATAAGCATCCAGGTAGTTCAAACTAATGTATTGTTTAATTGTATATTATTTATTGTGGGAATATTGAATACACTATTTTTTTATTATATTCTTCATATGCTACCTACTTAAGAAAAGCATGGTGGCCATGGTTCTAGCCAGGTTTAAGATATTTATGGACTGATTTGTAATCCTTTTTATTGGCTTTTATTTCCTTCCATTGACTTGACTCTGAGTCAAATACCGTATTTAGCCAACTTAGCAGTGATAAATCAAATTACAACCCTTACATTGATTTTGTTATTGCAAAAGATACTTCAGCTAACTATAAAGAATCATGCATTGATTTTTTTTCCCCAAGTATTTCCTTGTGAAACAATACAGTAAATCACCACTGATATTTTAGTTGTAACCAGATGCAATTAAGAACTGTCACACAATAATATAACCCCTTTACAATTAATTTAAATAATTATACATTAACCTGCACAGTGTGTACTGCAGTGAGTATGGTACAATAAAATTGTATGTATTCCCATGCTTTTAGAGATCTACAGAATTACTTTAACAGTGCTCTTATGTTTTGTTTGTTCCATAGGCTAAGCTAGCATGGGGCGAGATGAAAGCACACAAGAAAGCAGAACATGTAATGTGTCTGTTTTTCTGGTTTGGGGTCTGCTTGCTGTTTGGTTTTTCTTGTTCTTGGGGTGTGCTGTGCAAGCTGAAATGTTATTAACCAATTCCTTTCCAAATTCCATTTCTGATAAAATAGTTTATCAAACAATATTTTTTTAGATTTGATTACTCTGCCTATATATTTTCTAAGTAAATCAAGCTTTTCCTATGCATGCCTTTTATTAAAATAATCAATATATTTTGAAATTATTGCAGTACTGTTTTTAAAATAAACTAGTTAGGTTATAATCTAAAGGCTCAATCCACAAAGCTAAAGCATATATTATTTGCCATGCTGATCGCTATTTTCAGTCATATTACTGTCTTTTTTTTCAACTGTCTTTGACTATCTCTAATAAAAATCCATTATTATGGCAAGTAATGATCACTATAGTAGAATCCTAAGGAGATGAAAGTATACATTCAATTCAGTACCAGTTTGATGGTTAATACTTGCATAAATCCTCTTGCTTTTTCATAAACTCACATATTATTGCTATGAGTGAAGGTTATTGAAGACATGTTCTGCCCAGCACACTCAACTGCAAATATTAGCTGAAATTTATTCATTAGCATTATACAGTATTTTGGCTAATAAATGATTGTCTAGCTAAAATTACAAAGATTAAATCTAAGTGCTGATTTACTGGCAAAAAATGTGCACCTAGATGTAATTTTAGTAAATATTCTTCACTGACGAGAAGTGTTAAGCGCTCATTTGACTCTTTAGTGTTTATATAGTTAGAGCATAGTATTGTGTAGTGATTCTCCTGTAGGCCTATACAGATGCAGCTTTCTTTGTTGCTAGTTTTTGGAATGCTGACTGCACAGTTAACACAGTAAACATCCAACTCTCAAGCTAACGCAGCTTCCAGAGCTCTTTTTACTGCAAGGAAAGTAACAGCTAGGAGGTGGATCATCCCTTCCCCATCTTTGTTGAGCAGTCGACAAAAGCACCTCTTACTTTCATTTTAGAAAAATGCCTACATAGGCAAAACCATCCCACTAAGATTTCAAAGAATATGGCTCTGTTGGATTGAAAGTGTGAACACCTCACTAAGGTTAGGCCCTAACCCTTTTTGGGTTTACTGCCCTAGGGGCTTCCACGGGGGAGCTTTAAGATCTAATTGACATGCAGGAAACGATTTTATGCCACAGTTGGTTTATTGCTGATATCCAATTAGCAAGTCACGGTTTCTTTGTATTTGACTTTAGAGCTGTTCCACACTATATGCTGGGAAACTAATTGTTCTGGTACTTTCTATATATGAGATGATACATATTACACCTGTTTAATGACCTCCTATCCTTTTCTGACTTCCTACACACAAACACTTCTGACTGTTAATGACAGTTGTGCCATATATTGTATATTGTGCAGTTTATTTAAAGCTGAATTCCAATTTTTCCATAATTACATTGGTCCAGCTTGCATTTCCACAATTAAAGCTTTTTCTAATTGGATGAGGTGGAAATTGTGATGTTGCTGCCCTGCCTCTCCACCTCATCAAATCAGAGAACACTTTGCATTCACTAAGAAAAAAAAGTGAAGTATTTTCTAAATTGTGCTAATGCCAAGTGAGGGACGTCCTGTATTCACTAAGCAGCAGGGTAGCTGCTTGGCTCAGGGCCTGGGAGCTAACAGCAATCACTGTAGTACTGGTGCCTACTACAGTGATTTTAAGCTTCCACTGTGATTGGCCAGGTATGGCACATGCATAGTTTCATTGGTCCAAGCTAGACCAATGTAACTATGCAAAAGTAGCCACACTAATTTTTCTGCTTGTAGCAGACTTGAGCCACTGTTTCTTTTCTCTTGTGTTACTGTAATGCTCTTTCTTCTTTTTTCTCTTAGTGCTGTCTCTGTATGTTGTTAAACTAAAAATGTCTTTAAAAACGTATCTGATAAAACAACTTTCACCTCTAGGAAACTGTTTTACAACCTTCTTTCTGATTTATCATTAATAAATACTGTGCTGGCAGGGGGAAAAAATACCCTATGCTTTGGGCAACAGAATAAAAAGAGCCTCCACTGTAAAGACACCTTAGATAATGGTTTGTCATTAGTCACTAATCCTGCCATCAAGATTGTAAGCTCTTTGACAGTTACCAGTGCTGTCCTGTTTTCCTCTGCATTCTCTCCACTGATATCAACTTGAATGTTTGGGCATTCACTGGAAGGTATTCACCTCACATTTTACTGTGTCCAGACACTCTAGAGCAGAGGTTTTCAACCGGTGGGTCGTAACCCTTTTGGGGGTCGAACATCCCTTTCACAGGGGTCGCCTAAGACCATCGGAAAACACATATTTCCGATGGTCTTAGGAACCGAGACACCGTTCCTCTATCCGTCTCCAGGCAGGTCCACCACATGCAGATATGCCCACATTTCCCTGGACCGCGATGTGTGGGCGGGATGACAAGCCGCCCCTGTCATCTGGTCACACCCCCAGGATCACTAAACAGCTCCGCCTCCTTGCTGGTATTGGCCGCCAGAACTGTAGCTCAGGAGAGGCACACAGATGGCCAATCACCGGCGAGGAGGTGGAGCTTGGAGAGGAGGAGCCGAGCGCCAGCAAGAAGATCAAAGAAGATCGAGTGAGGGAGCGGCCAGAGAAGGAAGACAGCTGACTGATATGTGTCTGTACCGTGCAAATGGTGCTGCTGCAGCCAGGTATGCTGGCTGTAGATGGGAGAGGGAGGGAGTGAGCCCAGGCTGGAGCAGGGGTCAGCAAGGTAAGTATCATTGGTGTCAGTGTGAGGAATAGTGCCCCATCATTGGTGTCACTAATACCAATGATGGGGCACTATTCCTCCCACTGACACCAATGATGGGGCACTATTTCCCCCCCACTCACACCAACGATGGGGCACTATTCCTCCCCCCACTGACACCAATGATGGGGCACTATTCCTCCCCCCACTGACACCAACGATGGGGCACTATTTCTCCCCCCACTGACGCCAACGATGGGGTGCTATTTCTCCCCCCACTGACACCAATGATGGGGCACTTCCCCCCCCCCCACTGACACCAATGATGGGGCACTATTCCCCCCCCACTGACACCAATGATGGGGCACTATTCCCCCCCCCCCCACACTGACATCAATGATGGGGCACTATTCCCCCCCCCCACACTGACATCAATGATGGGGCACTATTCCCCCTCCACTGACACCAATGATGGGGCACTATTCCTCCCACACTGACACCAATGATGGGGCACTATTCCTCCCATTGTTACCAATGATGGGGCACTATTTTTCCCACTGACACCAAGGATGTGGCACTATTCCTCCCACTGATACCAATTATGGGACACTATTCCTCCCACTGACATCAGTGATGTGGCACTACTCCCACTGACACCAATGACACCTCCTCCCACTGAAAATTACAGTTATGGTAGCAACTAAAATAATTTTATGGTTGGGGGTCCCCACTGCAACATGATTTAAAGGTCGTGTTAAGAAGGTTGATGAAGTAGCTCTAAAGGGTCGGAAGAAAGAGGAATCAAACATAATATTTAAGCCAGTGATTTAACTGTCCAGCTTTAATGCCTTAGGGTGTCTGCTGTCAGTTTGCCTCATGAGCTACTTTTATATTCAATATGTTAATTTGTTTTTTTAACAAACATACATTGTCAGTATTACAATTTGTAAACTTGAGTATGAAGGGTGCCATTAATTAAAATAGTTTAGAGTAGGTTGTCTCCAAGGCATAAAAAAGGAAAAGTAGGTTCACTAATGTAGAAGATGAGCTTGACATGGCCTGGTGGGGGGTCTAGAGCAGTTACAGGGAAAGGACAAGGAAGTAGTAAAGGAAGATTGCTAAACAATTTAGAACAAGAAGACCAGGAGTATAAGAACAGAAGGGGGAGTGTACTCCCTCTCAAAGGACCAGAAGGACTAGTTCAAATTCTGTTGGGAGATATCAGGTTGCCCACTGATGCCATATGGTCAGAAAACATCTATTGTGCCAGTCAATCTATCTTCTTTCTTTCGATGAGCATGACTGAATTGATCCTAGACTTGGCTTCAGCAAAGGAAAGGATAAGTGATTTCCAGTCTTTGGCAATTGTTTGCTTGGCTCCTGTTAGCACATGAATAGTATTTTGAATAAGGGTTGGAAAGGCCTGGAGGTTTGAGGTTTCAGCTATATATTTCTTATATCTGACTCAAGAGATCTTGTTTCACTGGGATTAAAAGCTATTTTTCCTTCCACTGCAGATGTGACAGTTACATTTTTGGATCCCTTGAATATAGTCAGCGGGGGCAAAGGGCCAACATTTTATTTAGGTTTAAGCAAAAAAACATTTAAGGTGCAAGTCTAGGCAGTCCGTAGCCCTAATGAGTATGCCATGGTGGTGGCACAATAATGTAATGGCATTGATTCTAATGCATACAGTTCCACAATGGTTCAGAATTAGCTAAGCAACCATCTCTGTCGCTGCCCAAAGAGGAAGACAGACACATTATCTTTTTGAGTTGTGCCCGACTGAGTGTTTTGCAGAAAGAAATCTCCTCTTAATGCTATGTAACTACATCATAGGTAACCAGCTTCAGTCTCTGCAGTGATCTTTCTTCCTAAACTGTATATACTAAAGAAGGTTGAGGTAGATAATAAAAAACAAACAAACATCTATACTCGCCTCTATGCTGCAGCATTGGTCTGATGCTACCGCTGTTGTCTCTTGTCTGGCTCTAAGCCTGAGAACTGAGAGGTCACATAACCACTGATTGCTGAGCCTGGAAAACAGAGCAGTGATTGTCATTCGCTGCTTTTTGCTCTGACCCTCCAGGTCTCACTGGAGCACTGCACTTGTGAGGAGGGCGACTGCAGCTGGTTCTGGCTCTCAGCCAACTGCCTGTCTATCAGGCAGTTGGATAGCAGATGGGTGGATCCTATGGTCAGGATCCTTCCCAAGCCTGGAGCTCTTTGTCATCAGCTGATAGCAGGCAATATCCCACTTTTAGCTGACTCTGGGTCACAAGAGAGTAAAACATAAGTGCACTCCTGTGACCCAGAAGAGAAACATGGACAAAAAGCTCAGGATTGTGACTTGATTTCTAAGTGGGGTTTTATGTACTTTGACATTTTATTTTTATAGGTTAATAATTTTACATACCAGGTGTTTCTCTAGTCAACTATTTTGCCAGCCTTTATTTTGCTTCCTTGACTATTGACTTGACTATAAGCTGTTTTGAACCACTCCTTACCAACTACAAATGGTAGTTAATTAAAGCTGATCTGCTTTGTGTCTGCTTCATTGACGTCACAAAGTCTAAATCAGATATGTGATGTGACGCTGATATGAGAGGCTCGAGATTACCTTGCTTAGACTATCACAGACCTGCTGGAAAAGTCAAACATAATACTCAATGTCACATTCACTAGAGGAGCACAATACTAATTGGATTTGAATAATTAATTGTCTGTATTTATTATCAAAAGTAACGAAACTATTAATGCAGTTCGTTTTAGACGTTACAATATAATGATTTTAAAACCATATTCCTGATTGTTGTAACTTTAAATAAATTACAATATGGCAGTACTCATTGTACTATGTTATCAAAGGATGATTCTGCAGTGTAGATAGAAGTAGGCCACTGTGACCTGGTGAACTATTTTATATGAAGGTTATGAAAGTCTCTTGTGGCGGGTTTGAGAAGAGCCAGTCATTACTGCTGCCTTTTCATTTTTCATCCTACAGGGGACATTTCATGAAAAGGAAGAATCAGAGGCAGAGCTGTCTTCTTCACAAAGTCCCAGTGTCCAAGAATGGTTGGTGCAAACACGTACAACTCGCTCACTTCAGAAGCAGAACAGTCTTCAGAAGCAGAAGGTAAAGTTTGAAAAGACTGATCTATTATATTATAAGTAGCACATAATAAGGGGTACAATAAACACTATAATGTGGCAGTGTTATTGTACTGGGGTTGTAAGACAATATTCAGTCTGCATAGTGATGAAACCTACAATGGCCTGTCAGTCCCCTAAGTGTCCATATCATGTAAAGTATATATAACATGAAAGCATACCCTAATACATAACCCTTAATGTGGATATAAAGGCAAATAATTATTTTAGCTTTAGATAGAGTTAGAAAATCTAAAACTCCTATAAGTTTAATTTTGCTGCCTATGTCTACCTAGAGAGATTTACCTTTACTTCCATAAACCCTTTATGTGACACTTGGCTTCTGTGATCTGACTTCCTGTTATATGGTGGCTATGTTCTTTCTCCATGATCTCGCTGTAAGTAGGAGCTTAGCCACCCTTCTCTTCCTTACTCCTGAGAAGGGCTAGGGACTCTGTACCATGGACTATGGGGCCTGTAGCATGCATAGAAGAGTGCAAGTAACCACAACTAATGTGCAATGCTTGTTCCAAATAAACATAAGTGAAGGATAACAGGAGAGGTTTAGGAGCTCATGGAGGAAGCTACAATGAGGCAAAAAAACATAGTAAGAAACAATTTAATGAAAATAGATTGCAGGGTCATTAAGTAGATGTGTATGGATGATTTTTTTAATATTGTGAAGAATAAGGATATCATTTATTGTTGATAGCATAGTTATAGAAAGGAAATATGTGCTTTCTATTATGTACTAGGAACTGGAACAGGAACTTGCTGAGCAGAAGAAATTATTGCAATCTGTTGCAAGTCGTGGAGGTGAAATCATAAATCAGCAAACAGCCACTGATCGGACAAATGTCAGGTATAGAGCTTCTCCTGTTCTTCCAGTTTTTTGTGTTTGGATTTTTGGGTTGAATTAAATATTGAATTAGTTGCAATCATGCACCTTTAAAGCTGGTTGAATGAAAAGAGGCAGGGTGAAGGGTCACTCCCAATATATACACTGGTGCCACGTCCTAGTTTTGACTGCTCAAAAGAAACAGGAATAAAACAAATGGACTTTATAAGCACAAAGACTAGATACACGTATTAATAAAATCAGTATTACTTTATTTGGCATTACGTCACATATAGACCATAGTATTATAAAACTTATTTAGTAATATCCCCGCAATGAATGTCCCAGAGCCCACCATGTAAATAAGGAGCACAACCAGTGATGAGCCATGGAAAAGACCACCAGGATGATCCTATGGGGGGATGAGGGACATTCTGGGGCTGGAGAGTTTGCCTGACATGTTTCGCGACAGCAGTCACTTCCTCAAGGGCTATTTATATATCTAAAAGAGATACATAGACTTAGATAAGAAAACAAAAAATCATACAAAAATGATACAAAGCTCATAAAGCATGTAATACACTTACATAAAATCGCATTATGCATCAGACAGTCATGAGCCCTCCAGTCAGTGAGAGCAGGCCTCCTCTGAGTACCCAATGGGGCAGAAACCATCCAGGGGGCAAAATATGGGAGCGCAAAAAAGGGTAAGGCAGGCCAGCACCCAAAAGTACCTCAAAAAGCTGAATTACACATACGAAGGAATAGTAGGGAGCCGAAAAGAACCTAAATAAAAAAAAAATATATATATATAGAGATTCAAAATATCATCCTACATAAAATGGTATTAATTAAGGTATACAGTATAAGGATAGTTATTTACCTTCCCACAGCGCTGTTATATATAGGGTGATCCCTTGCATCAAGGAGATTAGTGATGGTAATCATCAGCTAACCTACAATCCTTAACAAGGAGGAGGCTTGTGTTCAAATAAAAAATGCCAGACTTCTGCAGTGTTGAAAAATGATACAGCTATCTAAAAGGAGTATATTACTGTTAGGTTAGTATGCAGAACTTGTCTAACAGCCCATCTCCAATTACATGCAGGCTACATAGCAAATACCGATTAGGGTAGTATGAACAATCCTTAATCACAATGTTGTGGTTGTAAAGACATCCAGAGCTGAACCATAGAATGTATACAAAAAGTATAGCCAAATCCCATGGTAGACCACCTCCTAGCAGAAAAAGAGGTGGGGGGAGGGGGGGGAGAAGACAGACCATATGATATATATATATATATTTATATATATATATATACTATATATATATATATATATATATATATTTATATATATATATATATATATATATATACTGTATATCATATTGCTTATCACTGATTTGTCACAAAGCTACATATATATCCATCGATGGCAGGTGTCTTACCTGGAAATAGGTACAACAGCACTAGATCACAGAGAGCTGATGGCAAAAATGTCTTACAGAGCAGATGCCCTAATAGGAATGGCAGAGATCGAGTGCCAGTCTGTGGCCTAAAAAGCACCCCGGCACAGCGCGCCCATGGCAGAACGTGCGATGACACTGCGCCTGGCCGTCAGGGATGCACGAGCGCGACACACCCACGCATGCACCGCAAGGCACTGCGGGTGGATACCACATGCGCACACAGGGGAAGGATCGTTGGACCCACCCCCTAAAACCGCCTATGCAGCGCCCTAGGGATTGGGCAGGAAATCCCGTGGCCACCCGGCCGCACACAAGTCTCAAAAGGAACAGGCTCTCACCCACAAGAGGCCCAAGGGTGCAATCGCAGGTCCAACTCACAGGGGCTAAGAGGGGCCACAAGAGCATGGTGCACAAATAAAGAAAACAAACATTAAGAAAAAAAAATATATAAGAAGATTTTTTCAAACATAAAGGAATACCAAAATAGCACAAAATAAATCAACATATACAGGACATAGGTTACAGCCTGGTTAAAGTTACAGCAATATAGTAAAGTTGATGAGCATCTACCAGAAAACTGGGGGTTGTTCACTGAAAGGATAATTATTGGGAACAAAAATGAGGGATTGAGATATTAGTAATGTTGATATTCCTAAACCCAATCCATAAAGGAGCCACACGGGCAAGGGGTTGCACAACAACCAGTACCTCTGGTTCCCTAATCTTTATAGGAATGGTTTATATGATATTATCTCATTAAGGCCTGGTGGATGTACTGCATTAAGCCGTTCAATCCACATAGTTTCTTTGCATAATATCTTCTGATCCCAGTTCCCTCCACGTGGGTCTTTAGTTACTACTTCTCATATAGTAAACTTGGCCTGAGTGGTATCAAATTTATGATATATTCCCAAATGGCGGCTGATAGGGGTAAGTATTTTAGCATTCGAGGAATAATAGATGTGATCATGTATTCTCTGATTAAACTGTCGTATAGTCTTGCAAACATAATAAGTTCCACACAGGGGCGGACTGACAACGTATGGGGCCCACGGGCAATAGGGGATCATGGGGCCCCTGTATCCTTGCCCAAACTCAAAAAAGCCTATGAAAAAGGTACCAGGGGCATCTCATGGGGCCCCCTACTAACCCCGGGCCCTCGGGAAGATTCCAAATGGTTAGTCCGCCCCTGCTTCCACATGTACATAACATGAGGTAGACCACTCCTCTGGTTTTACAATTAGCATGAAATCTGGGAAGAAACGATTCCCCATTGGGTAGGTGGAAAGACGTTCCCATCCACACCCAAGGGCAATAATTACACTTCCCACAAACAGTAATTCCCCTAAGGAGTATGGACCCTTAGTTCCTGGTGTGTAATAGCTAGACGTCACTGTGTCCCTGATGGATAAGGCTTTATGGAATATTATTTCTGGGTAACTTTGAATATATTTATGCAAAATAGGATCTTCCCAAAGAAGATGCCACTGGTGTTGTAATATACTACGCAATTGTGGATGTTGTACCGAATTGCGGATGTTGTACCTTTAAAACTAGATTTACTAAGCCGTTATACCTCCCAAAGGCTTTGTATGTCAGTTCAGTCGGTCCTATGCTGCCTGGTTTAAGAACCATCAGCAACACATTGGGGCTGATTTACTAAAACTGTAGCGTGGAAAATCTGGTGCAGCTGTGGTAGCCAATCAGCTTCTAACTTCAGCTTGTTCAAGTAAGCTTTGACAAAAAAAAACTGGAAGCTGATTGGTTTCAATGCAGAGCTGCACCAGATTTTGCAATCTTCACTTTTAGTAAATCAATCCCATTCATAGATTTTCAGTGTGAGAAAGAACAGTAAAAAACACAACCACTGTTTGTACCACTGTAAAGTAGAAAGCACATTATACTTTTATATATATATATATATATATATATATATATATATATATATATATATATAGTATATAAATACTGTGTATATGGAGTACCATATACATGTACAATTAAAACACATTAACATAATGTATGTCACTTTAAGGTGGTTTTGAACCTCCAACATGAACAACGCATATCTTTCTATATTGTGTTCTTGTCTAAATCCAGAACACTAAGTGTAATTTTTCTTTGCTGCCTCCTTCCTTCTCTATCTGATTGAGTCACTTCTGACATGTTTTCCTGACACCTGACAGAAAAAAGGTGACAGGGGAGGGAGCTACAGCACACATTCTATGATTGACAGCCCTAGCTCTGTTCCTGTGTTCTGTGTGAAGGGGGGTATGCCCCTTCTGCCCAGTCAGCTCTCACTAAGCTCTGTAGCATGTAACTTCAGCTCCCTGGCCCCTGTTTTCAGAAAACCCAGGCAAGTTTTATACATTCTGCACTTTAAATGGCTTTAGGGAAGAGAGGGTGGCAGATAAACATAGACAACTCATATAGAAGGATTTTCTTCATCTTTGTGTATCCCCTGAGGCCAGTCACTGCACTGATATACTGTTTACAGTTGCTTTAACCAATTTTTGTGTGTACCTTAAAATCCCAATATTGGCAAGTTTGTTTTTTTAATTTTTTGCGCTACAATCACTTGGGTCTTTTGGAAAAATATTGTTGCAACTTTATTGTCCAAAAGAAGCCAGATTCAATCTAGCTGTTGCAGAATGTTAGTACTTGATTGATTTCCAAAAGCAATAACAATACTTTTCATTTCCTCTAATATTCATACAGATCTTAAATCCGAAATGTATATGGCACATCTGTTTAGCAAAATGTAACTTACTGTTTTCCATAGTGATGGACCTGATTCCCTGTCTAGAGAGTTAGGCTTGGAAGGAGTAAAACCAAAATCTCAAGATCGGATGAAAATGAAATGGGAGAGTCTGCACCAAGAGCTCAGCACCAAAGAGAAGCTAATTCACAGTGCTTTACAGCAGGAGCAAGAACAGCCGGTGATTAAATTATAGTTATGTCACACAGAACAGTGTATGGAGCTTGTTGTTTGCAGTATACAGTAAACCCTTATGATGTGTAATTGTAATTATTATTTGTATGTATCTTTGTAACCAGATATTCAGCAAAACAAACAGAATTATACCCGGGTGCCTTTTTACAAAGGAGACAAGCAAGTACAAGACAAATCATCTGTTGTAAATATTTTGGATGGATTAAATCAAGCGCTGCAAGATGTATCATCTCAGGTACTTTTTTAATATTACTTCCACGTTATGTAAGGGCATCCAACTGGTAGTAGCTCTGCTGCAGCTCTGCATTGAAACCAATCAGCTTCCAGGCTTTATCGTCAAAGCCATACAAAGCAGTGTGCATGCAGTGAAACACACACACAGCCCACAGTAGTAAAAGCAGCACACAGTTAACCCTTTGATCGCCCCACACATGTTAACCCATTCCTGCCCAGTGCCATTAGTACAGTGTCAGTGCTTTTTATTAGCACTGATCACTGTATTGGTGTCACTGGGGATGTCAGTGACACCAAGTCAGTTCCCCTCAGTTCAGAATGCCCGCCGCAGTGCCGCTATAAGTTGGTGATCACTGCCATTACTAATAAAAAAAAAAAAAAAAATAAAGTAATATACCGCCATTTATAAACACTATAACTTTCACGTAAACCAATTAATTTACACGTATTGGAATTTTTTATAGCAAAGACATGTAGCAGAATACATTTTGGGCTACATTTATGATGAAATTTGATTTTAAAATTTTTTTTACTGGACATGTTTAATACCAAAAAGTCAAAAATATATATATATATTTTCAAAAAAATTTTTTTTGTTTATAGTGCAAATAATAAAAAAAACTGCACAGGCGATCAAATACCACCGAAAGAAAGCTCTATTTGTGGTAAAAAAGGATGCAAATTTCATTTGGGTGCAGCGTTGCATGACCGTGCAATTGTCAGTTAAAGTAAAGCAGTGCCGTATCACAAAAAATGGCCTGATCAGGAAGGGGGGTAACTCCTCAGGAGGGCAAGTGGTTAATTAGCAGAATGAACAGTATGTTGATTGGTAGTTCTTAAGCGTTACTACTCTTTGTAGATTGCTGTAGATTGCTGTAGATTGCTGCTTTGTAGATAGCTTTAGTAAATCCATAAATCCATTGTGTCATGCCCTTTTCCATACTTTATTTTTTCTTATGTAAACAAAATGGAGTGGAAAGTATGGGCATAGACTCCCCCCCCCCCCCCCCCCCCCCGGTTGCATCTAAAGAAGCCCAGCACTATTTTATAACATGCAAATTATATAACTGTAAGTCAGGGGAACGTCCAGTCTGAAATCCACTGGATGAAAATGTTAGTGTTTACATCCAAAAAAGATTACATTTGCTCAATTTTCTGATGTGATAATCTTTCCTGTCTTCTTGTTACCTACCATTTTTTAGGCAACAAAACTTAAGGCTAGGTTCACACCTATGCAGTTTGCATTTGATCAGTTTCTGCAGTGCTTTTTAAGTGCGTTTTGCATTTTGTGTTTTTTTTTTCCAACTTGTTGCTGGGCAGATTAAAACGCAAAATGTGTAAAAAATGCTTCAATAATGCACAACATGCTCCTCTGCCACATCTCCATTGAAGTCTATAGAACCAAAAATGCAATGTCTTGAGTTAAAAAAAAGGCCCTGACCCTTTCCAGAAAACGCACCAGGTGAAAACACGGATATGTAAACTTGTCCCATAGAAAATCATGTTAAATTGACTGCTGTGCATTTCTGAAAAACGCAATGGAAAATGCTTAGGTGTGAACCTAGACTAAAACCTTACTAGAGCCATGTTGTTTTTTTTTAATTTTGGAAGAGCGTTAGTTTTCATAAGAGTTACCTTTTTTTTTTTCTTTTAATAGTATTACTTGCATGTGTATCTGGTTAACAGAAAGACTGAAGGCCCTTACTATTTTTATCTGTTCCTATCTCTGTCTCTTATCACCACATGCAAAATTTTTCTTCACTTCCTGCAGTAGTGACATCCAACAAAAGAAGTGGGGATTGTGGGTGTCACTTGGACAGGAAAGCAAAGAAGACGGTAAAAAAAAAGACATAATCAGTTCTACCTCTTCTCCATCCCACTACAAACGTGTTTTTGTTTTGTTCGAGAGATTTGTCATCATTCCCCATCTTGATTTTCTGCCCCTGAATATAAGAGGAAATGTCTTAATGAGGGGACATATGACAATAAAAACCTGACAGGGTCTGTAACCCTTACTAGCTACATCTCAAATATAAATATTTAAGGTGGTGTGTGTCTTTTTATATTATTATTTTTTTTCTCTGTATGTTCCCATTAAGGACTAAAGCTGTCCATACAGTGCTAGAACCTTAAACGATTCAGAGCACTTTGCCAATAATATAACAGTGGGTGCCTCTTCCGGATCGACAAAAGTCGATTACTTAAAGTAGATGGGCTAAAAATTGTCAACTGAACGGCACCTGTAGTCAGTCAGCTGTCAGAAAACAATAACCCAGCAGGTGTAGTTCGGCCATCCTTATTCTTTGTGTGGATGGAGGAATCTGTCAGATTTCTTTTGTTCCACTTGCAGTCAGGATGTATGACCAGCTTCAGTGCTTATCAATTAGCATTAGCTAGTATCATTATGTTATCTTTTTTTTAACTTACATGTGGTCCTGCCATTTTATCAATTAGACCTGGTTCACTGTGAATGTGACTTTGAAATCACGCTACTTCACTTGAAGTATCGTGATTTCAAAGTTGAAGATCAGTGCAATTTGTATCTCCATTTTTCACTGTGGCTTGCAACTTCATATAACAGAAGTCAAAGCAAGTCGCAATGAAATCGGAAAAAAATAGTGCATGAACTATTTTTTAAATTGCGCTACTTCAATTCACACCGATTAAGACAGTGCCATAGAAATACTTCAGGTGCGATTTGTAACTCTTATGTCACACCTGAAATTGCACCGGTGTGAACCAGGGCTTACACTGAAAAAGTGATTGAAATGTTTTATTTTTTAATTAATGAATATTGTTTTTGCTGTAGTGAAAACTACATCTGAAAAATGTATTATTGTTGGATATATCTTATTTTAAGTTTCCACATATAGTATGTGAAATGTTTATACAATTTGAAACATATTTTTATCTTCATATTATTTTTTTCTTTCAAATAATAGACTTGCTGAGACTTATACATATATTATGGCTTATACATATATTAGGGCGGCACAGTGGCTTAGTGGTTAGCACGTCTGCCTTGCAGTAAATGGGTCATGGGTTTGATTCCCAACCATGGCGCCTCCTGCATGGAGTTTGCATGTTCTCCCTGTGCCTGCATGGGTTTTCTCTGGGTGCTCCCGGTTTCCTGCCACACTCCAAAGACATGCTGGTAGGTTAATTGGATCCTGTCTAAATTAGCCCTAATATGTTTATGTATGAATGTGAGTTAGGGACCTTAGATTGTACACCCCTTGAGGGTTAGGGACTGATGAGAATGTTCAATATATATGTGTTAAGCGCTGCGTAAATTGACGGTGCTATATAAGTACCTGAAATAAATAAATATTATACAGTAATGTATAAAAGTAAATGTTACACTTTACTTTTCAATAATCTAAACTGCCCCTATTAACCTTTGACCTTATATAGACTACAGTTGGAGAAAAAAAGATCCTTCCATTAGAGAAAAAACTCTATGATGCTGTCTCAGCTACTTCTACTTGGTTGGATGATGTGGAGGAACGACTTTTTGTACAAACTGCCCTTCAACCAGAAGAGACAGAATCCTGTCTTTACCACCAAGAGGTATGTTGTATTCACTGGCTTGTGACTTAATAGCTAGCAAAAATGAACAGGCATCCCACTTTAAAACTACTTTGCTGCTACTTTTGTCTAATTCCTTTATCCTTAATTATTGTTGTCTTTTTTTAATACAATATTGTTTTTGTCAACATGACATAATTTACTGTGACCAGGGATTATCACAGTGTGCCATAGTGATAGCTGAAAAAGTTTTCAATATTCTGACTTTGGTCTTGCTGTGGGGCTTAAGCCGGACACAGATGGTTCGAATCTTGGCCAGTTCAGCTGGGACCAGCCAAGATTTAAACCATGTTTGGGCAGGTTAAATGTGCTCAAGTTGATCGATTGATCAACTTGGGTACAACCAGCCTTTTCGACTTTTCATGTGATTATTGCCATAGGCTATTATAACTGCTAGCAATAATCAGTGGGGTTGATTTACTAGGACTGGAGAGTAGAAATTCTGGTGCAACTGTACATGGTAACCAATCAGCTTCTAAGTTCAGCTTGCTTAATTGAGCCTTGTCAAAAAAAAAAAAAACCTGAAATCTGATTGGTTTCTATCAGATTCCAGGTTTTCCAGATTTTCCACTCCAGTTATAGTAAATAAACTCCACTATGTTCTCCCAGCAGGGACGGCTCCCCCTTCCCATTGGCTCCACAGGAGGGACTCCCCCATCAACACTGACTATGTTGATGGGTGAATTGAGTGATTTTCTTTCCTGCAACCAGTGGCTACAGGAAAGAAAATTGCTCCATCTATGGCCGGCTTAAGAGGACCATCACTGAGCATTTGTTACTGGTAAAACTCAGCTCTTGAAATACATATACTGTATGGGAGCTGCTTTACTTGAAAAATTATTTTTATTTCTAATAATTATTTACATCTAATCCTGAGATTTACCCAGCTTTGTCTCACAGCACAGCCCTGACTGGCAAGGCAGGAGACCTGATTTTGTACCACAGTAATGTGATGATTACAGGTTTATACCCTCCCCTAGCCTGTAACCAGACAGGAGGAGCAGCAGACTGATGAGCTTGTTTCTTTGTCACTCAGTTCTTTGGATCTATCAGCATGTTTTCTTGTTAGCTTAGAAGGACTGTAGCACAACTGAATGGCTCCATGTGCGGCTTTTTCTTCTCTCACTGTGAGCTACGCTGTACATGAACTGCAAGAGGCTGATATCAGGTCAAATTCAAGTACTTACGCTGCATGCATTAAAAGTTATTTATTTAATGCTGTTTTAGTAAATATGAAACTGCATTCATTTGTGTCTTTCATTTGGTCTTCAGGCCAACTTTAAGGCCCCTTTCACACGAGTAGTCCAGTCGGGTCCATCTGTCTGTTTTCCGGGCAGACACTATAAGCCCCTCCATTCTCCTCTATGGTCATATGGGTGTAAACGGACTTGTTTACACCCAGCTACTTCTGATCCAGCAAAAAACGGAAGGAGATCCGTTTTCTTCTGTTTGGCCGGATCAGATCAGAGGGCAGTCGAGTATAAATGGACAGCTGGTCCGTTTACATTAGACTGCCCTTAGAGCAGAGTGGGCTGTGTCTGTTACTGCTGTGTATAGGCGGAGCGGACACAGACCTGTCATTTGCCCACTCCACTCAGCTCAGCAGGGGATCAGCAAACAGATCCCCTGCTGAACAAAATGTGAAAGGGGCCTAAGACTCAGTTTACACTTGCCGCAGCCTTTGCCACCCTTCTGAAAGGGGTGCACGTGACTGTGAAACAGCCACATTCAATTGAATGGGTCAAGTTCAGTGGCAGTGCTGCCCATGAAACAGGACAAGGGAGATAAACTGTGGCTATGAAGCAAAGCAGCACGGTGGCCGTATGTTTACAAACCCATCTGGCTGCCTTTGCAGTTTAAGTGGGGTGGTCAGGGGCAATACAAATGCATCTCAACTTTCTGTTTTTACTCACAGACTTTGGCTAAAGACATTAAAGAAATGAGTGAAGAGATGGACAAGAACAAAAAACTCTTTTTACAAGCCTTCACAAGTACCGGAGACCACCAGGAAATCATAGAGGACACGTTGTATTGTCTTCTGGGAAGACTGAACTCTTTGGAATCTGTTGTAAACCACAGATGTAATCAGATGAAAGAGAGGTTACAAGATCTTCTGACCTTTCAGGTATGATGATCATATGAGATCCTTACATGGCATACACAATCTTGACATTACCTGGATACTATGGGTTTATTTATTCAAGGTAAATATGTTGTTCAATTTGCAGGGGAAGTTACACATTGCAAGGGAATCTTTCCCAGACAGTAGTGAATGTGGTGAACATGTACTTTGCAAAGAATAGCCTATCACAGGGAAGGAAAATAAAAAACAACTTGCTTGCACAAGATTGAATGATGGAAGTCAGCTTCATCTTATTCACTAAGTTATGGGGAAAATGTACTTGCTAAGTGCAGCTTCACTTGCAAAGTAAACAGTCCATTTGCCTTTAGTAAATCAACTCCTGTGAATCATTTACATACTGTATGTAAGAACTACAGTTCAAATTATATTCTTTATTCTGCTGGCTACAATCAGCTAGCTGTGGGTTTTAAATTTATTGGGGGTCAATTTATTATTGGTTCACTATAAATGGCCATTCAGCATAAATAACAATAAAGAAAGCTTGTAAGCTTACGTTAGCCAAAAATGACACCCAGCTTAACAATACATGCTGAACAGTGTGTATTTGGTTAAATATAAATACTCTATATTCTACATACATTTTAATACATATTGGTGACAGCAGCTTAGTATACAACAACAGTTTTATTTTTGATATGTTTTTAATTAAGTATCAAAAATTGAGCAATTCTATAATGGTATGTGTGTTAGTTAAAGTAGTATGAATCCCCCTTTCAAAAAAAAAAATGATATTACAGCGTAGAACTCCTTAGATTTGGTGACTGCATTATCAGCTCTATTATCAGCTTGCGATCCAGCTAGTAAGTTTGTTATTTTTCAGTAGACCAAGCTGTTTTGCAAAAATTTCAGAAGGTTGAAACAAACCACTTAACATTGGCAGGGTGCCTACAGTGGTCTGTTGGTGTAACTCTTTAAAACTATTAGCTGGCGTTTGGTTTTAGTTTGTTAGTCCATCTAAACCTGCTTAAGAATCAAACACTACCTTCTCCCAAGACCTACAATGCTGCAGTCCAAAGGTTGCTGCTTTATTCATAGTGTAGACACCCAAAGATAAGAAGCATGGTACTGGCCAGATCACTAGATGAAATCAAGAAAAAAAAACTTAAAAGGAAAACTAATGCAGCTATCATATTTAAGGATTGGATAGCTGCAGTATATTATATGCTTGTTTTGGGGTTTTAGATCATTTTAACACTGTAACTTCAAGCAGCTTAAACACGGTTTGCACTTGTTATCAGCCTTATTCACAGTAGAAGGGGCGGACTGACAACTCATGGGGCCCCTGGGCAATAGGGGATCATGGGGCCCCTGTGTCCTTGCCCAAACTCAAAAAAGCCTATGCAAAAGGTACCAGGGGCATCTCATGGGTCCCCATACTGACCCTGGGCCCTCAAGGCAGTGCCCGAGTTTCCAAATGGTCAGTCCGCCCCTGCACAGTAGTTACTAAGGTGTTGGCTCTTATTCACGGGTAACCATATTGGGTCTCACATTTAAGTCAGATCTGTATGTTGATTAGTTAAAATCAAATTATTTTTCGCCATGCCCCAACACTCCAAATCCACCATCCTCTTCTTATGTGCATTAAAAAGTGACCTCAGATCAGCATTGTGTATTTTTCTTTCCTAGTTCCTTTCAGAGCTAAGCAACATTGACTCCTTTGACTGTAATGGGTTGTCTGAAGAGCCGTATATCAGTCGATGTACAAATCCACCAATATTTTTCTCATAATTAGTATACATCACGGTCTATCACATATATACACCTTTGATCTCTGATCATACCACCTAAATCATCCAAAATTTTCTCCTAATAATATGCAACATGTATTATCTACATATATGTAAAACATGCCTTAAGTTTGTGCTCCATGCAAAAATTTTGAAAGTGCGATATTTGAGTTTTTATGTAAAATGTAATTTGTATACATGTTTTGTTCTAACAGAACGATTTGAAGATGCTGTTTACTTCCTTGGCTGATAATAAATACATCATACTGCACAAACTGGCAGAAGCTGCAGAGCGACCGGCGAAAGAACAGATGCAGGTAATTACTGTATATGGCCATTATGCCATATTTGATGACAAGCCATGATCATACCTTAACTTATCATTATAGCAATGTCAAGATATATGCTATAAAGATACTCACCTCACCTCTGACCAGAAAACTGTCACAGATGTCATGAGACTTGTCCAAAGGTTAAAGGCATAGCATTGCTTTTATTACCTTGATATACACCTGGAAATATGCCACATATTCTCATACAGGTCATTGTAAACAAACTAATTTTCATGTAAACCATCCAGACATGTTAATACTTTTTTCATATATCTGTAATACACACAGCATCATTACTTGTCTTTAGCTACCTGTGGACCTGTCATCAAAATAAGTGCCTTTCCAATTCTTTTAGAGTAGGAGTCCAGTCAAATCTAAACTTAAACCTGCTCCCACCCCCATTTTAAGCTCTATACTGACTACCCCGTAGAGCAGGGGTGTCAAACTGGCAGCCCTCCAGCTGTTGCGAAACTACAAGTCCCATCATGCCTCTGCCTTTGGGAGTCATGCTTGTAACTGTCAATCTTGCAATGCCTCATGGGACTTGTAGTTTGGCAACAGGTGGAGGGCCGCCAGTTTGACACCCGTGCCGTAGAGCAAAAGATGTGCATACTTACCTATTCTTAGGGCGCCCTTGTGTAGTCATGTGATTGACTCCCATCGCCGACTTCAGGGTAGAGGAGACACAGCCAAAATTGGATGCCACATAGTAAGTCTTTTGTAGCCATTGTCGGTGATCTATCGTCTTCACTGAATCAAGTCACTGGGGACATCACGTGACTGGACCAGAATGCCCAGGAAAGAGGTAAGTATACACATCTTTACTCTATGGGGTAGTTAGTATAGGACTTAGAATGTGGGTGGGAGCAGGTTTAAGTTTACATAGGATTTAACTGGACTTCTACTTTAAGCTAATACCTGGAATTTGACACAAAATGGTAAAAAAAAGAGCAATATAGTTTATAATGTAACAGGTTGTAGAAACATACTGTATATGATTTCAATAACAGACTGACTTGGCAACTTACACATTTATGGCTGCCAGGTGGAAAGAGTAACCATGATAAAACTTATGAAGATATTTATCTGTCTTCACCCCTCAGCAGGTGTTTTCAGTAGTAGGCACAGCCAACAGGAAAGGGCCCAAAGAAACCCAGAGATGCCTTAAGAGAAGCAGAGTAAATATGGAATTAAAAAGGTTGTTTTCACTCACCATAATAAGAAATAACCCTAAGTGGATTGGACAGCACCAATGAATGTTCAGGACAGAAAATATAAAATGAAGTAAATTGTTATCCACACCACACCCAGATCTTGCTACAGGGCTTCCAAATTGACAGGAAAAACACTGTGGGTGATATAATTCACTAGCTTCTTCTTAAAATGTAAGTGTGTTTTTGGTGGAGAGTATGGCACTTTAATTGACCCAGTGTTATTAAAGCGGAGCTCCACCCAATAGCGGAAGTTCTGCTTTAAGTCTTTGTCCCCCACTCCCCATTAAGGATTGGCACATTTGGGGAGGAGGGGGGGGGAGCGGGTACCCAAATTTGACAGGTACCCACTCCCACATCTGCTGCGATCGCCTAAGGCGATTGGAAGCAGAAGTTGTCCTCCGCCCCTCTCTCTCTCTAGTCTTATGGGACGTGTGACAGGTCCCAGAAGACTACGGGGCCATTTGCAAAGTGCAGCGCTTCTCGCTCATGCACAGTGGGCACCCGGATGTGAATCTGCAAGCTGTCACAGCCAGGTACCCACACTGAAGATGCCAGTGCCAGAAGAGAAGATGGCTGGTGAAACCAGCGGTGGTGAGGAAACCGCTAGACCAAGGAACAGGTAAGTGGCTGTATTATAAAAGTCAGCAGCTACAGTTTTTGTAGCTGCTGGCTTTTTTTTTTTTTTTTTTCAAGTGGAACTCTGCTTTAATAAGCTTTTGAAAGAGAGAAATAGCAATCCATACCTGCAAGTTCAACTTACTTTCCCAACCAAACCCCTAGATACACAAAGTCGACTAGTTATCTCCGCATATACGCCAATACTATTTCTGCATGACTGTACTGGAAGCTTGCTTTATGAACTCAGTAGGTTTAGGGAGATTGTTTTACTGATCCACCGTTGAGCCTGTAGAAGAAACTGTGGTTTGCATATAATGTCTGTCTGCCTGCACTTATTTAGTTTTGGTCAGAGTCTTATGAATGAGGTTAGCCAAAGCTAATCTGATTTTGTACCATACTTTGCTTTCACCCCTATTACATCTTTCCATCTGTCTTGAAATCCTTTTTCTTCTGAATTTCCTATTTTCAGGGATTCTCCCCTTTTGTTGAATCTACAGGAACCCTGTACCAGATGGGTCACATTCCAAGATACCGCTAACTTTACTTAGCGGAATGTTGTGAAACCTTTTGTTACCTTTTTTGTGTTTCTGTATCATTATTCCATTACTGCTCATCCACTGTAAATCTACTTCTCTGCTTTGCCATTCTGTCCTTCCTTGTTCTTTTGCTAACTTCAAATAACTGTAGCTTGACAATAAATTAAGCAAGGTGCTCACTACAAGATGTACCAAGTTAAAAAGCATAGTGTTTTGTGATATGACTCCTGGCATTTTATAAAGCTGTGGATTTTATTACACAAGATCTGTAAATAAAGTTTTGTTCATGTAATTTTTCAATAAATGTTTAAGAATTAAATGTACCTGTCTTTTTTCCAAAGTGTCATTTTATAAAGGCAAAACATAACTGACACCAGGGATGGGTTTATTATATTGGTGCATAAATAGAAGTACAGATGGCAGAGGAAAATATAATGTCTCAGAGCAGATTAACTGTCCGTTTGTTATTACATAACTGCAATGTACAGAAGATGGTGTCACATTGGTTTAGTTTTATAAAAAAAATTTACAAACAGGTATAATGTACTTTAATTTATGGTATAGCAGGTATCCATCAGCAGTCTAAATTTACCAAGCATTGCATAGGTATCTTGAATAATCAAAATTAAATGTGTAATTATCCTACTCATACTATCTGTCCAAAATCAGCATGATATCATGATTTATAATTTATCTGTACTGAGATCAAAAGAAGAAAGTGAATCGTATATCCTATCAGAAGATACCAAATGTGATTATCTGTTTTGCATCCATTGCCAGTGCGATTTTAAGACTTCCTGCAAATCAGGGTTGAGCAAACTCAAATGCTAAACTCTTCCCCACCACCCACCAGGGGCTTCATAGTAGAGATTCTACTAATGGACACAGTCCTCCTCTTCCAAGCTGGCTAAAAAGAACGACAAGATGATGGTGCCTATACCAACTCCCCCCCCCCGCCCTCTTTTGTGTACTAGTGTAGCATGACATCAATAGATAATTGCATGACACTTGGATAAACATACCATCTAGTCCATAGGTGGCTTCAATTGTAAGATGGAAAAAAAAAAAAAAGCTTTTTTCAAGTCCCTTTATTTATCCAATAGGCCATGAGCCATAAATTCCAAGAACCAGATAAAAAAAAAAAACAATAGAAATATTCCAGCATTTTCTTTAGAAGTCACAAAAATTACATTTTGTGTTCCAGTTTTTCAGTAAAACATTTATCTTGCATTTTAGGTGTTTCCAAGAACTACATTTTGTCCACAGCCAGATAGAACTTAGTTGTTAAATGGAAATAAAAACAGCAATCTTACAGTTTGCTCTGGACATGTAACCCACATTTATATTATCCAAACAAAAAAATGTCTAAGACTTTATACACAAGTATGTTTTTCATGCATTGCAGTCTGCTATGTTTTAGATATTCAGGACCATAACTATGTGTAATAAGGTCCTGTAGCAAAACCTTTAAGAACTTTTCAACTTCTCCATCCACTAAGAGCCTTTTCACAAGAGACAACTCATCAGAGATAGAATCACTAAGAAACGACTTATCGGTTTTAATGGAGTCATTCCCTACTTAGTTGGACCAGCGAGATGCCTCTCCCTCCGTAGCAAGGTAGATTCAGCAGCAACGCAAACCAGTGAGGAAGCGATTCCATACAGACAAGTTGAAGCCTGTTCTGCATGATTCTGTTGCTAGCAATGTGACGTCCCCATCCTTTATATATAGTTATTTTTTACAGATTTATTTGCCAAATCCTATTGCTAACTGCATAAATAACTATGTAGCTAGAAAATGTTAGGCCCCCTTTCTTTCAAGTCCACATAGCAGGTACATGCTCTGCTTGGGACAAAATTATTACCTTGGTACTATTCATCCCTGTGGAAGATGTGTTTTGCATAGGTGAGAATGTTGTTTAATTACTGCTTTTCTTTATATCAAAGCACTGGTAGACTAAGGCAGCCCATACATGTTTCATTTTTTGTTCGTTCAGCCAGTGAGTTGAACAAAAAAAAAATGACCAAATTCCCCCATTCATATATTTTCAACTGAGATATTGTATTCTGACAGCATGGCAACTTCCCCTCCATCAGAATACACTGATCAGCTATAGCTGGTGGCACTGATCGATCAGGAAAAACCCAACAGGCTGGTTGTACAGAAGTTGATCAGTAGATTGACTTTTGTACAACCAGCCTGCCCATACATGGATCGAAATTTGGACAGTTCCTGCTGATTGTCCGAATTTTGATCCATGTAAGGCCAGCTTAAGTCAATAGCTTGTATGAAAAAGGTAGACTGTTTTAAAATTTTGAGCATTATAAACACTTGTTTTACCAATGTAGATGGGATAACTAGAATGTGACTACATACCATTCTATACCAGTATCTAAAAAATCAAATCTTATCGCTGGTCCTGTGATTATGGTAAGTTTGTGTGCTAGAATAGAAGCAGATATGTACAATACAAATACTGTATACCAAAAAGACAGCAGTACTGTCATCTGTAGCCACATGCTGGGGACAGTTGAATTATCTCTCCTAATTAAATCTTAGGCTAGCAAATCTTAAAAGTAAGCAACGAATCATGAGGTTCAGAAAAACCCTACTCTCAACTAATATCCTCCAAACTGCCTCTACGAAAGCATACAGCCTGCATAAGGTCATGTGTCTCTTATAATTAGACACTCCTTACTTTTTAAACTCAACCTATATGATAGGATTGTGGAATATTACTTAAAACATTAAACGGCTAAGTGTATTAAAATGAACCAGTAAATGTGGAAATAAGAAATACATATTATTTATTTATTACAGGTATTTATATAGCACCGTCAATTTACGCAGTGCTTTGCATATATATATTGTACATTCACATCAGTCCCTAACCCTCAAGGGACGTACAATCTAAGGTCCCTAACTTACATTCATACATACACATAATAGGGCCAATTTAGACAGGAACCAATTAACCTACCAGCATGTCTTTGGGTATTCTTGTTTTTTAACTCTAAAGTATATGTCAGTCACTTAATTATCATTTTTGTGCCTCATTGGAAATAGTTAGAAACATAAAGTAGTTATATTACACTCAGCTTAACCACATATGCGTATAAAGAAAAATGGTGCTTGCGTGCATAGCAGTTGGGCTGGACATAAAATTTATGGAACCCTATAAGCAATGTCAGTCCTGTTCCAAACAAAGTCTGATGCAGGCAAGCCTTGGACTCCCTATATACAAGTCTGTGTAAGCTGGTAAAAAGGCCCTCCAAGAGCATGCAAGAAAAATGTAAGCAGCCGTACAGAGATCACTGACTGTTATGTCATCAATAATATTAAGACAGCTGATAGCTAATATTGGTCTATACATAGGGACGTTATCCATGGAATAGGTGTAAAATGTCTGAATCTGCCTTTATGACTGGCTGTTTATAAAAATGCCTGGATAGGGTAGTAAGTTATTAACAACTTCTAAAAATTAGCCAGTGTGTGTTTTGGGTTTAATAGAATAGAGATAAGTAGCTGCATTTTCAGGAATTGTCATTATCAATAGGCTCTTTAATGTCTGCACTAAAACACATCTAATGGGTAAACAATCACTATTTAAAGTGCAAATATGTTGTGTGTTAAAATGTATAGTTATGAGCTGGCCCTTATTCATATAGAGTTGTAGACCCACATAAGTGCATTTTGTTTGCCTAATAATGTAGAGTTACTCGACAGTGCCTCCAATTATTAGAACATCAGTGATAAATACTCAGTCATATAGTATAAGTATTCTATATAGCAGGGTATACACAAATGTTTGGTTTTTTTTTTAATTCAACCAGTGGGTTGAACAGAAAAAAGACTCACAGATCCCCACATCCACAAAAGCAGGGATGAGGATGCAGGGATCTCCCCGCTGCGCTATTGTATTCTCCCAGGAGGGACTCCCCCTCTACCAGAAAATACAGATCAGCACTCAAATGCTTGGCTGCATGCATTGATCAAATGCTGGTTTTCTAGTAGGGCTGTTCAATAAGAGCCTGTCTTACAAGCAAATTCTCTTGAACAGAGAGAGCCACACACGGAACAAAGTGTGTCTAGTTTCTGATGAACTTTCATTTTGTGGACAATCCCTCTACACCTGTATAAGAGTATGCTTAGTCTAAAGTAGATATCTGTATTGTTTTGATACACTCAATATGCAGTAAAAAGATGTTACATTTTCTATCTGTTTTTGCAGTAAGCATAGATTTTTAGCTACATAAAATATAATAATTTTAAACTAAACTGACCAAAATAAATGATCTCACATATTGGGTGCTAAACACGGATGGGGCTAAATCTACCAAAACTGCTGCCGGTATATCACTTTGGGCATAGAAATTACTATTCTTTGTACCAAGAGGGAAAGGTTTTATTCGTTTCTGTGTCACAATACTTCCACTTAAAGTTAGTGGGTCACCAGGGCAGAAAGTGAGAGGAAAACTACCTAGTCAGATACAGACACCCATAAAAACTTGGTAGAGACTCTTATGCGCTTTGTTGAAAACTTTAAAAAATGTTTTGGATGGAGTTTGGGCTTTAACCATTACACACACAAATAGGAGTTAGCAATATGGATTAACACCTCTGATCTTCCCTTCTTATGGATCACAATATATAATATATATATATAATGTTCCCCTGTTTTAGATGTTATGGTCTTAAAGGTGATACTATGGTGGGATATATGTTTTACAGTAGCATATTTTACCAACTCTGCTATTTAAGATGATAGCTCTTAAAAGGCAATTTTACAGCTATTGTATAGAATGTGTTGCTACGTAAACCAACATATATCACATTGTGATTACAGAACTCTCATACCTTTAAAACTCTAACATTAATAATATTTTTTAACTATTATAATTTTATATTTCTAGTTATTCATTAATTAGACTATTTGCTTTGTGTTTAGGCTATTTTACAAGCAGAAGATAGTTTAAAAGAACTGGACACAGAAATTACTGAGTTGAAAAAACACGGAGATAAACTACAAGTGGACCAGCAATCAGTGCAAGAATTATCAAAGCTTCAGGTAAGGTGGGAAAAGATAAAATATTTTCATTTTAGCAGGTTTTTTTCCATACGATTCTTTATTGAAAAAGAAAGGATGATTCCACCAAATTGTAGTAGTACAAAGTGTAGGAATACAACTTGTGTCACAGAATGTCACAGGTACGTATAGAGTGAAAACGAGAGGGCGGAAACCTCATCTGTGTGAAGTCAAATCTGTATGTAAAAATAAAAAAAAAGGGTAGTAGAAGTCCATTTGTGTTGATTTATTAAAACTAGAAAATGCAAAATCTGGTGTAGCTGTGCATTGTAGCCAATCTTCATCTAACTTCAGCTTGTTCAATTAAGCTTTAAAAAAAAAAAAAAAAACTGGAAGCTGCACCAGATTTTGCACTCCAGTTTTATTAAGTCAGCCCCATTGTGTCCTAAAAGATAATGTTCAGGAAACAGTAAGTAGGGAAAATAACACGAAAGGGTAGGGAAAGGGTTTTAGAATTTTAGCTATCTTAACAGATATAGTAGGAAGAGCAGAAATAAATATCAAGGAATAGTTGATATTTATTTATTTCACTTTTGAAAATGTGGTTTAGCAATTCAGACCCTTTTTACCTTATCATAGGGGAACGATGAGTATATAATCTGCTGGAAATGTGGTATATAATCACACTTGGGATGCTTCCTTTAAAGCTGAACAAATATGTACACAGATGAAATACATATATGAGATGTTCTACCTACCAAGGTTTTTTATTTCTGTGCTTCCAGTTCTGAGAGTTACACAGCTCTGCCAGATAATATAGTACTGCGTGGCAGATCAGGGGACCAAATTTTTCTCTGCAGCATCTTCAACTTTCACTTACAAGTCTCTTCCCCACCTCCATCCTGTGAATGGACAGTGAAAGAAATAGTACACGGAGGAGATCATCTCTTTCATTCTGTTCTCTTCTTCTATCAGTACACTAGTTACAGTGCAGTGTATCTGAGTGCAGGGGCGGACTGACAACTCATGGGGACCCGGGCAATAGGGGATCATGGGGCCCCTGTGTCCTTGCCCAAACTCAAAAAAGCCTATGAAAAAGGTACCAGGGGCATCTCATGGGGCCCCCTACTGACCCCGGGCCCTCGGGCATTGCCCGAGTTTCCAAATGGTCAGTCCGCTCCTGCTTGAGTGGCTCCTTGTGCTGCTTCTCTCTCCCCCATTCTGTGCTGTGCTATACTGCTCATACCAAGTCAAATTCAGGTGCTTACCCTTCTTGCATTTAAACATATATAATTAATCATATATTTTTGATTACAGGGCTGCATTTTTTTGGAGCTATTTTATCTGCCTGGAGTTTAGCTTTAATGAACCAATGTTCTATATCTTTCAAATAGACTTCCCCACTCCCCCCTTCTCCCTCACCACACACACACACATTCCTGCTGGTCCCTCTTCAGAATAGCCCAGTGTTTAAAATCAAACAGTCCTCCTGCGCTCTTATGTATTAACTCGGAAAGGTATAAAAAGCTAAAAAGCAGCTAACATCTAATCCTATACAATTAGGCAACAAAACATAAATGCAATATATGTGATGTAGCGTTCATAACAATATATAAATTAGTGATCATACAGTGATATACACACAAGTATCAGGTCCTATAATGGACCATAAATGGTGAATAATCTACCAAAAAAGGTGACCCCCCAATCCACATGGGGATAATATATAAATGTGACTCCCTGGTCCCCAATAAGGGACATTAACCAATAATAAGTGAATCCCTATAGTGGGATCAAATAAATAGCCTCAGTGCGAAAGAAGACAACAATATTGGCAAAATGAGAAATAGTCCAATAATCAGTGTCGCATTCCTTCTGATCATGCACAAAAAGGAATGTGGGTGAACCAACACACCCCGGATGTGATCCCAAAATGGCTGCAATGGCCTCTCACCTCCGCCTTGCGACCCTGCAGGGCCACAGAGCATATATGTATCACCTCTGGATCACCTCAGCAAACAGCACTCCTCAAGGACTGATAGCTTTAAACGACTTCCCTGTTGGCACCATTGTTCTTCCATTTCATTCTGAAGATGGCAGGACGCACCCAGCGCCAGATGCACAGCCCCGGAAATCCACGAATGAGCAGTCCCTGCTTCCCTTCCCACTGCAGCACACGCACAGTCTGTGCACTCATGCAGCTCAGTGGTTTTGCTTGTAAAGGAGTGCAGACTGTGCATTTGTGGTTGGGGAGGAAGGTCAGGTGTGGATTTTGAGGGCTGCACTACTGGCTTGGGTTCATCCTGCCCTCTATAGGGTGGATGGGGGAGGACAATGGTGTTAGCAGCTGAAGTGGGCATTTGTTTGGGAAACAGAGCATAGCATTTTAATATATTGGGCACATTGTGGTGCATGTGGACCTTTTTTTGAGAAATGTGGGTAAGAGTAAACTTACCCTTTAAGTAAAATTGAAGTGACTTATTAGTAAATAAATACCAGCTAGTTAGTAAGTGTGCTGGGAAATCTTTGTTTGTTTAGGCTGTACAAAACTAGTCAATGTGCACCTTACTTTTAAAGCTAGTTATAAACTGGGGTGGTTGCCATTTTTGTTTAGTAAGAGTAAACTTACCCTTTAGGATAAAACTGTAGAGGTGTTACGATGTGTTATGCTTAGTAGTTTTTTTTTTATATGCAGTATTTGTACACATGTGATTGTAGTACCTCAATTAAAATAAATTGATCTAAAGGCAAACTTTTTAAAAATGTTTTGACAGAATCAGAATTATTACCCCTGTCATTTTTTTTTGTTATCAGTGTGCCACTGAGGAGATTGCAGTTCATTTGATGTCCCATAGCCCAAACAGGAAGTGAGAGGACATCAAAGTGAGGGAATACTTGGGTGTCACCAGAACTAGTGTCTCCATTGAAAGATTTCCCCTCTAAGCCTGTTCTTGTGACAACCTAACATTTGGGATTATCTTTCACTTTCTGTGTAAAAGCTGACAGGGGGTCCAATCCTTCTCCACACTATCCAATAAAAAAAGGATTTTTCTTTTAGTTATACTTTAACTACACAAATTGCCCAGCTATCAACAAGACTTGGTTAGCAGCCTTTTTTTTTTAATTGACAGAAACTATTTTCTTTTTCCTGTACAGGACACTTATGATGAATTGATTATGATAATCAACTCGAGAAGAGGTGGACTAAACCAGAATCTAGCTCTAAAGAGTCAGTATGAAAGAGCTCTACAAGACCTATCTGATTTGATTGAAACAGGAGAGGAGAAGATGTCTGGAGGACAGAAATGCATTGTCACCTCTAGAGAAGAAGTCTACAATATGCTTCAGAAGCACAAGGTAAGGCAGCCCATACAATTTTTTCTTTGTATTCAACCAGCTGGTCCTGAATTATTGTATTCTGACAGCAGAAAGACTTCCCTGCCATCAGAATACAATGATCAGTGCTGCCAACTATAGCCAGCGGTACCGACCGATCAGGAAAACCTGACAGGGAGACTGTACAGAAGTCGATCATTAGACTGACTTTTGTACAATCAGCCTGCCCATATATAGATCAAAATTTGCTGAATGATTTTCAATCCCTATTTGGCCGGCTTAAGTGTATGTACAGTTAAAATGCTTACATTGCTACTCAAGTTCTGCTGCTTAAAATTTAAGCAGATCCACACAAATGTAAAGCTAAATCATGATAATGGTAGAATGATTTAACCCACTAATATATAGAACACGTGGAGAGAAATGGTACAAACCCAGGTGGCTGGTGATCAAAGAAGCAGGGAAAGTTGTTACACAAGTCCAGTCACTTTCTAAGACACTGGAGGTTATTACGCGGTGCAAAATCTGGTGCAGCTCTGCATAGAAACCAGTCAGCTTCCAGGTTTTATTGTCAAAGCTTAATTGAACAAGCTAAAATCAGAAGCTGATTGGCCACCATACACAACTGCACCAGATTCTGAGTGTTCCAGTTTTAGTAAATCTCCCTCACTATGTTTACGTTAGAGATTAGAAGACTGGAAGGCTGCCTGCTAGGAAGGGGAGCAGAGGGATCTGAGCTGACATTCACACTGACATTCACTGTCAATATTTTGTTTATATTCATTTAGAGGACATTTCTAAACACATATAAATGCATGTAATGATTTGCCAAAGGTGCCAATCGCGCTGCGTGTTTAGATGCGTTTAATTGCAGTCAGTTTAGCTGCATTTAGAAAAAATAGAATTCTGTTTGTTCATGTAAACACAACTAAATTATTTATTACAGGTACTCATATAGCACTGTCAATTTACGCAGCACTTTACATATATATTGTATAGGGGCTTACAATCTAAAGTTCCTACCTTACATCCATATACTAGTGCCAACTTAGACAGGACCCAATTAACCTACCAGCATGTCTTTGGAATGTACGAGGAAACCAGAGTACCCAGAGGAAACCCATGAAGGCACAGGGAGAACATGCAAACTCCAGGCAGCTGGTGCCACAGTTGGGATTTAAACGAACAACTCTAGTACTGCCAGGTGGAAGTGCTAACCATTTAGCCACTGTGGTGTGTCTAAACATGGTTAAATCTGCTTTGAAGCAGGAACAACTAAACATTCATAATCAACAAAGGTAGGAAGGTCCACTGCAAGATCAAATACAGTTCCTGCAGTGTCTAAATGAGCTCAGATATGATGATTATAACACTGTTTTATTGTGAATGTGGGAGAATTGCGTTAAAGTATAGTCACATCATTGAATAATATTGTCAAATGTATGAGTTTGGTCCAAATATCATTTGCAAATGGAAATACCACTTTTTATATTTATTACGAATACATGCAATATTTTCCAGGAGTATTTCCAAGGCTTGGAGTCACACATGATTCTCACAGAAACACTTTTCCGGAAAATCAGCAGCTATGCTTCTCTTAGGGAGACTCAGCAACACTCAGACTTGATGGCGAGAGCATCTGCTGTACTGAAACAAGCTCACAAGAGAGGAGTAGAACTGGAATACATACTAGAGGTAAGGATAAAGCCTTTTTACATGAGTGATTCCTATGTATATAACAGAAAGGACTTATTAATTTGATTATTTTTATGTTATTTGACTGACCTAAAAAAAACTGTAAAACGGACATGTGCATATCTATTGAGAAAAAATATCTATTGATCACAAAACTACATGAATATTGGACATAAATAGTTTAAATACAAAATTGTACTGTTTTAATTTGCTCTGAGATTTCAAGTACCAAGGACTAGGTTTGTGTGATATTTCTTTTCCATAGAGTTGCATGGGTGTAATAAGTAGCAAAATTCTGTTTTTAAGACAAAATTGCTCTCAATATAGTTTTTTTTCTGTTTGGTAGAGTGGGTGTAATTCATTACTGTGTTTTAAAAACAGGACCCTGGTAAAGAGGTCTGCACCCACCCTCTGGCGTGGTGGTATGCCATACTGATTGGTGTCTGAGTTAAGCTTCAGGTGTCATTAGGTGAAGTGAGTGCTCCATGTATTGTTATAGGCAGTCTAACAGTGCAATATGTAGATATGGATAATTCATTACTTAGAAGATTCCTGTAGGAATATACAGTATCACTACATCTAGTGACAGCAGAACAATGCTGGGAGATAAGAGGTCTCCCTTCTAGGGTACGAAGAGCTGTAAAGACCTAGTGGGTGGATTATAACTTGATCTCACTCCATCCATTTGGAAATTATGCTTTTAGTTTAGTTATGCTTCATAAAAATATAATTTTCATCTGTTAAACACTAAAGCGAGCATAAGAAAAAGCTTCATGACTAAGAGTGTGTGCAGAAGAAATATTGTCATATCATTTAGTCTGATACATATTCCTGTTACCTATACCTCCTGTAATATAAAACTAATGGGCAACAAGAGCAGTTGTCCTACAGATATATAACATCGCAAGGCTCATGTCTCTATATACGACTGTATTTTTTTAGTCAATGTACTAACTTTAGATAGTAAAAGCAGAATTCAGTATTAATAACTGTTTAAGAACAGATTTTGGTGCAACTAAATGAAGTATTTAATCATCTGCTACTTTACATGTACAGAAGCCATGCACTGTTATCTAAGGCAGTTCCAATTGAGATATATTCATATTTAAATTATATGCATAATATTGTTAATCTGGGTTAAACTGGGATTTGGAAATAGTACCAACAAAACTGTATTTGTATGCCCTCCTTGGCACTGACAGTTTCCCCACGTTGCATTCAATTAACTGAAGGCAAAACATTCAAGGTCATTAGTAAGCTTTCTAGCCTATCAGCATGAGAAAATATGAGAAAAGGCAAATGTATATTCATCTATAGGCATCTATGTTTTTTCTTTTTATTAATATATTTGCTGTTCAAAATTATATCTTAAACGCCAGCCGAACTTTCAATTTGAATCAGCTAAATACATTTTAGTTGCATCAAAATGTGTGAAAAGTCTTACAGTTGGTTTTCTTAAGGAAACAGTCACAGCCTAAATGGAAAAGCCTGTTCACTGCCAGCATGTTGGACACTTGCTCTCTGTGCAGAAGCAGTGGTCTTTTTTGTAGAGGTACGACACATCTTCTTCTGAGCCAGACCTATACCTCTAAAATCTGCAAATCTCATGCCATCTCATGCCAACAGCCCAACATCGGCACAGAGAGAAATAAAAATGCTTTTCTTTAGGAGAGCCAAGAAAGGCTAGTTCCCCATCTGCCTTTTATGTTTGTCTGTGTCCCCGTTGCAGGTTGTCTCTCAGTTCCTGTCTGGTAAAACCATTGTCAGCACTTCAGGAAGTATAAGAAAATCTTTCCCAAAAAGACTTCCGATCATTCCCACTCTTTTTAGAACTGTTTATTTATGACAGGCATTTATATAGCACCGCCAATCTATGCATCGCTTTAAATATATATATTGTACATTGACATCAATCCCTGTCCTCAAGGAGCAATCTAAGGTCCATACCTCACATTCATAGATTCACATACTAGGGCCAGTTTAGACAGGAGACAATTAACCTATCAGCATGTCTTTGGAATGGGAAGAAGCCCATGCAAGCACAGGTAGAACATGCAAACTCTAGGCAGGTAGTGCTATGGTTGGGATTTGAACTGACATTGCTACTATTGCTAGGTGGAAATGCTAACAACTTAGCTACTGAACTAGAATAAAAAGTTTGTGGTTTGACATATACCTAAATGTTTGCTTTTGGTACAGGTTTTCTGTGGGACTTTACTTAAATTTAAAACATTTTTATTTTAAGAATTCATCTGCATTACATTGGGAATAGGTAAATAAGATTCTGGAAACTGTATCTTTTGTGGAGAAGATGAGAATTTACGATTTGTTGGTGTCTTCCATGTAATCAGTGCTGAGGCATTAGTCATTGGATCTCTGCTGATAGGTAGAATCACTATAAAGGTTGAGCCACTGACTGGCCAGCTCTACCTAAATGTCAATTATCCTAGAATCACTGCCATCAACCATATGAGCAATGTGTATGTCTCCACATTGACTAAGTATTTATTTACCTAGGGAAAAGATTCTTGTCTTTTTTTCTCTCAGCGGCACATTGTCAAACACTTAGGTGTGTTATGCCCCTTAATGATAATGTCAGGTTATTTGCTTTAATAGTTTGAAACGTTATGTTCCATATGATGTTTTTCTTTTTGCTAATTACAAATCTCTAGACATGGATGCAATTGGATGAAAAATATCAAGACCTAAGCAGGCAGCTGGAGACAATTGAGAGCAACATACCTATTGTGGGGCTTGTGGAAGAATCAGAAGAAAGACTAAAAGAAAGAATTCAGTTGTATCAGGTACTGTGAAATATATTTATCACCAACTAATTAAGTACATAAAAAGAATCAAATTTCATTCAGTTTTACTGGATTTTACAATCTCCCTCTGTTTGGTCATGATCTACCTTTTAATCTCAATATATTCATTTTCTTATATTGTCCAAGGAACATATCTGGATAAGGTGCCTCTTGTAGTTGCAGAGACTCTGGTAGATATGTGCATTGGACCTACACTGATGTAAGCTCTGGGACATTCTTGAAGATCTGTGCAGGTCAATGCAGCTGGCCACCAGTCATTGATTTGAATAGGCTGTCTGCCTGCAGGTGAATAGACCACGTGTATATCCCATAAGAGATGAAGTTTGCAACCAAGTGAGAATGTAGCTGTGCATTCCACTTGGGTGAAGGCGGCTGTTTGCATGGGTGTACAGATAAAAACGGCTGTGTGAATGAGGCCTAAGAAAAGGCAAAAAATGGGGTTGAAAATGCCAGTGTAACCTGAGCATAGTGAAGGCTGCTCCATTTTATGTTTAATCTTGTCCTCATAACAAATTTTGTTGTGATTCTTTCACAAACAGTTTTTTAAGCCATGCAGAAGGCAAGGCCTATCCCCCAAATGCATTGACCGTATCTGATGTTCCTGCTCAAAAAAGATCGTAAACAAACTTCCAAGCAAGATGACTATTTTTACTAGGTGCCCAGAACTACATATCCAGATTTTGTAGTTGCGGGACTAAAGGTCCCCAGTTGGTGGCTTGATAACCATGTGAAAATAAAATAAATAAAGTTCTGTGCTTTGGATACATTTTTGCTACAAAATAAAATAACATGACCGCTTGCAGTTAAAAATTGTGCTATATCACACACATACATAAACTAAAACCATATTATTAATGTGCAAAAGAAAGTCTAATATAATGTCCAAAATTGTGCAAAGTGCCCGTGTTCATGCACATATACCCTGGTGCTCCACTTGACAGTGCATTTTGTGCCCCACATGGACTAATAATTAGCATGTGTAGATGACCATATAAATCTAGTATGATCAAAAGCCCTTGTGCGACATTCCCCTGTATAATCACCACCGCTCCTTTTTATCTGAAGATATACAGCATTCAGAATTAATCTGTTCAAATGGAAGAACCACATAAAGTAGATCTCATAGCGTTAAACCACTCCAGTAATTTATGAATAAAAATTCATAAATACCCTCACATGGTACAGTGCCTAAAAGACCAGCACCCGGAGTAAACAGCTTGTGTATAGCGGTAAAGATGGCCGCTGCCCACTCCGGTACCGGAAATGGGATGCCCAAAAGTGACTTCGGCAAAAGTTGCGTCACCAAGCCTTGACACATTTCAATTTGATTGGTCGTCTTCAGGAAGCTGTTTGCCACACAGCCCCTTGTAATAAATTACTGGAGTGGTTTTATGCTATGAGGTCTAATTTCTGTGGTTCTTCCCTTTTAACGTATTCATCTTGAATGCTGTATATCTTCTGATAAAACAGAGCAGTGGTGATTGTACAGGGCAATGCCGCACAAGGGCTTGTGACCATTCTAGAGATAGATGGTCATCTACATAAAGGAATGTTAGTCCATGTGGGGTACAAATTGCACTGTCAAGTCGAGCACAGGATATATATGTATGAACATGGGCACAATGCACAATTTGGGACATTATATTGGACTTTCTTTTGCACTTTATCTGTTACAGTTTAAGAAATATGACTTATAATTATGTGGCGAGCGCGGTTTATATATGGTTTTAGTTGAGAACCATGTGGCTTGCACCACTTTTTCCCATTAGTCTAGTTGCCTTTGAACAGGGGTCTCTGTGAACAGAAGCTGCACCATACAGTTATTTAATCTCAGTGATTAACATTAATGTCATTGCTTTATTTTGTTTGTGATTGGTGTTTAACATACAGCATCTAAATGGGGCTCACGGTCTGATAGTGGTTGGTTATTGATGTGTTTTTCTTTTGACATTTTTTAGCTAGCTATGCGGCAGGCATGATAACAAACTAACTAGCTATCAATGATTTTTCTTTACAGTGCTTTAAGTCCAGCTTGGCAGAGTACCAGCCACGACTTTACCAGGTCTTGGAAGATGGGAAGAGACTGCTGATGTCAATCAATTGCTCAGAGCTAGAGAGTTCACTGAATCAGTTAGGAGAGCAATGGCTGAACAGCACCAGCAAGGTTTCCAAGGAACTGAACAGACTGGAGAATATCCTCAAACACTGGACAAGGTATCACAAGTGTACAGGAATGCCCGATAGGGCCCAGCATCAAAAATAAATGTTTATTAGTGACACATTTGTATAATTCTAATGAACAGATTTTCCAAACACATATGGATTATAAATATAAAAATTCTTCTGAAGCTCTACGTAGTCATTTTAATGCCATGGATGTAAATGTCAGGTTAGAACAGAACTACTTGCATCAGGCTAACTCATTAACCCTTATGTCCACTGCATTTTCAAAGGCTGTAAGTTTATGGAACCAAAAACTTACATCCTCTGGTGCCCAGGACTGCCTGGTAAAAAGTTGTCCATCATATTTATTCATACAATTTATAGCTGTCCCCCACACTGCTGCAGTCCCTTTCCTGGAATGTGAACAACACTGCAATGGACAGCCAGTGACTATAGCAGTACAGAAGGCATAGAAAACTTTATGAATGGATGTGATGACATCCATTTATTAAGTTTTCTACATTTCTCATCAGCCACTGCAGCACTGTTTACATTTTTTTCAGGATGGAAAACAGTGAGATAAGTAACCATCACTCTAATGTTTACTGATCTCCTGCTGGGTAAAACTGAATCGAAGTGCTTATTCATGAACTTTTCTGAGTTCAGGGCAGTGCTTGGTGCCGCAGGAGAAGAAACCCAAGGACTTTGTGTATTCAAATTCTTTCCCCAGCACAAAGGGGCGCCTCTATAGTCAATCATCCCTAGTCCATCTTTTGAGTGAGAAAAAGAGGGTAGCTATACTCCTGCTTGCAATAGGACCATGGAGAACGAATGTCGCACACGGCAGCAAAAAAAAAAAGCATCAGGATTTGTGGAGGAGGCTGAGAGCAATATAAGATATATTTCTGAGTTACAAATGCATTGAACAGAATTTTCTTATTTAAAAAAGTTCTGATGTTTTTCAGTAAATATCTTGAGTATTTTTGTAATTTGTTACTAAATTGTCCACGTAATGTAAAATACTTGTATGAAAAAGCCAGATTGACTATAACATTTCATTTCTGCTTCTAGATATAAAAATGAATCAGCTGAACTTGTTCACTGGTTGCGCTCTGCAATGGATAGACTAGACTTTTGGACTGAACAGTCTGTTACTGTGCCTCAAGAGCTGGAGACAGTCAGAGATCATCTAAATGCTTTCTTGGTAATTATGTAAAAGATTGTTAAATAGCTGATATAAAGGTGCCTGCATCCATGTCAGTGCCTACATGCATGTTTACCTGTTTTGAGTCATGTGGAACCCCAAAACCCTGGGCTCTCTAGTTTACTAGTTGCCCTAGAAAATAAGGTAAATATGTGTCAGCTCGTTGACCTGTGGTCAGTATAGAAGCTGCAATCAAGCTATCAATTTATTGCTTTCCATTAATGCTTTGTTAACTTTCTTTTTAGAAAGGATAAAATGGGATAATGAGCCAGTCTGAACTCTGATTCTTCTTTTATGCATAGATTAGGACACTTATGTAAATGTTTCTCATACTGAAAATATGGAGTACATGGATACCAAGTTGAACTTTGTGAGCTCTAAATGTGTTTTTGTGGTAGTGAAAGGACACCATCATGCCCAGTTATAAGTGGGTAGGAATAAGATTTTGGTTCACTGCTACCTTGGGTTTGCAAGTCACAAAAGCCAATAATTTGAAGTATTGCATAACCAACCCCCTTTACTATAAAAGAATGAGCTCACAGCAGCAATGTTGTCATTGTAAGTTGAATCTGTGTTTTTCTGTGTAGGGGGGTCGGGGAATACTGCTTGTGTTTGTTATCTCTATTTGTATATGTATTCCTTTATTTATGTTTGGTTTGGCATTGGTATGATAACAATATTTGTCCCACCAACTTCACCACACAGCAAATTTTGTGCACAATTTGCAAAACTGTTGGTGAACCTATTTCATCCATAATTTTTGTTTGTATACCATATATTTTCATACAGATCCAAACATTAGGTGACAGAACTAGATATAGTTATCTTATCTAGTGGCCAGATAATGTTTACCTTTCTTTACTGTGCTGACACACATGTATATAAAGGCATTAAATTCTGCCAAACATGAATATATAAGCATTTAAAAATCAATATTGGTCAGACGTTCTGTGTCTTGTTCATTCTTCTTGTGTTATCTCAAGGAGCCTAATCAGCCCTGCTAGTTCTTCCTTTGGATGACAGAACACTTACTCTCTAGGTTGTAGAGGTGAGGATGGTGGGATAAAAACTCATTAGTACAGCAAAATACTGGCAGAGCTGACACCAATTCTTGTTCTTTCTTTCCACAAATTCCTGTGTGTTGGCTCAAAACAAGAAATTTGTAGCATTTTGACAGATCTACAGGTATCTTACTTCATTCCCTGAGATGAAAATTGGGGAAATGTAGTACATGTATTGCAAAGATGCAGTGCATTTTTTCTTGGCACACACTTACACATACAAACCTTACTGAGACTAACATGAGAAGCCGTAGCTGACCTTAAAAAATGCTAGCTACCTGGCTGTCCCAGAACAATCACTCAACAAATAAAATGAGAACTCCTCATGTGCATGCTTGTTCTTGGTTGACTCAAAAAGTACCTAGCAATTGGATCAGGATGATAGCCTGGAAACTAGTATTTTCAGAAAGGGGTTTACTATAGAAACCTTCCTATTCTTTAGGTTTTTACTATAGAAGCCTTTCTATTCTTTAGGTTTTCTTGAATTGCTAAATATTTTTAGGAACTGAACTTGCCATTCATTTTACTTACTTACTTTGTCCTTCTAGGAATTCTCCAAAGAAGTTGATGCCAAATCTTCTCTGAAATCATCAGTGCTGAGCACTGGAAACCAGCTGCTTCGTCTGAAGAAAGTAGATACAGCAGCACTTCGTTCTGAACTGGCACAGATAGATAATCAGTGGACAGAGCTCCTCACTCATATCCCTGTAGTACAAGAAAAGCTTCATCAAGTAAGTTAGGACAGTCTGATGTCACTAAATAATAAAATATTAAATTTTCCAGGCTTTATAGTGACCCATTCCTTTTCCAAGCAGGACAGCATAATCTAACATTCACCACTTCTTTTCTTTGCTCCTGTGCCACTTCTGTGGCTGCCAGGAATTGGAAAATAGTGCCTCATGTAAGCTTCAAATCAATTTGCTGCAGATTACACAGGGCTGTGAACGCTTTCCCCACACACCCATATGATAGCGCTGGACCAATCACAAGGCACAAGTGCTGTCACAAGGAGGAAGGGAAGGGGAGTGAGTCACACGCTCACCTATAACTTGATATCTAGACCAATAGCTACTGGGTATTTAACTTTGTTCCAGGCAGCTGAACAGAGTGGTGGGGTAGAAAGAATATGATGAGCCTTTCCCTTTCCCTTTCCCTTTCCCATTCCTTTCTTTTCCTTTCCTTTCTGCATTCCTCCTGCATTTACATGCAAAGAAACCACACATTTCATCCCTTTCTTCATTCCTTCCTTATTTAAATGCAGAAAAAACACACATTTCACAGTTCCACAATTATTCTATGTCCAGCCTACTATTGTATGTTATGTGGCTTAGAAACTTTATTTGTTTTTTAGCTGCAGATGGACAAGCTTCCTTCACGCCATGCCATTACTGAAGTCATGACTTGGATTTCTCTGATGGAAAATGTAATTAAGGAAGATGAACAGAACATCAGGAATGTTGTAGGATGTGAAGCTATTCAGGAATATTTGCTGAAATACAAGGTAATGTCAAATGCCAAATGTTCTTAACCACAGAGGGGGCCTCAAAACACTTTTCCACTAAATATGTTAATAATTGTCATATTGAGTCACATTGTACTGTATATTCTCACTGAATGGATATAATTGAAAGGAAAACATCTTTATACTTTACTTAAAAAATCAAAATCTTGGTAAATCATCACAAATATTAAGGCAATCTATTACTTTGATTAGACCTGAATGGACAGACTTATTTAGCCTAGGGCATGTTAAAGCAGAGCTCCACCCAAAAGGGGAATTGACAGGTACCCGCTCCCACTTCCGCTGTGATCATCTAGGCGATCGGAAGCAGAAGTTGTCCTCCTACCCTCCCTCTCCGTAGTCTTGTGGGACACATGACAGGTCCCAGAAGACTACTGGGTCATTCAGGAAGCGCAACGCTACTCCGGCATGCACTGTGGGCATCCGGCTGTGAAGCCGCAAGCTGTCATAGTCGGGTGCCCACACTGAAGATACCAGCGCCAGGGAGAGAAGACAGCCGGTTGTTAAACGGGCTGAGGGGAGGACACCTGCAGGATCATTGGATCAGGTGAGTGGCAGTTTTTTTAAAAGTCAGCAGCTACAGTTTTTGTAACTGCTGACTTTTATTTTTTTACAGTGTGAGTGGAACTCCGCTTTAACAACAATGAGGTTTGGGTACCCTCAGCTACCTCTAAAGTAGGTGTCCAGCTTTAATTTAGGATGGATAAGCTCATTAAGTGTGAACAGAAATAGTCAGGTATGGAATGGTTTCCACTCAAATTCTTGTTTCAAAGAAATCACTATTTGTTAGCACAATAATTTCCTGTTTGTACCTGGTCACCTTTTTTTGTAATTTAATTTTTTTTAACATGGCACAAGTATTAAAGTGAAACTCCAAACAATAACTATGAGCTCAGCATTTCAGTGATATGCTCTGCATGTATGCCCTTTCTTACTCTTTTATCTTCAAGCATTCTCAAGGTGCATAGATCATTAACCTTCTTCCACTGAAACTATGTTATCCAAACCCAGCCATATAACAGGTGACTAAAGGAAAATAAAATGGCTGTTTTGTTTCTGTTTACTATATCACCTCTCCTGCTTCAGCCAGTGATTGGCTCACTGACTACATTGTGCAACACAATATACGGTATTCCTTATTGAGATTGCTGGCCCTTATTCTCATTCTGCTGTTCTGCTAATGTCTGTGCAGGACATTCAAGGAATCTGACAACACAGTTAAATATGCTAGTTCCATGTAAAAATGCATTTTAACTAACACATCATGCACATCAGATTATGCACTGTAACATATTTACATATTCTGAACAAGCAGTAAAATCACTCTAAAACACATTATTCGTCTCTGTATCTGTAAGTAATGTGAAGAAATTATTTTCAAAGTTCACTAGACAGGCATTGGATTTTTTTATGGGAGCAAAATCTTGGCAGCCTACCAGCAGGTGATTCTAAGGCCAAACTGCTAAAACCTGTTGTGTTAAAGCATGCACATTTTTTGCATGTTAATGTGTGCTGCATTAAGCCTATTCAGAATGAATGGGTTGGCAGGGCACCTTTCCTGGTTGCACATTGCACCACAATGCATATTAGTGTGTTGCTGCACATTGTGCCGCATAGCACCTCTGTCAGCATGGTCCATTGGCGTTCTATTGAGAAAAGGGATAACATAATTTAATTTATGTAAAAGCCTCATAAAAATAGTTTATGTAGCAGATGGCAGTGCAAGTTAGCACTATGTAAATAAATCAAATAAATATATGTATGCCATGGTAAATGCTGTAATCCTTACATTCAACATTTCAGAATATCATTTGTATTTTTTGCAGGGATTTAAGATTGACATCAATTGTAAGCAGCTGACAGTGGACTTTGTGAATCAGTCAGTGCTCCAGATTAGTAGCCAGGATGTGGAAAGTAAAAGGAGTGACAAAACTGATTTTGCTGAAAAGCTGGGAGCCATGAATAGACGCTGGCAGATCCTTCAAGGATTGATAACTGAAAAGGTAATAATACAGTACATGCACGCCAACTGTAAAAGGTATATTGTTTATTGTATATTTTTATAAGGGTAATATAAAATAAATTTATATTTTATTTTGTTATTTTTTTTATTTATAGTTTTCATTTTATATGCCAGTAGGTCAGGTAGCATATAGGTAGCAGTGGTGGTCAACTTGAAAATTATAGAGGGGTTCAAGTGTGGCCCCTGAAACTTTCAGAGGGGCACAGTGGCCGCTCTTTTCTGTAAGTTGAAGTGCATTGTGTTGAGTTTGGAAGCCCATCTAAAATGAGTGGGCTGTAATGTACCTTGATGCTGAAAAATTTCAGTACTTTTGTATTTTTTACTGCAACGAACACTGAAGAGAAAGTGAAATGTAGTGAAATATGCCCCACTTGGTGTCATTGACAGTAATAGCAACTCCCAGTGTTGATGTCAGTGGCTGCAGTAATAATCCCCAATATTGGTGTCAGTGACTGCAGTAATAACCTCCAGTATTGATGCCAGTGACTGCAGCAATAACCCCAGCATTGGTGCCATTGACTGTAATAACAACCCTCAACATTGGTGCCAGTGACTACAATATTACACCCAACATTGGTGGTCATTATATAAACCCCCTTCATTACTGGTCAGTGGCAATTCTGGCAACCCCCTCCCAGCATTAATGGCCAGTGACTATGTTATTTAAATCCTCCGCTCTGTATTGGTGGTCAGTGGCAGTGCTGATAAATCACTCACACTTACAATTATGGCTTAATTTCAATGCTGCGTTCATGCTCTTACGAAATACATACTTCAATTACTAATTCCACACAGAAGTCTAAAGCAGACTATATATTATACAACTTTCTTTTCTGCAACCACAGATTGTAGGAAAGAAAACCTGCTTGATTTCCGCAGCGTGAGAATCCCTCCTGCAGCGCTATTGTGTCATTCTGTCGAGAGGAGAGCTTTCCTGGCTTGCAAAATACAATGATCAGTGCTGGTGACTATAGCCACCGTCAGTGATTGAAAGAAAAAAAACAGGCTGGGTGTATTGAAATCAATTGATGGATCAACTTCAGTACAACCAGCTTGCCCATAGATGGATAGAAATTTGTCTAGTCCCTCCTAAACTGGCCAAGATTCAATGCATTTATAGCTGGCTTAAGTGCAAATTTTACAGGCATTCTATTGATGTGGCTATTTCAAAGTTCCCTGATATTTTATTAGTCAGCAGGAGTTCTCTGTGTTCCTCACATGAATAATCTAACTACTTTTTATTTAAAAGGTGTTCTAGGTATAACCTAATTGTCCTTTGGTCCACAGACCAGTGAAATCTCTAAATAAACTATATACAGTATTTAAAAAAAATTCTGTATAACTAATATCACTCTGTGTTAACAAAAGCTGGGCTCCAGGCAAACAGCTAAATATCAAGCTGAAATCGACTTGGAGCACAACGGGAGCAGCATTTCACTGCTTTCTCCTTTCGTCAGCATGTTGCCTGTTTGCCCATATGCATACAGCAGAGCTGGGTTGGCTTCTAATGCTACCTTCTAAGTGCTTAATTTCAGGGGATGGCAGATGTACAGCATACAAGACCGATTCTGGTACTTTTTCTAGTTGTATCCATTTTTACTGTTATTAAAGAAATACAGAAGTGCATATTTTTTTTAATCTGCCACTTTAAAATGCATTTGTTCATAATATTCCAAGTTCTTCAAATCTTCAAGAAAATTGTAATGCCATCTATTATGAAAATTGACCATAATATTCACATTTGTATTTCTGTACAGATTCAGCTGCTAGAGGGGTTGCTGGAGTCTTGGACAGAATACAGGAACAGTGTGCAAAGTTTAAAATCTTGGTTTGAGAAACAAGAAAAGCAACTGCAGAAATATCAGAACATCGGAGATCAAGCTTCAGTCCAGAACAGCTTGAAAGACTGCCAGGTAAGACACCGTATGTTATCTATTTTGTATATTACCTGCCAGTTATAAGACTCATTTTAAGAGCCACTTACAGCAATGTACAGCAATAAAGCTTTTCTGGGGTTCACGCCTGATGTACATAATTTATATTTAAAGGTGAATACATATCAAGGGTTTCTCCTACATTTGGGCTGCACTGATACTATTGCATTACGGTAACAAATGAAACCGACTGGTGCATTCCAGTGTCATTCATGTGCAGCGGTCCACTGGTTTGATTCATTCCTCTAAACACTGCTCCAATCAACAGTGCTCTAGCTCCCTAAGTAGCACTGTTGATTACAGTGATGAATACAGAAGATTAAGTTGGGCTTTAAACTACTGTAGGTGAAATTTCTCTTGGGCGAAAAAAAAGGCTTTTTTGATATTTGAAACCCATCTCAATACCCTTTTGCTAATTTTCAACACTATTAAGTTTAGTAGGAGACACTAGGTGTCCTTTCTTTCTATGAGAATATAACTGTCAGAGTGATACTAAAGTCTACTTTATTAAATAAAAAAGAGGTCAATGAAATGCTCTGTGCAATGAAATTTCACAAAAAGCACTGTCTTCTGCTCTTTTGGCAGCCTCCTGCTGGTGTTGTCACCTGCTCCTCACTCCATGTGACCCCTTAGCAAGCCAGATGTTATGGAGGCACCTGTGCGTGTGCACTCCCGTGCTGGGCTTTGGTGTCATCAGACACACATAACGGCAAAAAGCCACACTGGCTCTCTCCTTCCATGGCTCCTGCTGCCCTGAGTGCCTCCTGTAAATGCAGGAAATGGGGAAAGCAGTGCTGGAGCTGGAGACAGTGCTGGGGCAGATAACAGGAGCCAGGAAAGTGTTTAGGGTGGGGGGGCTAGGAAAGACAGCATTTTTATTACAGCTGAGGCAAGATTCCAGCATATACCTGTGGTTGGATGCAAGGTCAGTGTGGATAGTTGTCACGCTAAGCTTTTACAAAGCATTGAAAGACTCACAGTATCTTCAGCTGTCCACGTCTGTTTGCGGGTGTTCAGGCTGAGTGCTTACCTGTGGTTAGGGACAGATGATCATCCCTAGACTAGTTTGTGTCCAGTGGCGACCATCTATCCCTAACCACAGACAATTGCTCCACATGCAATTACATATGAATACAGGTGCAGGCATTGTCATCCTGTCATTGCTTTGTACATGCTATCCACATCCACTTGCAAATCTAGCCGCAGGTGTGAGTTGGATTTTTGTCACAGCTGGAAGAAAAATCCTGTGTGAATGAAGCCTTAACTGACATTTTCTTCTCCGTGAAATAATAGAGAATCCAAATGGCAATAATCCTCATGACAGATAAAGCAAACCCAACAAATAGGGTCAGGCATTGTGGCCCCTACAGTGTGAATTAGCTGTTCATTTATGCGGCTGGAGCCACCAAGAGTTGCATGCAAACAGCCTATGTAACTCTGTGGGAGTGCAGTGGTTGTACAGACACAGCCAATCATCCCTAATTTGACAGATGTGCAGTGACAAACAAGTGGCCTCCAACATAGCTCAGCTGCATAAGGAAAAGGCTGATTTGCACTCTACGGGCCACAGTGCAAGGTGATTGAGCCCTTAATGACTGTCTGCTTTTCTTTCAATGTTTATTCTGTATTCCTGTGGTATCCATGTAACGTTGAACTGACTTGATGTTTCTATTGTACCATCAAAAATATTTTTGCTATCACTAGTTATTACTCACTCATTATTCAGCTAACACAAAGAAGTTGTCCTTTGCTGTGTAAAAAAGTTAAGTGGCACAATTTGTTTATACTAAGTTTCCGAAGACTTTTCATTAACATTTGTCAAATTGTTCCTTGCCATCAGGAACTGGAAGAGCTTATCAAGGCTAAAGAAAAAGATGTAGAGAAGGTCGGACAGACTGGACTTTCCTTAATTCATAACAAAAAAGAAAAAGTTAGTGCCATCATTATGGACAACCTTGGTGACCTTCACCAGTCTTGGGCTAATCTGGATTGCAAGGTATGTGGTTTAGTTATGTTAAATATTGTGTGTGTGTGTGTGTGTGTGTGTGTGTGTGTGTTACGTATTATGGGCATATTTATTTAAAAGTGAATCTAAATGACAGTGATGGATTCACCACCAGGAAATGTTTGGTGAACATTACATTCACTGCTTTATAAATATGCAATATTTATAAAAAAAAAATGTGTTTTTCTTACACAGTGAAATTAGAATAAATATGCAAAATAACCAACTTCCTATATATATATATATATATATATATATATATATATATATGTTATAATGCAAAGAGTTATGGTTATTAAAGTTCAGCTCCAACCAAAAGCTTTTCTTTGTTTTGCTTAATTGAAATGTTTTTATTGCCCTGTCCCCATTGGAAAAATGTCTTCTTATTTCCTGTTCTGTCTGACAGATATGAGACAAGAAGTGGGGGAAATCTCTTGAACAAGGACACACCTGTAACAACCAACAGTGGTTCTAATGCTTCCCCATTTAGTCCTCACGCACACTGGACTTTTTTTACAGCGGCTGTTTTTGGCTTTTGGCATTTTTTTCTACAGCCAGTTAACTCCCCAGCATGTTATCCTATGTGTCCATGCACACATAGACTGTAATCAGCGTTTTTTGGCAGGGACATTTTTTGGCTGGAAATAAAACTCAGAACTAGTGGGTTTCTAGAGGAGTTTTTTGGCTGTAAAAACGCTCTAATGCTGAAAAATGTGGCAAAATGCGGTAAAAACGTGGCAAACCTGCATTTTTGGATTTTTTTGGTAAAAAAACGCTAAAAAAATGCAAAAGTGAATGCAAAAAAGCTAAAAACAGCTGAAAAACTTAAGTTTTTAACATGACTTTACACAGCTAACATTACCAGCATTATTAAAACGCCCAGTGTGTGTGGAGCAATGCAAAACATAAAAAAGGAGATTTTTCTGGAGACAGACTTTTGTTGCAGATATGTTTCATCATGTAAATAGCAGTTTTGTTGTGTCTATTAAAAGTAGTCATTTTTCTGATGAACTGTCCGCCATATTCCAAACCTCCATGGACTTTTCAGTACCTAAGCATAATGCATTGTTAGATTCCAATGTACTGCTTGCAAGAATTGGAAGCAAGCATATGACCTTATAAAATAATGTCATTATATGGCTTCTTGTGAATATTTGAAATGTATTTTTAATCATTTTGTTTGCATCACCTAGTAAACTAGGTGAAGAAAGTGGAATTCAATGCTTTATCAGAAATGACCACTGGGTGGCATTGTCCTGTAGCTAGAAAGTAATATTTTCTCTCACTTTTAACTTGAACTTTTTTTAGGAGAAAAGCAGAAATTGTGACTAAGAGCTCATTCACACTTGTGTGGGTAGTGGTCTTTTTCTAGTTTGTAATTGTTTTCCATGTGCCTTGTTCACACTGAAACACCCCTGCAGTTGAGCTGTGGTACAGTGCAGAAATCTGCAACATGTCTGTTTATTTCCATCCCACACTGCAGCTCACCCACAGCTTAGTTAACCAAAAAAGTAAACAGCGCTCAGCACTTGAACCAGTTGTCAACTGCATGCAGTAAATATATTATGGGTGAGCTGCAGCTACAGCTACAGGACAAAGTGACACAGCTACAGGACACAGCGGATTGTGGTTGCAGGTACTCAGACACTTTCAGTGGAGGGAGGATAATGTGATCGCTATGCAATCACATGATCGCAATGTCAACAAAGCTGTTATGAATGAATTTAATTCATATCAGCTGTGTTTCCTATAATGAACTGTGATTAGCCCACAGCTATCACATGGTACCTGGGCCAATTACAACACCCTATACTATGTGATAGCTGTGGTCCACTCACAAATTACCATAGTAAAATCATAGCTGTTATGACTGTAACCTATTCATTACAGTAAAAAATATGCTGTCACAGGGAACTTCACTTCACAATCAAAGTGTAAAAAAAAAAAAAAAATCCCCACCCAGAGTAGTAGTGTTACTATGGTGACATTGAATTACTCTGTTGAAAGTATATTATAAATAATAGCATTAAAGAGAAACATTTTTAAAAAATGTTGAATAAAAAACCGCCACACCAGTCATATGATGATGCTGAACTGCACTAATGACTGTATGTAAAAAAACAAATGTGAGAATAAAAAAAAATTTGATTTAATTTCTTCATTTTGCTAAAAATTGTGAAAAAAAAACTACAACTCTAAAAAACTCGCCATGTCACTTTCCAAAAAGGGGTCCTTTAGGAGGTATTTGTGCTCTCCTGGCATTTTAAGGGCCTCAAGAAATTAGATGTTGTCAGTACATCAAGATTGCTCAATTTTCAAATATATCTACCATATAGTAAGACATGTAGCAGAATATATTTTGTTCTAAATTTATGAAGACATTTGATTTTTGCTTTTTTTTTAATTGGATATGTTTCATAACGGAAAGTAGAAAATATTGGGGGGGGGGGGGGGTTTCAAAATTTTCAGTCTTTTTTATTTGTGTAATAAAAAATGAAAAACCCAGTGGCGATCAAATGCCACCAAAAGAGATCTCTATTTATGTGAAAAAAAAATTATATACACTAGCGCAATTGCCAGTTAAAGTAGTGAAGTGAGGAATAGCAAACAATGCCCTGGTCATGAAAGAAGTAAAACCTTCCGGAGCTCAATTTGTTAAAAGCGCAAGGCACTGCCAACCAGAAGGTTGGCCATAACTGACACTTCCTGCACAATACAATGTGGTATTTTATGGTGCATGGTGCCTGTGAACCGCTCCTGAAGTTCCTAGTGTACTCTATGTTTCAAACACTGAGTTACAAAAGGGTTCAGTTCTCTAGGATGTCTAGGATGTGTGTTATTTTAGCTCCTTAAAAAGTATTTTTTACATACAAAAGTATTTTTTTTTCTTTTTATTTTCTGCATTCAAGTGACAAGTATAGGAGTTTTTCTCAGAAATGTTTTTTTTTTTTTAGGTAAATCATAATCATTATTTCATTTCCACCTCCAACACATCCTTTTACGTCCTCTCTTCCCCAAAAGGACATTTGATAGAATCTCAGAATTATAGTCAGCACTATTTTAAAGAGAGAAAATACAATTGATAATCTCTCTGAATTGACTTTCACATACACAGTTAATATTGTAGTGCTGTAATATCAGCCAATCCACTTAATAAATCTTTTAGTGGATTAAAAAAAGAAGAACATACTATATGCTTTGTGATTGAGTGAATGGGCTTGGTCTTGGATAGAGTAGAGAAGGCTAAAATACCCTGTCATTCCTTCTTGTGTCTACTTTCATTTCCTATCCTGAAGACACAACAGGACTGGAAAGAAAATTCCTTCTGAGCAAGGGGAAATCCTATGTTAGATAGATGGAACGTGTCCTCAGTAGAAGATTTACGCTCAGCTTGTTCTGGTGACAAAACTCAATGTTTGGAATTTTTATCACTTCCTGTCCCAGTCACATTGCTCACCAGGGCAAACAGAGAGAGTGAATCTCCCCAGTAAGAAGATTACCAGCAGTAAAAATTTGAGAGGGGTTCCAATCCTTCAGTATTCTATCAAAATGAAAAAATTATTTGGCCAATACATACACTTTAACACGTGTGATGTTCTTTGAAGTTCATAAATCTTTCCACTGTAAGACAGATCATTGCCAACCAATCACTTCAGGAGTATGATATAGGTTTCTTGAGCAGCAATCTATCCTTTGTGGTTGGAGCAACAGTGTAAATAACTTAGAACAAGTATTGAAGTCTGAATAGCTAACTGCTCCTAAAACCTTGAAGCCTTTTGTTAATCTGCTCATTTGAAGCCATGGACAAAGAAAAGAGAAGGCAGAAGAAAGTCAAACTTATTTTATGTTTCTATTGTTTTTATTAGGTGTGCCAGCTAAAGATATTGTTGCAGTCGGTACTTGATCAGTGGAGCATTTACAAGGAAGTTTACGAAGATCTGAACAGTTATTTGATGGAAGCCAGGTATTCCTTGTCCCGCTTCCGGCTCCTGACAGGATCCATGGAAGCTGTCAAAGTCCAAGTGGACAATCTGCAGGTGAGAGACAATTTATTTGGATTTGTTGACTGATCTTGCCAATGAGGAATTACCATCATTAGATCCATGTGATAGTAATAAAAATAGATAAATGACCAATACAGAGACTAATATTACTTCAGGTGTTACTATATACTGTGGATATAAAAGTCTACACACCCCTGTTAAAATGTCAGGTTTCTGTGATGTAAACAAATGAGACAAAGATAAATAATTTCAGAAATGTTTCCATTTTTAATGTGACCTATAAATTGTAAAACTCAATTGAAATACAAATTGTAATCTTTCGTGGGGGGAGTAAACATATAAAAACTAAAATATTGCGGTTGCATAAGTGTACACACCCTCTTACAACTGGGGATGTAGCTGCATTCAGAATTAAGCAATCACATTTAAAATCATGTTAAATAGGAGTCAGTACACACCTGCCATCATTTAAAGTGCCTCTGATTAACCCCAAATAAAGTTCAGCTGTTCTAGTAGGTCTTTCCTGACATTTTCTTAGTCGCATCCTACAGCAAAAGCTGTGGTCCACAGAGAGCTTCCAAAGCATCAGAGGAATCTCACTGTTAAAAGGTATCAGTCAGGAGAAGGGTACAAAAGAATTTCAAAGGTATTAGATGTACCAAGGAACACAGTGAAGGCAGTCATCAAGTGGAGAAAATATGGTGCAACAGTGACATTGCCAAGAACTAGATGTCCCTCCAACATTGATAAAAAAAAACGAGACAAAAACTGGTCTGGGAGGCTGCCAAGAGGCCTATGGCAACATTAAAGAAGCTGTAGGAATATATGGCAAGTACTGTCTGTGTGATACATGTGACTACAATCTTCCGTATTCTTCATATGTCTGGGCTATGGGGTAGAGTGTCCAGGCAGAAGCCTTTTCTTACAAAGAAAAACATCCAAGCCCAGCTAAATTTTGCAAAAAAACACATCTGAAGACTCCCAAAAGCATCACCAAAAGAACACCATACCCACAGTGAAGCATGGTGGTGGCAGCATCATGTTTTAGGGCTGTTTTTCTTCAGCTGTAACTGGGGCCTTAGTCAAGGTAGAGGAAATTATGAACAGTTCCAAATACCAGTCAATATTTGCACAAAACATTCAGGCTTCTACTTGAAAGCTGAACATGAAGAGGAACTTCATCTTTCAGCATGACAACGACCCAAAGCATATATCCAAATCAGCAAAGGAAGGACTTCACCAGAAGAAGATTAAAGTTTTGGAATTGCTCAGCCAGAGCCCAGACCTGAGTCTGGGGATATCTCAAGAGGTCAGATATCCCCACAGAGGTCAAGTCAAGATGTGCCATGCTTAGACAACAAGACTGTATTGTAATAAAATCAGTTTAAGGGTTTAAGTGCACACTTATGCAACCATATTATTTTAGTTTTTATTTTTACTTCTCTCCCCTAAAAGATTTAAGTTTGCTGGTCAACTGAGTTGTACAGTTTATAGGTTACATTAAAGGTGGAAAAAGTTCTGAAATGATTTATCTAATTTTTTTTACATCACAGAAACCTGACATTTTAACAGGGGTGTGTAGACTTTTTATATCCAATGCAGTAACGTTCTCTTGCTTTTATTATTCCAGATATTAATAGCAACATTTGTAGGATTTGTTGCTCCCAAATGACCAAACTGTTTATCATGCACGCTCTACACAAGTGTTTTATATGTATATTCTCACTGTTTAAGTCCTTTTGAACAGGTCATATCCACCTGAGAACAGGATCCAGCACACAATGGGGGTTCATTTACTAAAACTGAAGAGTGCAAAATCTGGCGCAGCTCTGCAGAGAAACCAATCAGCTTCCAGTTTTTTTTGTCAAATAAAATTGACCAAGCTGAAGTTAAAAGCTGATTGGTTACCATGCACAGCTGCACCAACCCCAGTACATTGTAGGTTCAATTGACCAAGGAATTTCAATGGAAGAGCTTGAGTTGTTTGTGTGCAAACACTGAAATTTTTACAATTTTCAATCTGTGGCAAGAAAAGCTGATATTCTTCAGATTGGCCTAATAATATATAGATATATTCTAAACTTTTTTTCTTTTTCCCAGAATGACATAGCTAATGTGGTACAAACCAGAAGCCAAGTCATATTCTTCACTAAAACATTTTACTAGTTTGATCTATATACATTGTGTGGTCAGTTAGCAGTGTACAATGAATGGGATCAGAACAGTATTTCAGTGGGTTTAAAGTAGAACTATAGGCAAAACTTATTTTTTCATTTTGGACCTGGTCAGTTTAATTTTTGCAATCTGCATTCCCTTGAAGATATTTACCTTCTTTTCCTGTCCCATGGCCAAAACAGGAAGTCCAAAAAAAATCTGCAAATTAAGGGAATTCCATGGGGACCCCAGGTCACTAGCACTAGTGTCCCCATTGGAAAATCTTCCCTCTATTACTTTTCTGGGGACAACTCAAAATTTGGGGTTTCTTTAACTTTCAATGATAATGGTAAAAAGGACAAATAGGGTGAATCACCCTTACAGGGGCTCAGACAGCAATACAAATCTAACGTATTCTAATCCATCTCCACTCTGTCCAAAACTAAAAAATAGTTTTACCTTTTAGTTATACTTTTGGTTTTAGGTTGTGTATTAGCTTACTTCCTGTTACATGGAAAGAAGTCAATAGTGTTATTTTAGGAATGTAAAAAACTCATCTACTGTGTTCTGCTTCTAAATAATCTAGAGTTGTTTTAAATTTTGTCTTGATGGAATGGTTCTTACAGAGTCTACAGGAAGAGCTGGACAAACAGGAGACAGTTTTAAATAAGTTTGCCTGTGTATCCAACAAGCTCCAGAATGAATGTTACTCCACTGTCGCAGAAGCACTGAAGAGCACTTTAAAAGAGGTTACCTCAAGGTAAAAAGCTCATTTTATCTAAATCACATATAGGCGCATTCTTGCTGTTCCCTTCGAGCACTTGAAACCCTCTCTCCCAAATATTGTGATTAAGGTCTGAATTGATCTCACTATACCACTTTAGACATGAAGAAGAATACCATGCCATGCTAACTATCCTAAGCCACAAAGCTCTTTTGTAAACATTTCAACAGGATAACTCAAATCTTGGCATAAAGGCTTTACTGAATTTAAACATAGTGCTTTTTTCAGGTCATGCATTGTATCGAAGGCTCATGTGCTGCTAGATCTATTTTTACTATGAACAGACCGTCTAACAACATTATTTTAGGTCTATGTTCACTTATAACAATTTAACTGTCAGCTTTCTCTTCTGCACAAACTCACCGTCCTTTTCCTCCCTGGCTTTTCTGGTCTGCTGCCTGGATCAAAGTGAGAAGGCCCGGAGTGTCCTTTAAGTCATACCTTACACATAGTTGAGGACTCACTCTGCACTCCCATGTGACAGCACTATTTTTATTAATAATAATAATAATAATAATAATAATAATAATAATATACATGATTTATATAACGACAACTGTTTGCTCAGCGCTTTACAAAATTAAGGCAGACATTACAACTAAAATACTATTTGGTACAAGAGGAATCAGAAGGCCCTGCTTGTTGAAGCTTACAATCTAAGAGTGAGGGTCAAGTGATAGAAAAGGTAATAACTGTGGGGGATGAGCTGATGGAGAAAGTAAAAACACAGTGCATTAGTTAGAAGCAAGATAGGCTTCTGTAAAGTTGTTAGCACTAGGTGCTTAAGCAGTCTTTTGCCAAACACCACCACTGTAAGAGGCCGTGAATCACATGCTGGAAGTACCTAGCATATATCATCATTTCAAGCAGCTAGTGGAGAAGCGGTGACATTAAAGGAACATGAGAATGTGTAGCTGTGGAGAGCGGTAGTTAAATGAACCTGTGTCTTTGCTCTGCTTTTAAATGTGATGTAGTTTAGAAACCAGAAGCACTAAGACTGCGAAATACTAATTGCTTTGATAGCAATTTCATGGGGGTCTTTGCATTGCACATATTTTCTTTTGATCCCAATGTTTTCTTTGTTGTTTCCCTGAATAATTGATAAGCAGTAATCTCCTAACACACCTAACTTCGGGATTTGGACTGAACCCAGTTTGTCAAACACCTAAAGCTTAAAAGGTATAGGTGTGTGACACTTCTGAGGCACAAGGATAGTATAGTCAAGTCTTTGATATACCTTTAAAAAAAATGTTTTTTTCTTATTTTGAAAAATTATTCTGGGTTATTACTTTAACAGGTGGAATAGTTTATTGGAAGACATTTCAGAACAGCTGCACTCAAGCAAGACTTTGCTTCAGCTATGGAAGAAGTACAAAGATTTCTGTACTCAGTGTTCTGCCACTGTGCAGCAGCAGGAAGACCGCACCAATCAGTTACTGAAGACTGCAACCAACAAGGACATAGGAGATGATGAGATAGCAACCTGGATACAGGACTGCAGTGTATGTACAGAAATGCCTTCTGAAAGCTCTCTTCTTGATTCAGTGACAGAGAACAAACACACTGAAAGTACTAGTTAACACAGTTATCTTTTGTTTCTGAATTAATTGACAAATACTAAAGTTTTTTAGAGAACAAATTTGCTAAAGGTGGATCTATAACTGTTGTATAAGTTTATATATATTTATATATATTGTGATATGGTGGTGGTAACTAGGGTTGCACCGATACCGTTGCCAGTATCGGTATAGTTTCTGATACCAAGCATTTGCACAAGTACTTGTACTCGTGCAAATGCTCCGATACCTTTGTGGTGTGATTTGAGCCCATACAACCAAAGTTGTCATAGTGACTTCAGCCTGGGTTCATACAGGAACGGTGTGGGAAACCGCATGTGATTCAGACAGGAATCACACCGCTTTCCGGTTCAAATTGCATGCTATTCTTTGCAGTATGATTTGAGCTCATTCATTTTGTATAGGGCTCAAATCGCACTTCAAAGATATCAATAATTGGCATTGGTGAGTACTAGAGTACCAGTATCAGTACTCGTACTTGCCTGTAAAAAACATGTATCAGTGCATCCCTAGTAGTTTTGTAACTGAGACTATGCTAGTCCAAACTTTATTTTAGGGCTTGCCAGCCTATATTTATTAAACACAACAAGAAAAAATCCATAAAACTTGCCCATGCAAGGGTTTCAGTTTCACACAGCAAATCAGGTTTACAAAAATAAAAAAAAAAGTCACCTGGCTCTTTCTTCAGCAACTCTACTGCTCCTCTCCCTGGTCCCTCAGACAACCACCTCAGTAGAGCTGTACTGGCTCTCTGAATTCTCTCCTGGTTCACTCAGCCAATAGTCACTGCCCCCTGCTGTATGGGCTCACTCCTGGCTTCTCCATAGGGGTTCTCCTGACACCCCAGCCTCTCTCACTTCCCTGAGACTGAATCCCTCAGTCCCATAGACTCACCTAGTTGACTAGTAGACATAGGACTCCTCCAACATGGAGTGCAGTCTCTCAGATAGGGCACCTCAGTTTCCACACAGGATCACACACCTGTCTTCAAAGAGGCGCACACCGCCCCTCTAGCTGGGGCTCTGATCTATGCCGAAACCTTCATTATAAGAGCTGTGTGCACCTGGACACACACCATGCTGATCTCCAACAAGATCTGGACCCTGGTTTTGAGATTTCTTCCCTCCTAAGCTACTTTGAAATCTCCAAACCATGGAGCCAAATCCAGCAATATCAAAATCCAGAGAAAGCTGTTACAGAGTGTACAGGAGGGGTTAGGACATTGGTAGTAGTTTATAATGTTTTATTTGTCTGCTTAATTAAACAGGTTCTTTTGAAAAATCTGGAAACAGCAAAAATCTCATTGGCTGGTCTCTGTGAGATTGGAGAGGAGCTTAAACACCAAGTGGACTCATCTGCAGCTGCAACCATCTTATCTGACCACTTATCACTGAGTCAGCGTTTGTCAGTATTAGAGCAGGCTCTTCAAAGACAACAGGCCATCCTCCAGGTATTGAACTACTTGTCACTTTATATTATCAACCTTATTTACTTGGGGAGACCTACTGTTGCCATAAAAGTGGAAATAAAGCCGCAAATACTTCCATGAGGTCCTTTGCACAAGCTCCCTCGTCTTGGCACACAGGCACTATGCCGAGAATGTATATTGTAAAGCCATCTGGAAGGAAAGTTTATTTTATAGCAGAAAAGGCATAGCACGTCTATTCTGCGATAAATGCCCTGAAGTTGTTTGTTGTTTTTACCTTTAGTTCTGCTTTAATTGTTAGAGACTATGAATACATAAGACACATCCCTTAAATACAGTACTAACAACAAAAAATAATAATAATGGTAATCATAGCAGTTAGGGAGCCAGTCAGTAACATTTAAGAATTATTTTATCCTCAAAGCAAACTTGTAAGTTTGCAGAACATACTAAAGCACTGTAGAAATTTCTATTATATTTTTTGTATTCATTCTGCAGTTTTCCAGAAACCAAAACTAGAAAGCAAAAGGTTTTGATAGCTATTGGTAAATAGCTTACCAGTAATTAAAATACACATATGAGTACTCTTCAACTTGACAAATTGTTAATTCTGTTCAGCTAATCTTGTGATTCACACACACCTGCAATACTAGATATCCATACAGGTGATGACCTTTTTTATGGTTCATTCCGTATTGTAGTTTCTGTTGTCTTTTCTGGGCCCCTGGCACTTTTATTTGAACCTTAGCACAAAGCTTTTTTAAAAGTCTTGCTTAGGACACTTAACAAAGAGTGATAGTAGACCTTAAAAATATGTCCCTGCAAAGAGAAAATTATGCCCCAGGTTCCGTGCAGTCACATGCCAGATGATCTAAAGAACCGGTCATGTGATCTGGGGGCAAATGGGAATATCAAAGGACAGACTGACTGATCAGCCCTCAGAAATCATGAGACTAAATAGCTCTAATGTCTCGCATAGGGCCGGCATTGCCAAAAACCTGACGCAGAATTTCTCTAGGAAAGATCAGCCCCCATTATTCTTTTTTTAAACAAGCTAACTAGCAAATCTGCTAAAGTGTAACTCAACTTTAGTTCAGAAAATACAACCTCTTCCACATCAATTACATGCATTGCAAAAACTTTACGTGCTGCTGTTCTGTGAAAACTCATGCATACCAGTAACTTCCTGCTTCCAATGTTTAGTGGGAGGGTCTATCTGAAATAATCTCATGATCAGCTCCAGTTTTGTAATAACAGAAAAAACAGATGGGAAAAGCAGTGAGCCAATCACAAATTGGAATTGACATTTTGGGGATTTGCACAAACAATATAAAGAATATTTTGCAGAATATTACCAATTTTGCTGCAATTATAAGGAAACAACATTTAAATTTTGTGGTGGTTTCAGTCAATTCAGTAGGTTGCAGCCTGATATAGAAATATAATTTTAACACTCTAAAACATAGCATGTAAAGAGGTTATGTATGTTATATTGATTAAAGTGGACCTGCCCTTTTCAGCTTTATTTAAATATAGGTCCACTTTTTATTAACTGTTATTTGCCAGGTGTTCAACTATAAACCTCCAACATTTTAGGAGAGAACACTGCATAGAAGCTAGATAGATTCTGAACTGTAAATTCAGTTTTACTCCTGAAAACAGTAGTTACTTATTCAACATGATTGTGCTAAGTATATTTTACATTTACATTCACAATTACTCTTCTACTTTAAAGCCAAACTGGGGTCATGGACATAAATATACAGTCAGATGGACATTGTTCTAACAGCTCCAACTTTCATAAACCTAATTCCACTTTACCAGAAGTTGTATGGGGTGGCTGAATATGCTATTGCAGTCCATTTGGCACCAGTATTAGGCAGCTCATACATTGGTCTTTTTTTTTTTGGTTCATTCAACCAGTGGGTTGAATTAAAAAATTATCTAATTCCTGTACAACCCGATAAACTGTCAAACAGCCTGCCCATACTTGGATTAAAATTCGGCAGTCCCTGGTGAACCAGCTGAATTTTGATCCACGTATGGCTGACTAAATACCCAGTGTTCTCAGCAGTAAGCACTTAGTAACAGGCCTTGTCTGACACAACCTCATTCTTCTTCTACAATACAAGTCTGCTTAAAAACACTTGTGCTGTGGATGTTACTCAGCTATGCAACCATAGGGCACTGAAATATAAGAGCAGGAAGCAGCTTTTTTTCACAGAGAATACCAAAGTATTTTAGGGCATATAGAAAAAAACAAATCACTCACAAATCATAATATACAATAGTACAGGACTTTAAAGAGGTAAAAGATCTGAGACTTCACTTGCACTTCAAGCACTGGTGGACTAGGTGAAAGCATGTAAAGTTTATCTATAGAGTGTATGTTTGAATGTCCATGTGTATTTTCAGTTGCCAAATAATAAATGGATATAAGTATATGCTGGTTTACAATCTCTATATCTCTACAAACTATTTTATGAGAAGAATAAGCTATAGTCTTATCTTATTTGTGTATGAAATACAGCATTCTTATACTGTTACACTAATGTTCATGATGCCATCTAGAATGAATCAAAAAGCTTTGGTGTATATTGGGGAATGTATGCAGAAGAATTAGCATAATGATAATGATATATACTGTACTAATGATTTTGATTTATCTGCCTAGTCCTAGATGATGGCATGTTTATGCATTAATGGAAAAGGTATATAGTTTAACAATGATACAACTGTAATGAGTCGCAACATGTCTCTTTACAATCATAATGTTAATGTGTTGATGCATGAAGGTAAACTTTAAGAAGCTTGTAGTATAAAGATTTTTTTTTTTGTTTCAGGCTGGAGTGTTAGATTATGAAACCTTTGTGAATAGTCTAGAAAATCTGGAGGCCTGGATTGTGTCTGCAGGAGAGGTGTTAAATGGTCAGGATCCTAACCGCTCATCAGATCTTTCCATAATTCAAGAGAGGATGGAAGAACTAAAAGTAAGTAACTCTTTGATGGCACCTGTACTGTCAAATGGAATACATTTAGGGTACTGACAGGGCTGCATTTATACTTCCTGCCACTTATGGCCAACTGTCTTTTGCAAATTTCCTCCTACCCTATTTGACTGTCTAGCCTTAAGCAGGCCATATGCAAAAACCAAATCTTCGGTCTAAAATAGCTTGTGCCATTAATTGTTTCATTTTTGTCAAAAAAATCCAGCATGCTGAATCCGGCGCTTTCAATTGCAGCATGAAAATTGCTTGTTGCAGCTGGCATACCAGTGATGCGAAAAACAAACAATTCAAAATTTTCCTTAGGTTTTCGACTTGTTTAGGGCTGACTTTAGTATCATACTAACTAAAAGATCAGAAATCACAAGCTACACACAATACATTGAGCCCGGGAGCAGTAAGGATAAAAGACACTACGCATTCCAAGTGTACCTAAAACCCATAACTACAGAGTATGGCATATTTTCTCCCTAGCAGTTCAGTTCTAGAGGAGCTGCTTTACAAATACCCTGTTCACTTTGAAGGTGAGGTTGCACTCTGCAAAGGTATTCTCCCCAGAGCTTAGTGAATGCTGTGAAACTCCACTTTGCAAAGAATACCCAATCACGTGCATGAAAATTTAAAAAAACTGCCTTTTTGCTTGCACATGATTGGATAATGGAAATCACTTCATTCACTAAGCTCTGGGGATATTTCCCTTGCAGAGTGCAACTGCAATCACAAAGTGAACAGTCTTATTTGCCTTTAGTAAATAATCCCCAAAGTCTCAGCACAGAGACACAGAGGGGAGATTTACTAAAATTGGTGCACTCAGAATCTGGTGCAGCTGTGCATGGGAGCCAATCAGCTTCTAACTTCTGCTTGTTCAATGAAGCTTTGACAATTAAACCTGCAAGCTGATTGGTTTCTATGCAGAGCTGCACCAGATTTTGCATTTTCCAGTTTTAGTAAATAACCCCCAGAGTGTGTGAATTGTAGGTGCAAATTATGCTGTTAATGAAATCTCCCAAGTAAAGTCTATCAATAACAAATGGGGTAGCAACATAAACAATATAGTTGGATGGACCTGGCAAGCTGGGGATAGTCTAAAATATTTTATCATGCCTTTACATGTGTTTCTGTCAGCAAAATGTTAGGTGGCTGGTTGTGTGTTGTCCCTAGTTTCCCTGCTGCCCTCAAATGCGGTCTGTGTTGCTTATATAGAAATCCACACCAGGATATGGCTAAACTGAAAAAAAAAAAACAATGTGAGCACCATGGAACAATCGAAATTTGTGAAAAATATATAACCAAAAATACTTGCCAGCTGATAGAAATGATTTTTGTTTGTGTTTTGCAGAGGCAAATGTTGCAGTTCAGTAGCATGGCCCCAGACTTGGATCGTCTTAATGAGTTAGGGTACAGATTACCACTAAATGACAAGGAAATAAAACGGATGCAGTGTTTGAATAGAAACTGGACAATGGTGTCATCTCAGACAACAGAAAGATTCAGGTAAGGTCAACATTATAATGACTTCAGTAACTGAATAATTGGGCACTGTATCACTGCAGTACATGACAAGAGAGACTTTAGCTGCAACCTGTACCAAAAATTGGCACTTCAAACAAAGTTTACATCATGGTTGAAATACTTATGTGTTTACTATTTTACCTGTTAATGGATTTGTAATTTTCCACCTCTGCTATTACCCAGTTTAATATTACTTTTTTGATCAGCATGGTGCCTCTTGGGTATGCTTCGTATGTACTGGACATAGGTATTAATGATGCCTATTCACTGTTCAATGAGAGGGCTGAAAGTGGAGAGGTGACACAGGAAGTGGAATTATTGAAACAAGAAGGCTAATTATGTGATTTTTGAAACAGCATGTGTTACCTGTATGGCTGTGGCTTGTGTATGTCACAAACTTGCCTGCATAGTAAAACAAATCTGTGTGTATAATTGTAAGCCTTTCAATAAAAAAAAAAATAATAATAATAATATAGGGCTTTTGAAGCTATAAATACCAATATAACATTCAACATTCATGTACCCACTATATATCCTTAAAAAGCAAATTGTATTTTCTGAAAATCCTATGCTAAATGAAGTGGTGGGCTAGGGGTAACATATTGGCACCTCAAAATTCCTTTAATATTCAATTTTGCCTTCTGTTGTCAATATATACTTGGGATGTGGTGTCATGATACTCTTTATGGGGACTATTATTTCAGTAATATCAATGAACAGAAGGTGTTCTCTGATTGGATGAGTTTAAAATGTGACATCATCTGCTTCTCCTCACCACCTCATTCAATAATAGTACCTTTTTTAACCCCATCGTCCTTTTTTTTTTTTATGATAATATGTTTGTAAACTTTACATTTTTTTGTTTTTTAAAAAATGTTTGTTGCCTAAGCATAATCTTTGTCCTCTTTATAAAAAGGATAAGTGGCTGGATAATTTGCAGTTGTGTAGTGTTGTGCATTATAAGTTACTTTTCTTTCGTTCCCAGACAGAATTAATTTTGTTTATCATAATAATAAATGCAATGCATGTCTCCATGCTAGCTTCATTCATCTTAGCATTTTGGCACCTTCACCTTGGGTGTTATAGGACGTGCCTCTTTAATTTTCTTTTGTGCTGGCAGTATTCAAGCAGTGTTCTACAATATCTGATATTATTAATGGTACCTGATTTTTCTTCTTTTAGTAAGTTACAGTCCTTCTTGCTACACCATCAGACCTTCCTAGAAAAATGTGAGACTTGGATGGAGTTCCTGATTCAGACTGAGCAGAAACTGGCAGTAGAGATACCTGGAAACTACCAAAGCCTACTAGAACAGCAGAGAGCTCATGAGGCAAGTTACAAAGCAGATTTTTTTCCCCCTATATTACTAAATCAGGCAATACACTAACTTATTTTTGCTAGAGACATTTGCATCTGACCACAGTGCCTAGCTGGGGACATGCTATCTGACATTTTCAGGTGTGTTGGATATCATGTCTTCAGCTAGGTGCTGTGGTCCCTTTATATGTCGCTAGTGATACAGAAGTTGTCGAGAGCAGCCCAAGCACCCAGCTGATGACATGCTGTGTGTTGCACCCAGATAGCTCTTTTACTGGGTGCTTTTTCCATAATTTAATTCTACTGATGACAGGGTTACTTTAACAAATGTTTCTACAATTGTCCATAAGAAACTTCTACAGCTGCATGCTGTAGAATATACATTGGGTATAAAATAATACAAACAAAACAAGTCATTAAGTATTTTTTTTCTTCTCTAGCTATTCCAAGCTGAAATGTTCAGTCGCCAGCAGATTTTGCACTCTATAATCATTGATGGACAACGGCTTCTTGAGCAGGGGCAAGTGGATGATAGGTACAGATATATCTAAATGCAGTTATATGTTATAGATTGATGTTATAACTATGTTAGAGGCTAAAGATCTGTTCACATTTAAGTGTCACTGACGAAAACCCTCATCCCCTCTTTCAGTTGTGGAGCCATTTGTACTGTACTGCACATTCTTTTGTGTACTAGCTGCTATGCACTTCAGTATGGCTTTAGTTTCCAAAAGGCTTCTTATAAGTAATCCTTGCAGTCCACCTGTCATCCCATAGTGACTGCACTGCACTGTAAAAATATAGAACAAGGGTTTTCCTTTGCACAGTTGCAACTGGAGCACTTTAGTTCTCATAGGTTTTCACACATGGCCAGATACTTTGTAGACATCCTAAACCATGAGGAGTTGTAGTATGCAAATGGTAACATGAATTCTGAAGTTGTTTTTACTCTACCCCCCACCCCAGAGACTCCTTAGTGTCACCAGTCCTTATAGTGAATGGGACCTCATTGGCCAACACTGCGGACAAGGCATTAAAGACTGGGACAGGAACAAGCACAACTTTTTAGGAAGTGAAGTCATTTTTTTGCTTTGATTAGATCTAAGCCGCTGTAAGGTTTTGTACAAAGCTGACCATAGTGCGCAGCTGAAAGATTTTTTTTGTATTGATTTGTAATGTGTGGTTTTTATTTAACCACTTTTCTAGAAACTACTTTCTAATATTTATATATAAGCTGAGCGGCCGGCCCGGTTTAAAAATACCGGACCGGCTGCTCCATAATGTAAACTTTATTTGAAAACCCTCGGTTGGTTTAGTACCTGATCTAAAGCATCCCTTAAAGTAGAACTAAAGGCAAAACTTTTTTTTTCATTTTGGATAGAGTAATGGTGGTCATAAGTTAACCTCTGTCAGTTTTTTTGATTTTTTTTAATTGTTTTTTTTTTTTTTTTTGCTATCCGTATACCATTTGGGATATTTCCCTTTGCTTCCTGTCCCATACCCAAAACAGCAAGTTAGAGGAAATCCCTCCAAAGTGAGTAAATCCCAGGGTGTCACCCGAATGTCCCAATTGGAAGTTTTTCCCTCTATTACTGTTTTGGTGTCAACCCAAAATTTAGGATTGTCTTTTACTTCCATTTTTGATAATAACGGTAAACAAGACAAATAGTGTAGGGTGAATCTTCTTAATGGGAACACAGACAGCAATAAAAACTTGACAGGTTTTGTAATCACTCTCCACTCTATCCAAAACTAAAAAACATTTTGCGCTTAAGTTAGACTTTAATTTTGTTGGTACTTGTAATTGACCATAAATTTCCCCATATCATCTCTTGATTTAATCAGTTCACCTCAATTTCTTAGGGATGAGTTTAACCTTAAACTTGCCTTATTGAGTAACCAATGGCAAGGAGTAATCCGTCGGGCTCAACAGAGGAGGGGGATAATCGACAGTCAGATACATCAGTGGCAACGTTACAGAGAAATGGCAGAGAAGCTGCGCAAGTGGCTGGTGGAGATGTCCTATCAGCCAGTGACAGGCCTGGGGAACATTCCAATACCACTGCAGCAAGCCAGGAACCTTCTGGATGAAGTCCAGGTATCCATTAACATATTGTTGAACTTATGTCACATATTGTAGTGTATTTTGACTTGCATATACTTGCTGGTTTGACATTGATTTTCTTTCTTAAGAATTGTTATTATTTTTGCAAGTGAATAACAACATGGTAATGCCACATGTTAATCAACATACACATTGTGGATGCGCATGCAGTAGAGCATGGTCCCTTACACTCCCGGTTGCACTAGGTGCACGTTGGCATGCGATTTGCAAGCCAAGCCACTTGCAAATCGTATGCCAAGTCGCATCCTATTGTTCGCAATTACAGTGGTAAAACCGGTGTGGTTCCGACTTGTTAGGAGCCACAACGATTCCTAAAGTAGTACGTGCGCTACTTTTCGTGCGATTTGCATAGACATCTGTGTCAGATGTCTTGCAAATTGCACCTGAAATCGGCAGGTCACCCGACTTTGAAATTATGCGACTTCACTGTAAGTCGCACGATTTCAAAGTCGAGCTTGATGTGACCGGGGTGTTATTTAATATCATTGCTGGCAACACAGAGAAAAACATTACAGGAGGAATTTATTCTTAGAATCTTGGATCTGTATGTCCACAGTGTCCTCAAGGTGGGATGAATATTTGGATTAGATAAATATAGTAAGGTTTACCTACAATGGTTATAGTCAGGGTGCAGGGATAGTAGACATTTTTTCATGTTTAATGTTACAGAGATTGTTGCAAAGTAAAGAAGATAGTATAAAGCTAGGTATACACTGAAATTCAGTTGGTTCCTGCTGAATTTTGATCCATATGTGGCCCTGACTCTTCAACAGAAGCCAGTCGTTGGACTGGATTCAGTTGAATAGTCCTGCTGGAACACCAGTATTAGATCTGTGTATTCTGACTGTGGAGAGGAGTTCCACCCTGTCGGAATACAATAGCACAGTGGGGGAGATCCCTGCATCCATATCACTTGCGTGGATGCAGGAATCTGTGAGTTTTTCTCCATTCAACCTGCTGGTTGAACTTTTTTTGGGTATAAACTCTACGTGTATGGGGGTGAGAAGAAGTATTGGAAAGGTGAAGGGCAATGCTCCCACCCCACCTCCCCCCAACATCAGTTCCTCAGCTGCTGCTTTTATAAAGCTAAAAGTGGGTTCTGAAGACCTCTCAGGCACATGTAGTCTGAAATGGGGTTACCATACTTTTGGAACTTTTTGCTGTGAGCCCTGAAAATTAGTGATCTTTTTTAAATTGACCATAGTGTCCATTATTATTTGCAGCACTTTCCGTACTTCCTAGTTCAAGGTAGATGATTTCCATGCTTTTCATAGTGTTTGTTTGGTAGTTTCAGGAAAGATGTAGGGCATGTTACAACACTATCACGCACACATTTCCTCTTTTCGCATTTAATAAATCAGCCCTATTGTGGGATATGCATAATTGCATTCTCTCTGTGTAAGTTTATTCTGCATGTATGTTATTGAAACAAGATGCATTTTTGTTTGATGTTGCAGCTAAGAGACAGAGTACTTCACAGACAGCAAGGGAGCTACATCCTGACTGTGGAGGCTGGGAAGCAACTGCTTCTCTCTGCTGACAGTGGGGCGGAGGCTTCCTTGCAGGCAGAGCTCATTGACATTCAAGAGCGATGGAAGGCCACCACAGTGAGACTGGAGGAACAGAAGAAACAGCTTGCATTTCTACTGAAAGTATGTGCATTCCTCTTTATTGTAATTCCTATAGAAATTAGCTTTAGTATTTGGATAGTGTCATAAATTAAGCAGATGTAAAAAATACTGTCACCGCCTGGTTCCGATTCGTGTTAGATTTACCAGTGCACAAAATGATGCAGGCCTGCATTTTACAATTGCAGTAATGTTCAGGATATTTACAGCAGGCACACAACCTTGCAGTAATATAGTTGGAGTAATCTGAATAATGTTATTGCTGCTTTGTTATTTAGGTCATAAGGTATTTGTAAGATATAAGGTATATGTAAGGTATTTTCCATGTGTTTCAATTTATGTGAGCTTATTTAAAGGACAACTGCATGTTAATGTGTTAAACAGGGAAGTAGAATCTATAGATCAGACTCACTTTTTTTTGTTAACAGTTATCTGATTTGCTCCCCCGTGGGATCAAATTCAGAAACATCTGTCCTGCTGGTCTCCTTGTTATATAGAAATCTCTATCAAGAAATCTGACATATACATAGTATAAGTATACATCATATTTTCACTATAGAGTTATTATAACCTGATATAACCTGACATATAGTATAGATAAGATACTGTAGGTAACAATAGTTCAGTCTTAAAGCTGTAACTGGCGGGCATTTGAAGAGACATTGGGTAAGAATTAAAAGTTAATTGATCATGCACCACCAATTCGCAGCCATTGATTCCAAAGTTATGAAGCATATACTGTATTTGCTTCATGCATGTTCACGGGATTGAGCTGTAGTCACTAATTACCTGGACTTCTTATTCTTCAGTGGGAAATCCAGGTCTTGGTAATAATATTCACCATATTTGTAATGCACTAATACATTGATTGATACATCTGCTGGACCAAATCAAGTTTAGAGCATTTGTCATTCAATGAAGTATCATTGATATGATTCACTTATTGCTTTCTATGGAGTACCTGGTACTCTCTTTCCGATATGCGAGCACCTGTTAGTCATCAAACTTGCTGCAGTTAAGGACTTTAAGGCCCCATTCACACGGCCGTTAAAATCATATCCACCTGCCAATTTTTCAGGTGGATCTGAGTGGAAGTTCAACGTTAGTCTATGGTCAGGTGGATCTAAACAGGCGTGTGGGCTGTTTACCTCTGATCACCATCAAGTCCATCTAGGTCTAGGTCCACAAAAATGGGAAAAGGTTGTTTCCTCTTCTGGTTTTCCATTCATAGAATGGAAGTAAAAGGATATAAACAGATGCATGTCTATTCACCTCTGCCTGCCCTTAGACCTAACATAGGTTTGTTAAGCTCTGTTTTTTCCTCCAATACAAGATGGAGTTAAAAATGTAAAAACATGGACATTACAAAAATAATAATAATTTGCTCCAGTTCAGCATGGGATCTGTTAATAGATATCTCGCTGATTGGAATCGACACCATCTTTGTGAAAAGACCATACAGCTGATTTTGTTGATGGGGGAATTGAGCAATTTTCTTTCCTTCCTCCTTGGGAAGAAAAGAAAATTGAATAATATATGAGCTGCTTAAGACTAAAATGTTCATTTGAATGTGTCCCTACTGCAGATTTTTATTATAAGTAGCACACGTTTGCAAGTAAGTTACAGGGCCATGTTTCAAATTCTGCATTATCTGTATATTGCAGGAACTATTGCTAATAATTAAAGTTTCAATTATTTAAATTTTAGACAGACTTAGTACCAATTATTTAGGTAATTGTTGTATTATATTTGTAATATTATATAGAGACAGCACTTCCTACAGCTGTAAGGTGATTTAGTGCAGAGTATTGCGGGGCTTGTTTTTTCAGACATGAAACAAATCCCTGACTTTGCAGACAAAAGGGTAATCCTGACATAGATTGCTTTGCAGTGAATGCTGTGCTGGACATATATAGATTTTTCTTTGTTGCTTTCTTCATTACCTTGTAACACTTTGGAAAAATATAATTTTTAGGACTGGGAGAAATGTGAAAAAGGAATAGCAGATTCCTTGGAAAAGCTAAGAACGTTCAGGAAAAACCTCTCTCAGCCATTGCCTGTCCATCATGATGAACTGCATTCAGAACAGATCAGATGCAAGGTAAGCAGCAGATGACCCCCTGATAACTGCGTCTAGAATGTAGCTGTATGTTACTTAAAAGGACCATTTTATGTACTAGAGTTTTCAATGCCGTATATTTGTAAATTATATATATAATGGTTCTGCTCTTATAGGAACTTGGAAATGCAGTGGAAGGATGGGTGGAGGATCTTGCTCATCTAACAGAACTGAAGGACACCTTTTCGCCATTTATTAGTGCAGATGATATATCTATTATTCTTAATGAGCGCATTGAACTGCTGCAGAGACAGTGGGAGGAACTGTGCCATCAGGTAATTTAATCAGGAGATACTAACGAAAATGATTGATATGAAAACACACTTAATACTGTACCTAGCTCATAGTCTGTGTTGTCATTATGCTCTCTGGAAACTTTATAAGATAACTAACCGTTTTAATTGCATCTGTATTTTTAAAAAAAATTATATTTGTACTCAGTCTTAAAGCTGAACTAAACATCTATATGTGGGGTCTATTTTATCTGCAAAAGATTTTTGTTTTTGTCAGTTAAGTAACACTTACAGGTCTTGATCCTCCTCCCTATCCCCAGCCTGTGACTGTAATGTGATGGAGAAGCAGCAGACTGATAAGTGCATCTCCTGGTCACTGGACTGTCTCCTGTTTCAGATTGTCCCTTGTTAGCACATGAATACAACAGCACAGCTAAGTGACTTCCCCCCCCCCCCTTGGGAGAAAACAATGGCTCTGTTAAAAGGATTCCCCGATCAACAATGACTGTGTTTGATGGGAGAATCCAGCGATTTTCTTTCCTACAACTCAGGTGCTAAAAAGTGACTAATACTGTTACATAGAATATGTACAAACAATTCCAAATATAATATATACCGCCAAAGCTAATGGCCACTACTCAGTGCTCTTACTCCTCGACCTCTTCGTGGATTTCGACACAGTCGACCACCCCTCCTCCTCAAAAACTACACTCCCTTGGCCTCAGAGACTCCGCTCTCTCCTGGCTCTCCTCCTACCTATCCCAACGCTCCTTCAGCGTTACCTATAACGCTACCACCTCCCCCTCACTCCCCCTCTCTTTTGGGGTTCCTCAAGGCTCTTCCTCGGGCCCCTTCTCTTCTCCATCTACACCTCCTCCCTTGGCCAACTGATACACTCTCGCGGCTTCAACTACCACCTCTATGCCGACGACACGCAAATCTATCTCTCGACTACTTGCCTCACCCCTTCAGTCTCCACCCGAATCACTAGCCTACTGAATGACATATCAGATTGGATGTCGCTCCACTTCCTTAAACTGAACCTCTCCAAAACAGAGCTCCTAGTTTTCCCCCCAGCCCGCGCACCTTCCCCCCCCCCCCACTGACTTCTCCATCACGTCCAACAATGCCACCATGAGGCCCACCCCCCGCAAGCCAGAGTACTTGGTGTCATTCTGGACTCCAATCTATCCTTCCAGCCCCAAGTCCAATCGCTAACAAACTCATGTAGACCTCTGCAACACCTCCAAAATACGCCCATTCCTAACCCCAGAAACTACTAAGCAACTCATCCACTCCCTCATCATATCACGACTCGATTACTGTAACTCCCTCCTCACTGGCCTACCACAGGCTATCCCCACTTCAGTTGATCCTGAATATGGCGGCCAGACTCATCCACCTTACCAACTGCTTCGTTTCTGCCACCGCCCCCCTCTGCCAATCCCTCCACTGGCTTCCAATTGCCCAACGGATCAAATTCAAAATGCTAACACTGACGTACAAAGCTGTCCATAACTTTGCCCCAAACGATATCACCGACCTAATATCCAAATACCACTCAAAACGCACTCTCCGCTCTCCTCACACAAGACCTCCTTCTCTCTAGTTCCCTGGTCTCCTCATCCCATGCCCGCCTCCAGGACTTCTCCAGGGCATCACCCATCCTCTGAAATTCCCTTCCTCTGGAACTCCCTACCCCAATCCATCAGACTATCACCTACTCTCCTCTCCTTTAGGCGAACCCTGAAAACCCACCTTCTTAGGGAAGCCTACACCGCCCTCTGCTAATTGCCGATCTCCTCCACTCTTCCTACCACTCCATCCCCCACAGCTTTTCCTCCCGTACCACTATCCCCTCCCTCCTAGATTGTAAGCTCCAAGGAGCAGGGCCCTTGAACCCCTCATGTATCCCATTGTATTGTTTTGTACTGTCTCATATATTGTCTCCCATTGTAATGGACAGCGCTGAGCGAACTGTTGGCGCTATATAAATACTGTATAATAATAATAATAATAATAATGATAAGTGTTGCACTATACATTGACTAATAATGAAATATATGCAAACAAAACAATAATATATAAACAAAATCACCAAAGGTGAAAGAGAATAGGTGTTTCAAAACAGTCACAATAAATATAAATGATAAAAGAGTGAGAAAATAAAATTCAAATTGAAATGAAAAAGTCCTCAGTGAATGAATTGACTAAGACCAGTGTGACCAGCCACAGCAGTGAAAATAGGATGCTGGCTTAACAGATATATAGACCCCCTTATTCAGAGTGGTCATACTCTATATGCTCCACATCAATATTAGCTCTCCATGTCAATCCCTATAATGGTCACCAGTATCGCTCAAACAGAAAGTATGCATATGCAAATCAGTAATCACCAAGCCAGCAAGGATAACAAGTTCCGGTTCCTGTGCGCGATGACGTAACAGTGGAGCCTCTTCGTGGTGGGTCACACTGGTGTTAGTGGATGAAGAGAAGAGTTTAGAATGCTGTATTTCAGTTCATTCACTGAGGACATTTTTAATTTCAATTTTATTTTTTTTCTCACTGTTTTATAATTTGTATTTATTGTGATTGTTTTGAGACACTCGTTCTTTTTCACCTTTAGCGCTTTAGTTTATATACTGTGTTATTATTTTGTTTGCATATATTTCATTATTAGTCACTGTATAGCACAACACTTATTATATTTGGAATTGTTTTTATATATCCTAGTATTAGTCACCTTTTAGCGCAACACTTATTTTTCTAGCAAAGTAAATTGCTCCATCTATAGCTGGCTTTAATTCTGCTGTAGATTGTCTGCAAAGGGTTATTCAGGTACTTACACTGCTTGCATTTTAATAAATACATGTAATATATAAATATATTAGTTGCACTCATGTGTGTCTTTTATATCTGTCAGGAGTTCAACTTTTATGTATTTCTATTAGCCCTGCTTTTCATGTGATTGAGTCACAAAGTTTCTGTTCAATCTTCAGTCAAAAGAGCGTTTAATATGTTTTACTGTGTTTTATGATTCCTGATGTTATAGATCAGACATTTACCAGTACCAAACTATTCTCCATAAATGTAAGCCCAAACTGATTTAGTCATACTTGCCAAGTGTTTCCTTCTTTCTAGCAAAAGTTCAAGTTTTTGAGCTTTTGTTTTTTATAGTCTCAGCATTTACATGCTTCTGCTTTTGTATGTTTTTTTTGTTGGGCTTTGTTTGGGATGGGTAGGTGGTGAGGGGATTGGTGCAGAGATGTAGGATTTGTTCCAAAAAAACCTTATCTGATAAAAAAAAAAAAGAAACATGCCCCCTGTATCCTACAACCTGTAAATCCTAAAAAAATACCTGTGACCCTGAAAGTCTTCTTCTGGGCCTGACCAGTCTGTTGATTCTCTTCTACTTCTGCCCTAATGTTGCAACTGATTATGTCTTTTGCTCTGGCAGAAGCAGCTAGTTATTGTCTCTGCAAGTTCCAGATCTGGTAGTTCAGCTGCAGCTTTGTGCCAGTGGGCCCTGGAATTTGCAGCAGAGGATCACAGATATGCACATAGATCACCAGGTGAAAAAAAGGGGGAAAAAATCTGAAAAAAAAAAAAAAAATATAGCAAACGCATCAAGGGACTGATATTTATTTATTACAGGTATTTGTATAGAGCTGACAATTTTTTTTTGTTTTCAGATACGCATTGCACTTTGGAATATTGTAATATAGCAAATATTAAAAACGAACGACAGATTGCAAAAAATAGCAGGACAAACCCCCAAAAATTCTTCAAATATATTAATAGCAAAAAGGTCAGGTCCGAGCACGTAGGCCCTAAATAATCTAGAGTGGGTGACTGGGGACAAAGAGAAGGCACATTTATTAACTACCTTCTTCAGCTCTGTGTATACAAAGGAGCATGGGGGAGCACTTCTCCATAATGGGCTTGGTATTGACATGGCCCCAGATGATCCACATTGGCTCATAACTGATATGATCCAAAAATATTAAGACAGAATAACGGTGAATAAAGCACCTGGATCGGATGGCATACACCCACGGGTCCTTAAAGAATTGAGCTCTGTCATTTCAAAGCCATTGTTTCTAATTTTTATGCCTGGATTGGTGTAAGGCCAATATGGTGCCTATATTTAAAAAGGGATCAGAATCTTTACCAAGTAATTATAGACCTGTTAATTTAATATCTATAGTTAGAAAGATACTGGAGAGTTTAATAAAAGACCACATAGATGAGTTCTTGCTGTAAAAAAATATTTTAAGCAACAGACAGCATGGATTCATGAAAAACAAAAGTTGTCAAACAAATCTGATTTCTTATTATGAGGAGGTGAGCAAAACCTTGGACAGAGGGGTGGTGGCGGACGTGGTATACTTGGATTTTTTGCACAAGTGTTTGACACAGTTCCCAGCAGACAGCTAATGTGTAAGGTAAAGTCTACAGGCTTGGAAAAATCTGTATGTAAATGGATAGAAAACTGGCTAAAAGTTTGTATTCAGAGAGTAGTGGTTAATGATTCATACTCTGAACCTTGGGATACACCACTAACAACCCTAGTTCATTCAGTGTTGAGACCCTTACTTTTGAATATATTTATAAACGATATAGGGTCTGGGATTAAAAATCCCATTTCAGTCTTTGCAGATGACACCAAACTGTGCAGTGGAATAACGTCCTTACAGGATGTCTCCAATTTGCAAGCTGACCTCAATGCACTGTTTAATTAGGCAACTATGTGGCAAATGAGGTTTAATGTTGATAAATGTAAAGTTATGTACTTGGGGGCTAAGAATATGCATGCATCATACATACTGGGGTGGGGGGTACAATTGGGGGAAACAATAGTGGAGAAGCATCTGGGAGTTCTGGTAGATCATAAGCTTAATAAGGGCATGCAAAGCGGTTTCTGAAGTGAGCAAAATCCTCTCATGTATTAAAAGAGGTATAGACTCCAGAGAGAGAGATATCATATTACCCCGGTACAAATCATTAGTAAGACCTCATCTGGAATATGCAGTTCAGTTTTGGGCACCAATTCACGAAAAGAACATTGGGGAACTGGGAACTGGAGAAAGTACAGAGAAGGGCAAACAAAACTGATTAGAGGAATGGAGGCGCTCAGCTATGCGGAAAGATTAGAGGAACTGAATTTATTCTCTCTTGAGAAGAGGAGATTAAGGGGGGATATGATCAACATGTATAAATACATCAGTGGTTCATATAGTGAACTCGGTGTAGAGCTATTCATGCTGAGGTCATCACAGAGGACAAGGGGACACTCTTTACGTCTGGAGGAAAAGGAATTTAATCTCCAAACACGGAAAGGTTTCTTCACAGTAAGAGCTGTGAAAATGTGGAATAGACTTCCTCAAGAATTGGTTCTTGCCATCTCAGTGGATTGCTTTAAAAAAGGCCTGGATTCTTTCCTAGATACACAGAATATAACTGGATACTAACATTTATAGGTAATTTGATCCAGGGAATATCCGATTGTGTCTCAGGGGATCAGGGAGGAATTTTTCCCCTGCAGGAGCAAATTGGATCATGCTTTGCTGGGGTTTTTTTGCCTCCCCCTGGATCAACTGTGGGTATCGGATTATAACTTCTCTTTTCCTTTTTTTTTTTATGGTTGAACTGGACTTTTGTCTTTTTTTCAGCCAGACTAACTATGTAATTGCAATAATAATTGTGCTTATAACAGTGCAAAATCAACAGATCTGGCAAAATGTAGCTAATAATGACAGGTTCATTGTTAGCTACATTTTGTAAATGCAGGTTCTGGACACTTTCCATGTAAAATATCATATAATGACTTCCTGCGCAGCTCTCTCTTGTATGTGTACATGTTGTAGGTGTTATATAAAAAGACAGATGTATAGAATTTGACAAATGCTACAAATGCCTAAAGTCTCCCGGATGTGACAATTAGCAAAGCATATCACAGTTATTTCCTCTGCTCATTTTCTGAGGTGAAACCAACAGGAAATGTACCATTTCTTACTTTAGAATAAAACAGAGCTCTTCGCAGACACTCTGTTCATTCTGCCAGCTTAGAGGTATGAATAACTACTCCACTAAAAGCTTTATTGCTGTTCAGTGCAAACGAATGTGTAAGTATGATTTCTGATATTAGTGTGTGAGTATGTAATATTTTATATATTATCGCCTGAGAAATCTCTGATACAGATTTGTGTTGTTACCTTTGCTGTTTAAATCTAGACTACAGGGTGAAGCATTTACACATTTGCAAGTGCAGATTTAGATTAAGGGTCATTCACAATGTTCCACACTGTGAAATTTAGGGTTTTACTGTGAGCATATCTGTCAGTGTGAGGGCAAGGAGGGGATACAGTGATTTTTTTTTTTTTTTAAACTGTACTGAAATGTCAAAATTCCATGTTATCTATTTCTATGCATGGTTTAGAAACCGACAGTATGAGCTCTTCAGGTGAGCTCCCATCAGGTGTGGACAGATGCATAAAGTATACATTGCTCTATACTGCACTGCTTGGCACCCAGGGGCTCCATTGCAGTGTAAACAGGGCACATACAAAACAATTGTTTTCTGTGTGCCCTCTTAGAGACCTGCGTTTTCCTAGTGCAGAAAAAATTGTGGCCAGTGGAGCAGTTCTGGCTGAGGCCACACACTCTTAGGAGCATCGGTTCCGTCAAGCGGCATTTCATTTTCTTTATGCAAAACTGTTAGCTTAAGGCTGTTTTTTTTACATTTTAAAATGGGGTGCCTCAAGATTGTGGAGAAATTTAAAGAGTGCTGCAACTGAAAAAAAGAGACACTGGACTAGAATATTAATTTAGTCTAGCCAATAAAATGAATTTACATGCATACACACACACATTTATACATGTTATATTATATTATGTATATAAATTATAGCTTTTCTCCAAACACAGGTTTGGGGCTTTTTTATGTCCCTAAATGCTGCTCTAAAATACTGATTTAAATGCCACAATGTACATAGACACAGTGGCTGAAATAGAGCTGTGTTCAGAGGCAAAAAAACAAAAAATGCCTCTAATAGTTGTGGTTTTTGTGCATTAGGTCTTGGAATTTTAAGTAATTTAGGGTCAACAAATGGCTGTGTTTTGTAATTACAGGTTTCTTTACGTCGGCAGCAAGTCAGTGAGAGGCTTAATGAGTGGGCAATTTTCAATGAAAAGAACAAGGAGCTGTGTGAGTGGCTGACCCAGATGGAAAGCAAGGTCTCTCAGAATGGGGACATCAGCATTGAAGAGATGATTGAAAAGTTATTTTTCTCTATTTGGGCAAATTAGGCATATTATTATTATTATACAGTGTTTACATAGCGCCAAAGGGTTTGCTCAGCGCTGTACATTAGCAAGGGGGACAGAAACATGAGACAATACAGTACAATTCAATACACGAGGGGTTCCAGGGCCCTGCTCTTTCGAGCTTACAATCTAGGAGGGAGGGGATAGTGGTACAGGAGGAAGTGGCTGTGGGGATGGAGTGGTAGGAGGTGTGGAGGAGATAGGTTGTTAGGTGAGGTGGGGTAGTGCTTCCCTGAAGAGATGGGTTTTCAGGGTGCGCCTGAAGGTGAGGTAGGGTAGGTGACAGTCTGATGGATTGGGGTTGTAGGGAGTTCCAGAGGATGGGGGAAGTCCTGGAGAAGTCCTACAGTCGGGCGTGGGAGGAGGAGATCAGGGAGCTGGAGAGTAGGAGGTCCTGTGAGGAGTGAAGGGCACGGGTAGGGTGGTATTTGGTATCAGGTCAGTTAGGTAGTTTGGGGCAGCATTGTGAATGGCTTTGTATGTCAGAGTTAGTCATTTGAATTTAATGCTTGGGAAATCGGGAGCCAGTGAAAGGATATGGCAGAGGGGGGTGGCAGATGTGGAGCAGTTGGTGAGGTGGATGAGTCTAGCCGCTGAATTCAGGATAGACTGGAGTGGGGTGATAGCATGTGTTTGGGTAGGCCAGTGAGAAGGGAGTTGCAGTAGTCCAGGCGTGAGATAATGAGGAGTGTACAAGTTGTTTAGTAGTGTCTGGGGTGAGGAACTTGCGTATCTTGGAGATGTTGTGGAGGTGGAGCCTGCATGACTTTGATAGTGATTGGACATGAGGTTGGAAGGAAAGGTTTGAGTCCAGGGTGACACTCAGGACTTTGGCGTGTGGGGTGGGGGAGTGATGGTGGCGTTGCTAGTCGTGATGGAGAGGATGGGGGGGGCACGGGCTGGGGGGAGAAAACTAGGAGCTCGGTTTTGGACAGGTTTATCTTGAGGAAAAGGAGCGACATCCAGTCTGATATGTCGTTCAGAGGTGGGCGATGCAGGGGTAGAGTGAGGGGGTGAGGTGAGGGGTGGAGAGGTAAATTTGTGTGTGGTCGGACATAGAGGTGATAGTTGAAGCCGCGGGAGTGTATCAGTTTTGCCAAGGGAGGAGGTGTAGATGGAGAAGAGGAGGGGTCCGAGGACAGAGCCTTGGGGGACTCCAACAGAAGAGGGGGAGAGAGGGGAGATGGCAGCGTTATAGGTAACGCTGAAGGAGCGTTGGGATAGGTAGGAGGAGAACCAGGAGAGAGCAGCGTTCCTGATGCCAAAGGAGTGCAGGTTAGAGAGGAGGGGGTGGTCGACTGTGTCGAAGGCCGCGGAGAGGTCGAGGAGCAGGAGGGACAGAGTAGTGGCCATTAGCTTTGGCAGTTAGCAGGTCATTAGTGATTTTCAGTAGGGCGGTTTTTCGGTGGAGTGTAGGGGACGGAAACCAGACTGTAGTGGATCAAGGAGGTTGTTATCAGTGAGGTGGGCGCTTAGGCGATTGTAGCTAAGCGCTCAAGGAGCTTGGAAGTGAATGGCCGCAGGGAGATGGGTTCCAAGGTTGTTTAGGTCAGTGGGGTCAAGGGAGGGTTTTTTGAGTATGGGGGTGATGTGTGCTTGCTTTAGGGGGGAGGGGAATGCGCCAGTAGAGAGGGAGAGATTGAAGATGTGGGTGAGGGAGGCGAATGATGGAGGAGGGGGGTGACTGGAGGAGTTGAGAGGGGATAGGGTCCAGGGGGCAAGTGGTGAGGCGGGCTTCAGTGAAGACCTTAGTGACCTCCTCAGTGGTAGCAGGGCTGAAGGAGCGGAGTGTTGAGGAGGTTGTAGTGTGCAGGGCGTTAGGTATGGTGGGGGGCAGTGCGGTTGCGAGGTCAGAGGAGGGGAGAGTTGAGGGGGTGATGGAGGGAGGGAGGCTAGGTGGAGAGGTAGATTGTGAATTGACAATGTCCTTACGGATTGCGTCGATCTTATTTTGGAAATGATTGGCAATCTCGTGGGCGGTGAGTGAGGTACTGAGTGGAGGTGGTGGGGGGGGGAAGCAGCAGTGGATGTGCAGGAGCGTGTGGATCTGTTAGTGGTGGCGTGTGGGTCGGCGGGAGAGTGGAGTATTAGGAGGAGGTGTGGTGAGAGCTGTAGTAGGTAGAAGGAAGAAGTGAAGGAGCAATGTAGAGCTGTTTTGGGGGAGTAGGGGGGTAGAGGGAGGCGATTTTGGGAATGGAGAAGAGGAATACGAGGAGGAGGAGTGCAGGTGGCATGTTAGGGTGAGCGGAGTGCTGGTCAGGTTGGGGAGGTGAGAGGTTTCATATCAGGGCGTGATGATGCAAACAGTCTGTCGCGTCATGGCAGAGTTCATCTGTGTCCATCTGTAGGAGGAGAGTGAGAGTGGTGGGCGGCAGGGTCAGCAGCTGGCTAGTTGCAGTCTGTGGGTGCTGTAAGCTGGCATCCGTGGGTGCTGTGGCAATGGTGTCGGTGGGTACAGTGGCTCGGCAACTGGACGAGCCGTAGGGCGCGGTGTCTGGGGGTGTTGCAGGGCACGGCGTCTGGGGATGCTGATGGCTCGGTGACTGGAGCTGCTGTAGGCCCGACGTCAGGAGGTGCTGAAGGCTCGGCGTCGGGAGGTGCTGAAGGCCCAGCGTCGGGAGGTGTTGAAGGCCCAGCGTCGGAAGGTTTTGAGGCCCGGCGTAAGGAGGTGCTGAATGCCTGGTGTCAGGAGGTGCTGAAGGCCCAGCGTCAGGAGGTGCTGAAGACCCCCGGCGTCAGGGGGTGCTGAGGGCCCGGCGTCAGGAGGTGCTAAAAGCCCGGCGTCAGGAGGTGCTAAAGGCCCCGTGTCAGGAGGTGGTGTAGGCCGACGTCTGGAGGTGGTTGTAGGGCCGATGTCTGGAGGTCGAGTGGGCTAGGCGTTGGTAGGAGCAGTAGGGCCTGGCATCAGTGGGTGTTGTGGGCCAGTGAGTGTGGATGCTGCGGGCCAGCGAATGAGGATGCTAAGGGGCCCAGCTTCTGTGGGTGTGGTAGAGTCCGGCAATCAAAGGTGTTGTATGCCGCCCGGCGTCAAGGGGTGCTGGAGGCCGCGTGGCAGGCTCACCTCCACTGGATTGGACGGGGATCCAGGGCTGTGCAGTGGCAGGGGCACGGCTGTGTGGCACACGGTGGGGAGCAGGGAAGCAGATGTGGTAGCGGTGGCTTACCCTCTCGGTGCCGGTGGCGGCTTACCCTCTCGGTGCCGGTGGGGGTGGTTGCTGCTTCCCTTCTCTCTGTAGCGGCTGTAGGTAGGGAAGGCGGTGGTGGTAGCTCCCCTCTCGCTGGCGCGGACGGCGGCGTTCTGGTTCAGGCGTTAGGGAGTAGCGAGGCTTAGAAGGCAGCAGTAGACCGCAAGGGACAGGGCGTTCAGTACCCCTCCTGGGCGATGGCAGGACCTCCGGAGCGGCTGGTGAGGGTACCGACGGGGGTAGTGGTGGCGTCCCCCCTCTGGAGCGGGGTTGCGTCCCCTCCTGAGCGGGGCGTCTCGGTCGGCCCGCGGTCCTCAGCGGTTCGCGGTCCTCCACGGCTGGCAGGAAAGGGTTCAGGGCCGTGGTAGGCCGCGAGTCACCCGGCCCCGCCGGAGGGACGGGGCACCCAGCACCCCTTCTGGGTGTTGGGAGGACCTTCGGGGGGTGCACCGGACCCCTCTAAACCGCCCGGATAGCGGCGGATGACGGCGGATTCGGTGGGGGCGCCGGAGCTGGCGGTTATGCGGCCGCTCCAGACGCCATCTTTACATCTGCCTAGGGTATTTTTTTTTAAAGTGAACCTTAAAAATAGTAAAAAGCAGTTAGTAATTTATTATTTGCCTTTTAAAAAACATATCAGCTAAAGGTATTTAAGTACAAGAGATTGAACCTAAGGGGGCACTTCATTAAAATCAAGGTTCATTTGATTTGGACATCCAAAAATACAATTGTACATATTACAACGTAAGTTATTCAACTGGCTTCCTCTGACTTATTTAACGTAGTGCCAGGGGCGGACTGACAACTCATGGGGCCCACCGGGCAGTTGGGGATCATGGATAAAAGGTAGCAGGGGCATTTTATGGGGCCCCCTACTGACCCCGGGCCCTCAGGCAGTGCCCGAGTGCTCGAATGGTCAGTCCGCCCCTGCGTAGTGCTACTCAATGGTAAGGAGCTATACTAACTCTACATTGGTGTGGAGTTTGCCTGGTCTAAAAGGTAAGAACAGTTCTGCAGTTCTGAAGTGCAAGTAGCCTGTATTTTCCCTTGACTGTGATTTTGAATCAGTCCTTGTGTCTTTGTAGAAGCTAAAGGTCCAAGAACTATATAATGATTGATTAGACTGATGCAGGTAAATATGTGCACATCAAGGTCCCTGCATTTCAGTACTTTTTTGTCTTAAGCTGGCCATAGATAGCCCATAGATTCAACAGCTGAATTTGAGCTGTGGGATGCCTAGTCAGCATGATCGAGTTCAGCAAAAGTCGATTTAAAAACAGACTGAAGGCCAATTCACACTGACTTGCACTAAAATGTATAGAAAATGGATGTACATTTTCATCCGTTTTAGTTGCATGCTGACATCCATTGACATACATTTTGGCGTCCGTTGACATACATTTTAGCGCTCATTAAAGTATACTGCGTTTTCACAGGATATCCTTTGCATTGCATTGACATCGGCTTACATCTGCTTATATCCATGTGCTAAAATGCATACATGTTGCATTTTAGTACAAACGCAGGTCAATGCAGCATTATGGTGTGAATAGGACACACTGGAAATTATTGTTTTTTAGATGTCCTTCCGTTGATCTGTGTTTTGCAGCTGCGCTAAAACTCAGATCAACGAACTGGTGTGAATTGGCCCTGAGGTGGGTGAACAGAGATTCCATGGGGGCGAATTACTAAAACTGGTGCACACAAAATCTGGTGCAGCTGTGCTTAGTAACCAATCAGCTTCTAACTTCAGCTTTTTCAATGAAGCTTTGAAAAAAAAAAACCTAGACGCTGATTGGTTACTATGTATAGCTGCACCAGATTCCGTAAAATCACCCCTATGCATTGCAATGTGAGATGCATTTCACATTTTACATATATAAAATATGGACATGTGACTTGAAAATCACACACATTAAAACACATATTGCATTCTAGTGCATTTTCAGTGCGTTTTCAATGTGTTCCCATTGACTGTAATGTAGCAAGCATTTTTACAAAAATGCACAGAAGATGCAGCAAGGACACTGATGTTAAGAGCTTTGGAAATTATAATGGTAACTAGTTTTTATGTGGTTTACGTTTGCTGTGATCTAGTGTTGTAATACCTGTTGGTATGAATGGGTTCCATCTCCACAAAATAAAACTGAAAGCTGCATTCAAAAAATGAATACTCAACTCTTCCATGGTAGTTTACATTTTTGCTGTCTTGCACAGTTATGGCCTCCCTTTGTATCTGACATTTCCAGGTGTTTCAGATATTTAGTCCCCTGTGGTTGTACCCTCTAGTGATATAGGGGTTGGTAGAAGGAACTAAAGCTCCCAGCAAGGGACTAGGTATCTGACACACTTGGAAGTGTCAGATACAAATTGCTAGTGTAGCTTTACAAAAACATAAAGACATAACACACTACCCGCTGTAAAGGTATATATTGATCTTATATTTTTGCAAGCTGCTTCCACTTTAATAGTGCCATGCCTTCTAAGCATTGGTGACCTCCTGTTTCTATCCACTTCAGTTAAGTGGGAAAATTACACTAATTTGAGAGGAGAATTTACTACTTCTTTCCAGCCCTCCTCTTTCAGGTTCTTTCCAGAAATGACATACAAGTACAGTATATCTTGTATACATATGCTACACAGTTATTCTGGCTGAAAAAAGATATTGAAAGACCATTGAGTTCAGCCGATAGAGAAATGAATTAATACATAAATCAAAACCTATACACACAATCTCTAAACCCACAGTTGATTCAGAGGAAAGCAAAAAACCCATTGTGGTTTAATTTGTTCCAGCAAATAGGGAAAAAATCCTTTTTTCCCTGGATCAACAATCTAAATTTTAATAGCCATGTGCCTTAGTACAGAAGGAGAAAATTGAGGGAAGAATCTGATTGTTACCTAGACAAGTAGCTGTTTTTTTTCTGACATTGATAGATTTTGTTTGTGCTGTTTAGGATTATCAGGAGGAAATTGCAGTTTTTCGGGAAAACAAAATCCAGCTGCAACAAATGGGAGAAAGACTGGCTAAGGCCAGCCACGAGAGCAAGGCATCAGAGATCGAGTACAAGCTGAGCAAAGTTAATGACAGATGGCAGCATCTTCTGGACCTTATTGGTGCAAGGTAAATCAATGTTTTAGCCCTTCTCTACTCTATTCAAAATGGGAAAAAAACTATTTGGGCCTATAGATAAACTTTAATAAGGGCATTTCCCCAAAATAATGTTAATTATAGACAAGTAAGACATGCCTCTACAGCTCCAATATAAACCTCCCATTCCTTCGACCTCTACCTTCAACTTGTGTAATGCTTTTTATAATTTTTTATGTAAATCGTTCCTATTATAATCCCCACACCCATCCTCCTAAACTTTGTGTGTTTTTCCAGTGTGGACTTGCATTGCTGGATTTTGGTCTATAACTCATTTATCTCCATACACGTCTGTTTGCCACATATTTACACTATATATGTACACATTATATGCTATTTTAGCAAATAGGAGGTTGGCAATGTTCAAGATAGAGTAGGGACTAGCCAGGGCAGGATCACATTGACTCAGCTGGCCAGCTTGAACATGTATTGCAATATATGCAAACTATGAATTCCCTTCTTTATATGCAAGAGTTTGCTATGAGTATGTAAGGGTTAGTGCGTGGTTAGACACCTTTAGCATCTCATGTGTTGTATATATGGAAGCTATTAAGGACCTGAACACACAGCTCAATTTCCACTGCATAGTGCATGTCAGTAATTAAAAAGGGCAGGGATGCCTTAAAGGATAAGTTCACCTTTTGACAAAAAATGAATGCCTATTTTTTGGCTGGTAAAAAAAATGTGCATTTATTATTTTTGGTTGCAGGAGCCTGTAAAGCATTGCATCAGCTGGTGCCATGCAGGTCTTCTGCATACCTGCTAGTATATCTGCTTGCCCATACATCCCATGTAGTAGCTGTGGCAGCAGCTGCAGCATTGGTAACATGTTGCATGTTCCACCCTAAAAAAACGGATGGAACATGTAATATGAGAACGAAGGGAGTCCGATCGGCTGCACTCCAAACAATCCACTTTATTGAACCAAGATAAAACCAATACACAGTGGACATACAGCAAGGGACTGGCAGGTAAATGCGTTTCATGCTAAAGACAACACTTATTCATTACCCAGTAATGAGTAATGAATAAGCGCTGTCTTTAGCATGAAATGCATTTACCTGCCAGTCCCTCGCTGTATGTCCACTGTGTATTGGTTTTATCTTGGTTCAATAAAGTGGATTATTTGGGGTACAGCCGATCAGACTTCCTTTGTTCTGGAAGAGTTGTGCTTGGAGATTGGGAGTCTCTCTACCCTGAGCAGCGGTAAACATATATGTGGAACATGTAATTTGCTCCCAAAGGTGAACTTATCCTTTGAATTGCTGTATTATTATTTCATGGAGTAATAAGTTATGCACACTGTGCTGTAACCTCTTTGTATCATATATCATTTTTATATATATATATATATATATATATATATATATATACAGTTATGCAGTATGTACAATGCCTTGAAAAAGTATTCATACCCCTTGATATTTTCCATATTTTGTCATGTTACAACCAAAAACGTAAAAGTATTTTATTGGGATTTTATATGATAGACCAACACTAAGTGGCACATAATTGTGAAGTGGAAGGAAAATGATAAATGGTTTTCAAATACTTTTACAAATAAATATCTGAAAAGTGTGGCATGCATTTGTATTCAGCCCCCTTTACTCTGATACCCCTAACTAACATCTAGTGGAACCAATTGCCTTCATAAGTCACCTAATTAGTATATAGAGTCCACCTGTGTGTAATTTAATCTCAGTATAAATATAGCTGTTCTGTGAAGCCCTCAGAGGTTTGTTAGAGAACATTAGTGAGCACTTTGTGTTGGTCTATCACCTCAAATCCCAATAAAATACATTTACGTTTTTGGTTTTACCAAATCGTGAATAGGTAGGCGCTTGCTCAATAAACCATGTGACAAATTAAAAACAAAAATGCTCTCACAACAACATAAAGTGACTTAAAGTCCCAAACAAAATATATCGAATATAAATAGTTGTTTTCAGTCCCATAGGAAAGTATCGCATAAATCAAAGAAATATTCTTTTCCACCACGAGTGTGCAATAGATGAATTTCTCACTCACCAGAAATTTTTGACCCCTGTTAAGGTGGTCAAATAATACTCTATGGTCATGCAATGTATAGATATCCAACTCCAGGCTGTCATGGAATGGGTCTCCTAGTTTCCTAATTAGGAATGGTGATCCAAGGAACAAAGGATATTGACCCCCAGATGGGTGGTCACATAGCTCTGGGCAAACGGATAGTGGATAGATTCCCAGTCCTAGGCTCTCCTCAAGATATATCTCCAATTGTCCTTAGGATGGGTAATGCTCCAAATAGCTCCAATAAAACGAATAGATTAAAATGCTCTAAGTGTAGTATTTAATAAGAACCATGGTTCAAATATATGAAATGGCAATGCACTCGCATGTACATGTGCCTGAATACTGGCACCAGTCTGTGCAGCCTGTGTAATTCATGAATCGCACTGTGCAAAATGTCAAGGAGTATGAATACTTCTTCAAGGCACTATATATATCGGTGCATTGTACAAAAAAAAAAAAAAAAAAAACTGTAGGCTTTTTTTCTCCTGCATACCTCATGGCCGCTGAATCATTAGACCTGTAACATAATGCACGCACAACATGGGCACTAACTCACAAAGTATTTCAGTGATACAGGAGCATGCTAGCTATTCAGTTCACTCTTTTAATGCCACAAGGATGTGACATGTAGCTTTTGGAACTCCTTGTGAGTAGTGATGGTTGTGCTGGCTCAGTGCAGTACTGTTGCTACAGTATAAACACGGTGTTATGCAATTAAGTCGTGTCCTATTTCCGAGGCCCCATAGGTCAACTGAGGCTGAAATATTGAATGAAATTATTGAAATGATTGCAGAACAATGTTTAGATTTCTGCCCCTTCTTTTCCCAATCTTAGCCAAACTGAGACCTGCTGTGTATATATTTCAACAAACATTACTTTGCAGCATGCCTAAACATGCTTAAAGAATGGGTGAACACAGGAACAATCTTTTCATATACCTATGTTTACATGTACATATGTTTATATACATATATGTATATATGTTTACTGTCCAGTCAGCAGGCCTTTACCAGCTCCACTGTTACCTGCAGTAAAGTGAGATCCTAGACAAAAATTTTCTTTGTAGTGGGAGTACCTGGTTATTAAAAGGACAAAAATCACAAATGAACAATTCACATTTGTATTTTAGATATTTATTTAGCTATTCGTTTGGAGTTCAACATTAAAGAATGCTTCTAAAGCATTACTTGTTTTCATGGTAGAGATTGTAAGCTCCAAGGAGCAGGGCCCTCTAATTCCTCTTGTATTGAACTGTATTGTTACTGTACTGTCTCCCTCCATAATGTAAAGCGCTGAGCAAACTGTTGGGGCTATATACCGGTAAGTCCTGTATAATAATAATAATATTAATAATAATAATAATAATGGTATACCAAATTATGCAAACAGGGTTTTTCATTGTTCTGTTCTTTGCTGGCATGGTATTGTTTGATTTTCATTTTCTGCATGACGTTTATAGATTCATCCCTACAGTTTCGTCTGAGTAGTAGATTGTCAACATTATTCTATAATAGCCTAGAAAATGCTTTGTTTTCTAAAAATGTAAGAAACCATTTGCATGTTTAAGCCAGAATTTAGTCATGACATGCAATTGTCTTTTGAATTACTATTATTATGCTGTATCTCAAAAATGTGAGCTAATGTCATCACAAGAAGCAGAAGCAGGCATATTGAAAACATTTGTTCAATTTAAAAAAAAAAAAAAATTCTAATTGCATCAGAGCAGTAGTACTTGTAAAAATAAATAATGTTCTGCAAAATGTATTGAAGGGCTCTGCATGCATAATTCACAAGCACTACAGTTTGTGTATAGCTGGTGACAACTTCTGGGCTTTATACGTAGACATACTGCAATAAATAGAAATTGCTTGAAAATTATTTTCATTCATACCTTTACCGAAGGAAATTAGAACACAGTTACAGAAATTAGCCACTCAGCAGCTTAGGTTCTGACGAAGATCAGATAATGCACAGTAATATGCTCTTTCCCTTCTGATGTTTTTCTATTGAAATTAATGGAAATGCAACAAAAGCTATACCAGCACCTTAACATGCATTGTTGCACATTTTTAACGCAGGTTGTAATGCACTTTGTATTCCTCATTGAATGCTGCATTGATGTGCCTTTTAACACATGCACTGATGTGTTTTAATTGTTCTTAATGGAACGTGCATGAAGAAAAAACACAAAGGTGTAAATCCAGCCTTATGTACACTTGCTTCTCACATTTTTTTTTTTTTTTTTTTTAATGGCAGAATTACCTATTTTTTTTTCAACCCCCTTCCCCAGCATGTTATTGTGTTTGCAGCCTAATTTCAGGATTGCTCGCTGTACTGTCTATAAACATAAGAAGGCTATAATAAGTATTTGACATGTGCAGGCTCTCTATGTTGTAGGCGTCCTACAGACCTACACAGTACTACAAGGACATATTCTGTTTGCAGACATCATTGCTGGGCACATATCCCTTACATTCTTCTGAGTGGGGTCTTTTTATAGAAGCATGAGCAGTTGTCCAAACACTCGGTCTCACGTTGCACGCCCAGATCTCACAACAGTTTGTTGTGCCTGTGTGCAGCCCTCATTTCTGTGTTCTACACAGAAGTGAAAAGGTTTTTTTATCTTCCAGTGAGCATTAATTGCTCATGGTTTTGCTTCTACTGATGAGTACGTTCATGGTCCTTGCGGCAGCCATTGCTGATTTAGGCGTGCATAGGATGGCAGAGGACAGCATTGAGGATTCTGAACTTCCCGACTGCGACTGTGATGTCTCAAGGCAAGAAACAGACTTATGATGTGTCGCATGCTATAGATTTGACATTGCATAGCAGTCTAATGTCTAGAGGACCAGATAGCCTAAATTACTTTTATGTAAAGAAATATACTAATATCATTCAAAAATACGCATGTGCAAGCATCCAACTTAAAAATGTAGCATTATTGTGAAGCAACTAGAAGTTGCTTGCAGTACATGTCAGTGATGTTACTGCAATAAATAGAAATCACTTGCAAATTATTTGCATCCATACCGTTTACCAAAGTAAATTAGAACACAGTTGCAGAAAGTAGCCACGCAGCAGCTTAGGTTCTGAGGAAGGTTATGCACAGTAACATGCCACACCTCTGCACTTTCCCTTCTGATGTTTTTTCTATTTAAATTCATAGAAATGCGACAAAAGCTATACCAGCACCTTAATATGCATTGTTGCACATTTTTAACGCACATTGAATGCTGCATTGACGTGCGTTTTAACACATGCACTGATGTGTCTTGATGTGTCTTAATTGTTCTTAATGGAACATGCACGAAGCAAAAACACAAAGGTGTAAATCCAGCCTTAAGTACACTTGCCTCCAATGTTTTTGTTTTTTTTTTTCTGTGGCAGAATTACCTATTTTTCTTTTCTTTTTCTCTTTTTTTTCTACCCCCCCCCCCCCCCCCCCATGTTATTGTGTGTTTGCAGCCTAATGTTCTCTGCCATCTTATGCATGCCTAAATCAGCAATGGCTGCCGCAAGGACCATGAACGTACTGATCTAGAAGTTGCTTGCAGTGTATGTCAGTGATGTTACCAGACAAGATGCCAGCGGTGTATAATAATATTAGTTTTCTTGGGAACAAAATAGAATAAAGCTCATTTCACACACAGAAACTTACACATACTGTATATATATATTTAGATAGGTAGTAATAAATGATCTATGTAATTATCCATCAATTATATAAGTATGTCTGTGTCCAGTTATGCAAGAAGTTCTTCTTTGCTTTACTTTGGTTGCCAGTGGCCTGTGTAAGCTTAATGTAAATGGAAAATGGAGGCTTACTTGCCAGATTTATTTTAATCACCACCATCAGTCCAAGGATATGTATAGATATTTTAAGTAAAGGAGGTTGCATTACTGAAAGGGTAGAGAATGTTTACTTAGTATAGTGAATACAGTGAAGCTCACTTTAAACAACTATCCATGCACATGTGAAAATTAAAAGAGAGGATTATTTCTTGTATTTGATTAGACAAGAGAAGTGGACACAGATTGATCTTATTTACTAAGCTAAGTAAGCATTATCTTTCCTAAGTAAAAATTATCCACTCCTTTAGTAAATTGCACTAAGGAACTCTAATCCAATGGAAAAGCAGAAGGATGTTGTTGAAAACAGTAGCTTATGAAATCACTAGATACAGGCAGTTAACAATATCGGTTGAAAGAGCAACTAACATGCAGCCAATGTCTTAAAAAAGTTGTATTTGTTTCCCAAAACTCTGCATCCCCACATTACTCTGTTATAAGGCAAAGTGTACATAGACCAAACAGGGAAAGCTTCTAACATTGTAGCTGCCAGTAACCAGCTCTCTGCTGACTGAGGACTGAGAATTGAGCAATCAGAAATTATTGAACGCTCAGTTCCTAGTCTTAAAAGCAGCAGGGGACAGACACAGCATCAGACTGATGTTACATCCACCTAGTTTGTTTGTTTTTTTACATTCTTATACTTTACTTTTAAGCAGGGTATATATGTATTGAAAATGGGCCGGTTCAGCAGGAACCAGTGAACCAGCTGAATTTCAATCCACATCTATGCTTCTCTGTTCAGCCAGCTTCTGTTGAAAGGTCCTGCTGGAAAAAACAGCATTCAATCATCACATGCAGCCAATTGCTGAAGCACTATTCAGTGCATTTTGATGAGGGGAATCCCTACTGTAAGAATACAATAGCGCATTGGGGGATATTCCCAAATCCACATTTTTGTGTAGATGCAGGAATCAGTCAGGTTTTTTTCATTCAACTCGCTGGTTGAATGTAAAAAAAAACCTATCAGTGTTTCACTGAAATTTTAGTTTTTTCTTCTACAAGTAGTATAGATTGTACTGTTAGGTTTTAGCAGCTCTAATCTGCAAGCCCAGTTTGATGTGAGTTTTGTCTGAAGGGATCTAAATTTAAACTGGAACGTTAGAGATGTAAACTATGTATTGTCCCATACTTTGTACTGAACTGATAATGGTGCCTTCTATACCAGTACAGTGTCCTCTGGGAATTTTTCCAGCCTCTGCAGAAAAGCACATATCCTGGTGCTTTATATATTTGTTATGGCACATGCTAAATTATGTGTGTCACATTACATCTTGTATAAATTCTAATGAGGCTAAAACTGAAATTTGTACGTGTGTTCCACAAATTGTTGATATCATTTAAGATGATCTGAGTGGACAGCCAAGCTGTAAGAAGAGCATCTTCATCCAAGACTAATTGAATAAATTTCCCTTGTCATCTCAGAATATTATGTGTAGAATCAGAGTATAAAAGCATTAATCTTGCATATCCACATATCATAGCATATTACAAATCCCCAGTAGAAATACACATAATGTACAGATAAAATAGGAAAAATATAATTTATAGTTATCATGTCAATGCAGCCGTCTCCTGCAATAAAACTTATAATGATATAACTTGTTATTGACATTTTTCCATATTTTGGTAATTTGGTGCATCCTTTAGGTTTTATTGGATAAACCACATTCACACTGCCATTTTTAGGTCACATAGTGGAAACATCATTGTTTGCTTTGATACACAACTAATGCAAAACAACCTTTAATTCATAATGGTAGTGGAATGAACAACTCCAAACAATAAGCAAGAGTTTTGCATCACTCTGAATGAACTTTAGGGAAGGTTAGCTAGGCAATAGAAATGTCAGGTATATTGGTCCTGTGACATCCCACTTCAGCTTCCAGAGAGCCTCTAATTAGGTTTGACTAGTAGTCATTCGTCTGCTAGAGGATTGCCCACTTTTCCTGGATCCAGTATTCTGCCCATGCATCAACCTTGCTGGCATCAACAATGCCAGCAAGAAGCAGTGGCCTAGAATCTACTTCGCAGGACCCAAGCAAAGTAAGTAACAACACTGGTAGGTGCTTGTGCTTTGTGTTGTTCTTAATTTTTCCCATGTTTTTCTGGTTAGAGGGATCATTATCAGTTATGTCTATTCTGTCCTATGTTTTGGATCCCACAGCACAGCACAGTTTACCATTGCTATAGTGACACATTTTTGCATTTGATATGCTGAAGAACTGGTCTAACAATGTTCTACTGACAGCAATAATAAAGTGATTTATTACATCTTTACCTGGCAGAGTGAAGAAACTAAAGGAGACCTTGGTTGCAGTACAGCAGTTGGATAAGAACATGAGCAGCCTAAGATCATGGCTGGGTCACATAGAATCAGAGCTGTCCAAACCAATCGTGTATGAAACCAGTGATTCTGAAGAGATACAAAGGAAACTAAATGAGCAGCAGGTAAACCCTAAATAAGTATGGTACACCACTCCTGTCGGTAGCAGGAGTAAAAGCTTAAATAGCATTGGCACCACAACGTGGGAGGTCCAAGTGCACAAGCACACTTGGCTGTCAATGCACCAGCGATGGAACTAGAAAGCAGCTCAATTGTCTTCATTTTATCAGGTATGTTACCATAGTTACACTGCTGCAGTGGATAAAGCAGACTATGCAACGCTGATGTTTTAAAATGCATGGTGCCTGAGGCTGCTGAAACAGTTTTTTTATGATTTTTGTTGCGCTTTCTAGAGACGCTAAGGTTGGAACAAATGTTGCACATGTTTTTAGTTTTGAAGTGTAACCTTCTTTTTTGCCACCAGCTATATTTCAGTGCAAAATCCAGTCCTCTGCTAACATCTATTGAGAGATCGATGATAGACAGGATGATGTTGATCGGGAAATGTAATTTTTCAAATACAAAGAGATAACTGAATTAAAACCTTTAGTAATGCAAACATAAGGCACAAAGGCACTTCTTCAGACATGTAGGCTATCTTTCTGCAGACTGTGATGTCACCAAGGCAATTGCTTTGAGACCACTGCATGTCAGAATTAGAGGCCTCTGTATGTAGCTCCTGTGATTGGGGATGCCTCAGGCAACCCTTCCCATAATGGAGTCTCCAATATAATTGGTGAGGAGAACTATGTGTGGCATCCAATAAATCTTCTTTATTGGTGCAGTAGGGAACAGTAATAAAGAAACCTACAACCTTGTCTTTCGGGCATACTGCTACAGTAGTATATCTACGATGGCTGATGATGTGTTACAAATGTCTGTAACATTACAGAGACTCTGAGGAACAGAGCCTGATGAACTTTAACACATTTTTAAACATTTAGCAAGGAAGAGATATAGCTGTTAGGACCTAATATAACAATAAAAACACCCACTTACTATTTTGGTTCATTAGATTTTAGCCAATTACAGTTCAGTGCATGTGCCACTTTTCTGTTCAGTAACTCCAAATGTTGTGCCATATTAGAAACACATACCAACAGAAGTACTTATTCATGGTTAAGGAAAGGTCTTCTTAGCAATTGAATTTATTGTTGTGTGAAATGTAATGATTACTACTTTTAACAGAAAATAGTAATTTGCAATTTGCACTACAACAGTCAGGTGGTTGTGGTGACTATTAGGGTAGATTCATAGATGCGGTGGGACTGCGTTGGGCAACTATTTAAGTTCAGTACCACCACAACCCCTCTGCAAGACAATGCAAAATGCCTTGTCTCTGGTGTGGCTGGTTCTCACCACTGCATTGTGCTGGTGTTTGGGTAATATGCGCTGAAACAATCACTGCATGCAGTACTTTTTTCAGCACAGCATAGTCACTGCACTCTGGCCAAGAGAACTTTATGAAATATCAATGTGAAATTGGCATTTCAATAAAGTTTGTCTAAAAAAAAAAAAAAGTAAACAGGGCAATGTGCCGGGATCGGTGCATCAGCACCGCGTTTACCACAATGCACACCAGCCTATCTGTTGCAATCCAGTAACTGGAGTAAATAGACCCTTAGTAACATTTCTTTATTCACATATTAATTAACTGTAAATAAACTGCATATATAACTATATTTTGGTTAATTTACTTTCACTGCATTATGAGAATACTACTTTACATATGTTAGCAAAGTATAAAATGACATAGAAGAAATGCATGATATTTGTGTGGCTTATCTATCTAGTTCTAACACTAACAGCATGTACAGTACAGTTATTAGGATTCATACCTAATAACAGTGAATGAGGTTATTGTTGCTCTTTGACTAATTTTTAAAGCTGTGCAAGAATATTAAGAAAAAGAATCTTCCTCGCAGATCACTTTTAACTAAGCTTTGCGAATATGTCAATGTTCTGGAAATTGTTTCAGAGTTCACAATGTATCATTTTTAACAGCTATTCATAAAGATTGAAAGCCTGTTTACAAAATGTAGCTATTAAGTACTGCAGACACCTATTAGTTTAATGATGTATTGTAAAGGCCATGTCCATTCAACAATGATTTTCCCACAGTTGTTTCTTTCATTACTATCAAATACCTCTGTGGGATTTTAGAAGTAAGATACTGTACCTAGAAAGGCCCTGTTCATTTAATATGATCAGTCATGTTTTTTTCAAATGAAAAACAGATGAAGTTTGCATCAGCTTTTCATCAGTATTTACATCAGTTTTTTACATCCACTACCAATGCAAAAAAAAACGGATGCAAAGCACCATTTGTGCGTTTACATCTGTTTTTTTGCCCTCTCAGTTTTTTAACAAAACAAAAATAGGGCTTTTATCCTTTTCAAAAAACAGATGTTGACGGATGTGGATGTAAGCGGATATAGACAGATGATCATCCATTTACATCTGCTTTTCCATAGAGATGCATTGATGTCCATTTTTTCATCCGTGAATGGATGGATGAAAAATGAACAAATGGTCTGCACGTGTGAAAGGAGCCTTAAGTGTTTTCAAAGGATACTTTCACTGGATTCCTCTTGATCTACCATACATGAATACAAATGAAAGCAATAGAAAATTGACATACTTGTAATGACCTGGAATTGAAGGAATAATCAGTATGACTGTTATTGGAAAAAATACTATGACTCTGGCTGTTAACTCTCTTTGCCAGCTGGCAAGGCAGTCAAACATCACTTTTGGGTTGTAGAATACAATAAGTACAGAGCTCACCCATTTGCGACTACAAAATAAATAAATCAATAGCTAATCCATAAAGTGTATATTATATAAATAAAACAAAATTAACACGTTAAGATGCAAACACTGTACATATATTATGCATATTATAGTTACAGCTGCTTTAGAGATCTATCATCTCTAATATATTATAGATATAACAGTTGTTAGAGTGTTCTACATTGGTAAAAATTAAATCAATTTTGGATTGACTTGGTAAAAATAAGTTTATTGAACAGTACTGAAGGATTCTTGGGGGTACCAAAGGCACAATTACGTAAACATTGGCAGAAGCTGCTGTTGAGTTTCTGTTAACCAGTGTTTCCACTCAGCTACCTCCATATCCACTCTGCAGAAGAAGATGGAGTCATTTTCCCCTTTTTAAATGGGCCTAATTGGACCTGGTGGGAGGCAGGTGTAAAAATACACAAGTCCATTTACACCAACCTTTTTATAGGGATGAATGGACCTTTAAATAAGGGTCGCCTGAAAAACGGAAGACCCGTGTGAAAGGGGACTTAGTTCCATATGTTTGCTTTCTCTCTATATATTTAACATCTGTTATATTAAAGGTATTAACTACATTTTCCTACCTCTAAGGTTAATCTGTATGAAGAAATACTTGGGCAACTTATGCTGACACTTCTGTCTCTCAGTTGACAACTGCTCATTTTTACGACCCCAGCCACACATCTAAATGAAGCCATATACAATAGGATATAACCTATTTGATACATTGGGGTTGATTTACCAAAGGCATATAGACTGTTCAGTATAACTTTTCCCTTATCTTAGTGAATGTGGTGAAAATTCAGTTTGCAAAGGATAACCATACACATGCAATAGAAAATAATGGACTTTTGTGTACACAAGATTGGATGATAAAAATCAGCAGAGCTTCACCTCATTCCCTAAGCTAAAGCTTCAGTCAGTGTGTAAAGCAGTTTGTCCAACAGAAGCCAGTCTAATGACTGGCTTTTGTCCAAGGAACATGCTGGAAAGCCAGCATCGGATCAGCACTTGCAGCCATTGGCTGTAACATTGATCAGTGTATTCTGGTTTAAATGGGAGGAAAAGTGCCCAATTTTTCTGGTCAGTGGAAGGAATTTTGCCTCATTGTTGGTGTCAGCAGTAGGAATAGTGCCCCAGTATTGCTGTCAGTGACAGGAATTATGCTGAATTTTTGGTGTCAGTGGCAGAAATAATGCCTCAAAGGTCAGATAAAGGCAAGCAAAGGGCCACATCCGGCCCCAGGGCCACAGTTTGGAAACCACTGCTCTAGAAGATCAACCTAGTTGTATCTAAGCTTGCTTACAGCTCTAGTATATAGATCTAGTATTGTGTGTGTTTATATCTTGACATGTGCAGCTTCAGTACTAAATAAAACATCCTATTTTACATGTATTGGAAGAATACAAAATGTGCTATGTGACATTGTGTCATTTTGAGGCATTTATTTCAGGAACTCCAGAGAGACATAGAGAAGCACAGTACCGGAGTTGCATCGGTTCTAAATCTCTGTGAAGTACTTCTGCATGACTGCGATGCTTGTGCCAATGACAGTGAATGCGATTCCATTCAGCAGGCCACCCGCAGTCTAGACCGCAGGTGGAGGAACATCTGTGCTATGTCTATGGAGAGGAGACTCAAGTAAGTTTTTAAAAATGGGGGTCTGGGGTAAAGCAGGTTAGGAAATCATGGTGTAATTTAAACAACAAATATGCTAATTTTCTTTACCAATATACTAACCAGCTGCTCAGACAATTAGTTACAGAAGCCAAAGAAGTAAAAAAAATATTTTTAAATCTCAGGTTGTAGTTTTCCGTTTTACCTCTTGTAATACTTGCTATTTGCACATGGTGGTGTCTATAAGCTTCAAAAGACAAGAATTGTTACCATTGACAGATAGCTTTTATATTTTTGTTAGATATTTCTTTTTCAAATCCCACCTCTTTCCATAGTTCAACACCCAGCTACAGTCAAATCTTTCTTGTTGTGGATGAAATGGGAAAGTATTAAAAGCTTTGTTTTTATTGCTGTAAGTGACTCCATTGGGGAGACCTCCTCATTTGTATTGCCATATTAAAGGCAAGCTTTAAAGCTGAACTCCAGTACTGAAACTGTCATTAAATCCACTTTGCTTGTACCAAATGTCTTTTGCAATGGTGTCAGTACTGGATTGCACAGAGTGCAGAGCTGTGGGTCCCAGCAGCTCCACCCTCTACAGGCTGTCTGTATGGGGTGGGGGTGGATAAAAGGCTTTTATTTTTCAAAGAAAAATAAACAAAGGCTGTCCATATTTAGGTAATAATACACATGCCTCTTGTATTTAAACATTTGTTAACCCCATATTTCAGCATTAAAGTCTAGAATCAGATTTTTTAAATATTTTCTAAAACCAGAATGCCAGTCAAAATGTATTTTTCTGCACAATAATTTTTTATTGAGATTTTAAGCCAATAACAACCTTAAAATTTGCTCATGCAGGGGGACAAGTCTATTACACAGACAGTTGCAAAATGTATTTTTATTTATTTATATATTTATTTTAAATGAGCATTGCAGATTTGGAACATTTTCCTGACCCCTTGACCAGAGCACAGGCAGCAAAAAATAAAGGTTCCTTCCTGAGACCTGATAGGAAGTCAACCCCTATAGTTATGAGGAATCCTATCTTTGATAGGTGTCAGCAAAAAGGGGTGTTACATGGAAAATACCTCCTCTAATCCTGTTCTGTTTGAAAATATAAACATTTTAATTTTTCATCCATTCTGGTGATAATATTGGGGCACCATGGCAAAGAAGGAGGGTGAATCTCCTCAATGAAGGACAGGCAATAATTAAACCTGACAGAGGTTCTATTACACTCACACTGCATAAAACTAGGAAAAAAAGCTTTTGCTGGAACATTTCTTTAAGCATACTGTTCTCCAATCAATGCACACTAAAATGTAGCTTACAACATAAAAATGGTTTAAATGGGTAGTAGACCATAGTGAATCAACTCCACCATAGAACTTTTACATGTCACCACCCCAGTAAATTACAGGAAAATCTCATATCTATTATTATGATAGGTGTGAAGAAATTTCTATAGGGTTAAGATTTGGAATGTAGGTGTATCTAGACATAAAGCTTATTAATTCTGGTGAATGCTGAGCCAAATGTAGGCCAAAGGTAAGAATTAGTAAAAATGTTAACACGTTAGCTGCTCAGATTAGTTACATAGTTAGTCTAGCTGAAAAAAGTCCATCTAGTTCAACCATTAAAAAAAAAGCTATAATCCTATACCCACAGTTGATCCAGAGGAAAGCAAAACAAACCAGCAAAGTATGATCCAATTTGCTCCTGCAGGAAAAAAATTCCTTCCTGATCCCCCGAGAGACAATCGGATATTCCCTGGATCAACTTCACCTATAAATGTTAGTATCCAGTTATATTCTGTGTATCCAAGAAAGAATCCAGGCCTTTTTTAAAGCAATCTACTGAGCTGGCCAGAACCAACTCTTGAGGGAGTCTATTCCACATTTTCACAGCTCTAACTGTGAAGAAACCTTTCCATGTTTGGAGATTACATTTCTTTTCCTCCAGATGTAAAAAGTGCCACCATGTCCTCTGTGATGATCTCAAGGTGAATAGCTCTACACCGAGTTCACTATATGAACCATTGATTTATTTATAAATGATCTTACTGTAAGTATTAAAGGAAAGGTACACATGGGTAGCACGGTACACTGAACAATACAAACATCTTCCAGCACTTGTTCCAATTAGCTAGGTCTAAAAAACCTAACTAAGGCTGCCCATACATTATACAATGTTCCTTTAGATTTACCAAAACCATATAATATGATGTCAAACCTAAACAATTTGCATGCAAACAGGCAGGTCCTTGCACTACATAGTTTATTTATTTATGTATTTATTTCAGGTACTTATATAGCGCCGTCAATTTATGCAGCGCTTTACATATATATTATACATTCCCATCAGTCCCTGACCCTCAAGGGGTGTACAATCTAAGGTCCCTAACTCACATTCATACATACACATACTAGGGACAAATTAAACAGGAGCCAATTCACCTAGTTGAAAGTAAATCTAAAGGAAATTGAATAAGAAAATTATATAATGTATGATCAGCTTAAGGTTATGTTCACATTGCTACAATACCATATTGGTCTAACTTTCAGTGCAGTTATGTGGATGCAACTTTGACAAGGTTTGTATATTCTTTGGGGCAAAAATTGCACTGAAAACGCACCAAGGTAGCAAAAGAGCATTTTCCAAATTTACTCCATGCTGAGTTCCATTGCTATGAACAGACATCATTGAAAACTATACTATTTCCCTTGTCATGCAATTCTCAAGTTTCATCTGAAATCACACTAGCCTGAGCCAGTCCTAATTTTTTTCTAACATATAAAACAAAGTTTTTGTTACACACATTTGTAAATATATGTGAAGTCACACTGGTGTCGTGCAAACCCTATATCTGTGCTCCCATTTAACATTACAGGCGTATGGATGAATGGCCCCTGAAAGCACACTGACTGCGTTTGGGCCACTCACGTGCATGCCTGTCACATTAGGAAGAGTGGCTGTGTTCTTGCAGCTGCTATGTCCTAATAGACATCACTAGACTGCTTGAATGCAGCACCTGAAGTCTAGATGAGCTGTAAAAAATGGCCCTTTCACGGCATACGGGTCTCATCGTCCATGGGAACAAGGCCAAACCAAAAAATGTTAGCTGCTCCAATCAATTTATAACTTGCAAAAGAAAGTTGCATATCACTGGAGAAATAACCTAAACTGTACAAAAATCCCTAGTACTTGATCCAGCTAGTCAGCACACAATGCTTAACTGATTCAAACATTTAGATTCAAAACTGAGGTTTTTGTTTCATACATTTGCAAATATATGTGAAGCCACACTGCCACATCAAGGCATCACTGCAAAGTGTGCTACCTATCTCTAATCTATTCAGTGCCCAGGTTGGGACATAGATGCCATTTTTTGGTTTGTTATATGTGGTGCAGACACACACTGGGGTTGATTTACTAAAACTGGAGTACTCAGAATCTGGTACAGCTGTGCATGCTAGCCAATCAGCTTCTAACTTCAGCTTCTTCAATTAAACTTTGACAATAAAACCTGGAAGCTGATTGGTTTCTAGTTTTAGTAAATCCCCCCCCCCCCTCCCCACACTGGTTGACCTCAGCTGTTTTCAGCAAGTCTGGATTTCTGGTGTGGTGCTGCACATACGGCTAATAAGGTAAGCCAGTTGTCAATGTATTCATTACTATACTTGTGTCCTCATTTGGGAACATGCATTCATACCTGTCTCATTCATTCAGCATGTTCTACCAGCTCCAGCATATTTACAATGCTCCTTTGTTCAATCCTGACTGCAGAGGTTCAACTAGAAAGCAACTGGTTTGATCCAGCAGAAGCAGTTGCACATCGATCAAGTTTAAATGTCATGACCTGGCTAGCCGCCACAGTTTTTTTTTTTCTTAATGCCACAGCTGTTGCTTGTAAATCATTGAGTAGCAGAGACCAGTTATCACTAAGCAATGACCAGGTATTGGCCTCTAGTACACATTAAGCAATGTGTTGTAATAAAACATTTTTGCCTCTACTTCTAGGATCGAGGAGACATGGCGGCTTTGGCAGAAATTCCTGGAGGACTTTTCTCGCTTTGAAGACTGGCTGAAAATTTCAGAACGGACAGCTGCCTTTCCCAGTTCTTCTGGTGTGCTTTATACAGTGGCAAAGGAAGAACTGAAAAAATTTGAGGTTATTTGAAAACTTACTTCACTTTGATAAAAGATGCAGGTGTTTGAGTAAAAAATGCAGTAATTAGAAAAGTAGGATTCAGATAAAAAGTCGTCCATTCCAAGTGAATATATTGTATGTTATTTGGTGGGGGGTTCTCAATTTTTCACCATGATTTTGAACATAATCACGATTCTGGAAATTAACTCTAAATTGCTAATTTGCAAACATGTTTTTCTATTACAAAATTACAAAATGCAAACTGCACAAATAATTTTAGAATTGAATTATGTGGCCTACCATGCACTAAGCTGTATCTCCTAGCACAAGTCAGATGGCAATGAGGACACTGTAAAATTTCTGCCATCATAGGTCTAAATGGCACCATTTAACACTTGGCACTTCCCCTTGCATTGCCAATGTGCCTACATGTCTCATGATATGTCATTTAAAATTGTAAGATTTGTTTGTGGAAAATAAGAACCTATTCTATTGGTGTACATATGAACACACGTTTTATTCCACCACACAAGATTTGTATTCAGTCAGCACTGTATTTAATTTAAGATAATAGATAATTAATAAGATAATTTTAGATGAATTTAGTGCCTGCCATGCTGCCCTGAAATGATGATGAATTATCTGTAGCCCTTTTTTTTTTAGGCTGGCCATACACTGTTTTTTTTGCAGATTCCTCTATCTACCCAAATAGAGTGGATGGAGGAATCCCCCCTGACCAGAAAATTAATTATGACAGCTGCACCTGCCCCTGTCAGAATACACTTATCAGAGGCTGCAACTAATTGGCTACAGATGCTGTTTGAGAAAAATTTGCAGTACGTTCCATTGACTTCTGTTGAGCAGGGACCAACACACACTGGTCAAAATTCAGCCAGTTTGGCTGAATTCTGTTCGGTTGAATTGGCCGAATTTTGAACGGTGTAAGGCCAGCTTTAGCTTTGGATAGAAAGAGTTAGAATCCCTGTCAGGTTTTGCTGATAACAGGGGTTCCATTTGAGAGGTCATCTCTTACTGTCCCAGGGACATAGTTTTTAACGCATTGAGAGGTCATCCCTTACTGTCCCAGGGACATCATTTTTCCGCAAAGGAAGTCTAGAAAACTCTCCAACAGGGAAACAGATAGCAATAACAATCTGACGGAGGTTCTAGCACTCCCCCGCTTATCTAAACTTTTTTACTTTTGTCTATGTTGCTGATGGATAGTTTCCTTCATTTCCTGTCTGGTGCAAAGGTTGTCCCTGGGACCATGAGGGGAAATCTCTCTAATGAAGCACCAGACAACATAAAAAAATTGACAGGGGTTCTAAACCCTTCCAAACACTTCAACCACTTCACTATTGCCATACATTTATGAACAGCAGAGTAGTGGATATTTATTTCTACAGTTCTGTATAGCAGAAATCACCCTCAGGTAGCCAAAGTGCCATAGTGGCTGTGATCTGAGCTGTCATCAGAATACTACTACTCTTTACATTGGAAAGCCCACCCCTTCCTCTGACAATGGCAGAGGCAGAGGTGGAAGGAGGAACTGATGAGTAAATGACTTATTTATTAGTTTCAGATCAAACACAGCAACAGATTTGTGGTGAGGGGTTTAAAAGAGAGGTTTTGGTTTTGTTTTTTTTCCCCCGATCATACTTACCTAGGTGGATGCAGGATTGGTCTGATGCTGCATCTGTCTCCTGCCGGCTCAAACTGTGAGAACTCAGCGATCACATGACCATTGTTCGCTGAGTTCTCACAACCGCTCTGAGCAGAGAGTGGTGACTGTCAGTCACTGCTGTCTGCTCTGCCCCCCCCATCGCTTACTTGAGTGCTGGGCTTTGGAGCGGAGGAAGCAGCTGGCTCAGGCTCTCAGTGGTTCGCTGAGAGGCTAAGCCAGGTGCCACTCCAGACTCTGGGGTGGATCCTGACATTAAAGCGGAGTTGCAGCTGAAAAAAAAAAAATAAAATAAAAGTCAGCAGCTACAAAAACTGTAGTCCCAGGAGACTATGGGGAGGGAGGGAGGGGGGAGGACAACTTCTGCTTCTGATCACCAATGCGATCGTAGCAGGAGTGGGAGCGGTTACCTGTCAAATTTGGGTACCCGCTCCCCAAAGGTGCCAATCCTTAATGGGGAGCAGGGGAAGAAGCATTAAAGTGGAACTTCCCCTTTCAGGTGGAGCTCCACTTTAAAGTCTGGATCTTTCCCCAGCCTTCACCAGCTGAGTGATGTCATCTGACAGCCCGCTGTCGGCTGAAAACAAGTCACAAGAGTGTAGAGTGAACTGCACTACTGTGATCCACAGAAATACAGTCAAAATAGCTTTGGCTGTACTTCTCCTTTAATTTGTAGGATCATTTTTTTAACCCTTTTACCTACCCCCTCTGCAGCCTGTCTCAGTATGTGATCTGTATGTTAACCAACATCACCCTTATCCTGGCATGCAGGCACTTTATTTTCAGTTTTTTTCAGAATATATGGTCATTTACTCTTTACATAGTAAAAAAAAAAAACTGGTTATAACATACCATCAAAAAAGCCTCATCTATCTAAAAAATATAAATATGATATAAAATTAATTTGCAAACTGGTACTCAAGTGGTTAAAGGAGCAGAGAAGAAACAGTCATGTATGTCTGAAGTTACAACAAATTGGAGCTGTACTGTGAGTTCCCGATAAAGAAAGATTGGCCAGATGCAAGAATGATAAAAATGATTAGCATCAAAGGAGGGACCAGTAGGTTCCTTGCTTTGAGTTCTCATACACGCTGTTGACAAAGAGTGATGTTTAAGCGATACCTCTTCTTTATGCTCTCCTGTTCCAAAGTATCTGTGCGTAGAAGGTCTTAAAAACTATTCATTGCTCCCTCCCTGATGTCACATCTTATCAGTAATCCCCAGATAGCAGTTATAACATCTCTGTAAAAGCTGCTTTACCTTCTGAAGTCCATGCGTTTGGCTTATTGTGACTGATTGATTGGCTGTAATTATTTATTTTTCTATTGGCTGTGACATCAGCTAATTTAAAAATAAATACACAAATAATATCAAGCAATGTGTAGTTAACTTACAGCTGTAATTAAATAACATGTAGATATAATAAACAGTTTTAAATACATGGTAATTCCCACCAATACTATATTTGTCCTATCTCAAATAAATCAGCCTGGGCACAGCATTAGGAATAGTTCTGTTTTCTCGCTAGTGCGAGAAATACAGAATGATTAGGCATGGCATAGTAAAAGAATTTTTATTGCTGACACAAATTTGTGACTTACGTTAGTTTTTAATAATTTAGAAACTGTCACCCAGAGAACTGAACCAGGCACAGCAGAACAAAGTTGTGACTGAAAGAAAAAAAGTACACTTACATACAGTGTTTGTGACTGTCTAAGACCATCGGTGTTTGTGATATGAGTCATTGAATATGCAGCACATTTCTTCATCACAGCTGTCAGTACCGTCCCCAGCTGTCCTCTATAAATGCACCTGTTGGCTTCTCATACTTCTTCCATGCTGCAATAACAGCTGAGATGAAGAGTAAAAGTTTGTTTTCGCACAAGGTCACCATAGATGTAAGATAGATAAGTCAATACATGTCTTTTTATTACTCACTGATATACAGTATAGCCATTCTGAATTTAAAACATGTAATAGCTCAGTTATTAATACAGATTTTTCATGAAAAGACTTACAGGTGATCTGATAACCTGTAAACTCTAACACCAAAGTACACAAATGCCCCTGTCTATGCCACTCCTTAGAATTTAATTGTACCTCTGCATGACAAATGTTGGTGCAGACAAAATATTTAATCTACCTGCCGGAAACCTCTACATGAATTTGGGGCAAGCACCATGTGTGGGGCCAAGCTGGTTCTGGTCCATAGTCTGTCCTCGAAGCACCATCCCACCACTGCGGCTGTCACACAACACATCATCCAAGGATTTGGGGCTGGGTGGATGGACCCTGGAGGGGATTTACACATCAGGTCCACTCCCCTTGTGATTGCCAGTAGGCAGTGTACAGGTCCATTGCAATAGACAACCTGCTATTGGCTATAGAATCCAACCACTGCTTGGTGTCTGTCACAAGCAGTGGAACTGATCGAGAAGTAGTGTATCAGTTTCCTCATCAGGCTCCATCCACTATCAGAGTCATTAGGAGGCTGTCAACTGTAAAGCTGACAGTGCCCTAACCAACCAGTGATAGATGGGGAGAGGAGGAGGTAGCGGCAGCAAACAGCCCTGCTAGACAGTTTACAGAGACAGGCCATAGGCCTGTCTATGTACACAAATTTGCAGTTGGTCTTCATTACTCCGTTTTATTAATATTAACTAGAAGTAGGGATACACCGATACTGTTTTTTATCGATGAGTACGAGTACTGATACTTTCGGTCAAGCACTTGCCGATACTGAGTACCAATACTTTGCGGTGCAATTTGCGTTAATGAACGCAAATTGCTTCTCAAAGAATAGCATGCAATTTGAACAGGAACGTGATTCCTGTCCAAATTGCAAGTGGTTTCCCCACTGCTCCTGTGTGAACTCAGGCTTGTCATAGCCTGAGTTCACACAGGAGCAGTGCAGGAAACCTGCCTGCATGCATCCTATGCTGCGCATCAGTAGTAGGAGAGGAGAGAAAGTGGTGGGGATTTGAAATCCACGCCGCTTTCTTTCCTCTACTTGCAGAGCGATGACACCTCAGGCTAGACGGCATCTGATTGGTGACGCCCGGGGATTCCCTAACTTTGGAGGGATTTCCTCTCACTTCCTGTTTTGGGTATGGGACAGGAACAGAAGAGAGCTCTCCCAAATGGGACACAAATGCAAAAAAATTAACCCTTCCTTATTCTATTAAATAAAAAAAGTTTTGACTCTAGTTCTACTTTAACCCCTTGGCTCTCAGCTGTTTAAGGGGTTTGTGACGCAAGGAGGCGGGGTGGGGTTTAGGGTCATGTGACTACTGTGATTGGCTGTCACAGCAGTCGCATTATTGGAAAGCTCCCAACTACAAGCAATCGGGACCTTTCCGTGAGGTGTCAGTAAATGTGCCAGGAGCGCCTAGGGCGCGTGCTCTCGGCACATCTTTTGTTTATATTGGGTATGCAAATATGTGGTCCCTCAACATATGCCCAGCTCTAAGAAGTTAAGCACAATCATAAAAACGCATTTTGAATGCCAGCAAGCTGATACAAGACTGGTTCTGCCATTGTTTGTTTATTTCTACTCAGCTCAGAACCTGATTTACTAAACTGGAAAGTGAGAAATGAAGTAAACATGAGCCTGCTTAAAGCTGAAGGCAGATATAGAAATTAATGTAGATATGTGTTAATCACAAAAAAATATTAAATGTATTTTTAAATACGATTAGTGTAAATATCTGATTTTCAGTTGTACTCAGACTGGAAGCAGAAGGGTCATCACTAGGGACCCTTCATTCAAGAGTGCTGCAGTGCATGAGTAGGCAAGGAGCAATGTCATAAAAAGAGAGAGCAGAGTAAACCAAGAGTTGATTAATCACTGTGCTGCTTCTTTAAAGTTACAGGTTGAGGGCAGGAAAGTGACCTGGGTGTATTGCTTAACTTGTATAGAGAGAAGTCAGGTCACCAGCCTAGCTCTGATGTCTAATAGTGCTGTGTACATCTTATAACTGGGTTAAAGTACAAGTTCTTTTGGAGGTAAAACAGCCAGCATACATTTCATGTCTAAGTAAAAACAGATCTCTGCAAACTGATTTACAAGATTTACAATAATTACAATCTAAAAAAAACACAAAGACTCTATGGGCTACCGTATAGCATCACCATGTTTTCAATAGATTTTGGTTAGACTTACAACAACCTTTGTTCCTTTGACTTTAATTCTTACAAATATGGAGCAACTCGTCTCCAGATTTTATTATGTAGTTTATTTTTTAGACCAATTAAATGTTTCAGTTAAGAAGTGCATTTATTAATAGGAACAAAGCTCATTTTATGACAGGAAAGAGAATACATTTGCCTTGGCCAACTCCTTAGTGTCCCACAGAACTAGATGTTATCTTTGGTCAATATTATTTCCTTGACTTTAATTTGGATTTGATGCTTTCTTTTCCTTTGCCAAGCAGCAACAAAGGTTGTCCCCCACTTCTTATTTTCTTTTTTTTTTTTTTTTTGTTAATGCTGAGTTTAAGAAGCCACAGACCATTTTCTTCCAGAAACCCAAAAATGTTCCAACACTCATATCATCTCATATCTTTTTCACATACAGGGAACTCATATATTTTGTATACTAGTGTCTCAGTATTTATTTAAATTTATCTATATTTTAGGCTTTTCAAAGACAAGTTCATGAGAGCCTCACTCAGCTGGAGCTCATAAACAAACAGTATCGCCGCCTGGCTCGGGAGAACCGCACTGATTCAGCATGTAAACTAAAGCAAATGGTCCATGAAGGCAACCAACGGTGGGACAATCTGCAGAAGAGAGTTACATCTATTCTCAGGAGGCTGAAGGTTTGTTTTATTAAAATGCTCTCTTTGAGTTAATGCAGGGTAAGGAGACTGTCATTTTAGGAGCGCAAAAAAACTGCTGACAATTATAAAGTGCATACAGCCTGTGGTGTTTCCAGTCACCCTGCTTTACCTGAAGGCCAGACCATTCTAACAGACAAAGCTCCACACTTTCTAGTAATTTACTGTGAAACCCATCTCAGGACTGCAAATCGGTGTGAATCCAATGCTCTTTTCTTTATGTAACACACATTATACATCTATTTTCTTTTTGTGAATTACATTTTTTATATGCTAGGAAGCATACAGCTTGGACTTATATCACAATTAAAGAATGTCATAAGTATATGCACTCTGAATTTTAAACAAAACTGGTTAAACACTGAATTATACTGGGAAATTATAAAGATACTTTTCTAATTTTTTTACTCAGATGCTTAAATTATGTTAGACAAAAAATCATTTGATTTACCTCTTTCATTTCTGATTTACTTCATTACAGCATTTTATTGGCCAGCGAGAAGAATTTGAGACTGCACGAGACAGCATCTTGGTTTGGCTTACAGAAATGGACCTTCAGTTAACAAACATAGAACATTTTTCTGAGTGTGATGTTCAGGCAAAAATTAAACAGCTTAAGGTTAGCCATTGGTTTTCTGTGTGAAAGACAGGATGGAAATTCTGGTTAATTAGAAACCTACTTATACTATAATTACCAGCTTAAGGGACTCTGTCTAGGATAGGTAAGCTTTAAAAAGGAAAAGAACTGGCTTAAAAAAGAAATGCAGTCTAGAAACATGTCACCATATCACCATTTCAACATAATATTAAAATGAGCAAACTTGATATTCTAAGGCATATAAATCAAACCTGCACTTTGCCTATTCTTGCCTTTCTGCCTCTCCATTCAGCCCTGGTGAGTTAAGAAAGGCAGCCTTGTGTAAACCCAATTCAGATCTTCAGTTAGAGCTTTCATGGTTATTGTCTCCCTATTCCCATATGACACTGCTGACCAATCACCAAGCATCAACACTGCCATATAGAATTAATTACATGAATCTCAATATCCAAAAATAAAAGTTATTTTCATCACTATCAGTGGTGGACAGAGAGGGTGGGGAACAAAAAAATGTATGTATGTGCTGCTGTGGGCCTGCACTGTAAAGAGAGTTTGCTGTAAAGCCTAAATAATTTTTGTAAGACTGTCACTAAAAGAAAGCATTGTTTGTCTTCAAAATAAAATGGTCTATAGCAGAAAAATAAGAATTGCTCTGGTCCAAAGTGTACAAGTATGAGAGCTGAACTGGTTAATAAAACCTCATATGATCAAAGTTTTTTGTTCCTTAAGGCCTTCCAGCAAGAGATAGCCTTAAACAACTACAAGATTGATCAAATTATTACTCAGGGAGAACAACTTTTAGAAAAGAGTGAACCTCTTGATGCCGCTGTTATTGAAGAAGAACTGGATGAATTGAGGAGGTATTGCGTGGAGGTCTTTGGTCGCGTTGAACGATATCACAAAAAGCTCATCCGTCTTCCGGTATGTCTACAAGTACTGCTTCGTAACTGATATTGAAATTTATATCATTTCTTCATCGATACTCAGAGATCAGTTTTAGTAGCTTATTTACCGTTTACTGTAAATGTATTTACTCACATCTTTTTGGGGATTGAAAGATTTAAATTTCCTGTTATGTAGCTTAACTTACTCTTTCTGAGCTTGACAGTGTGGGGTTTATTTACTAAAGCTGGAGAGTCCAAAATCAGACTCCCTTCTGCATAGAAACCAATCAGCTTCTAACCTCAGCTTGTTCAATGAAACTTTTGCAATGAAAACCTGGAAGCTGATTGGTTTCTATGCAGAAGTGAGTCTGATTTTGGACTCTCCAGCTTTAGTAAATAAACCCCTGTGTGTCTTGGGTCCCAATAAAGAGTATATCCAATATGCCATACAATGCATGTCAATAGTTGACAACATACAAATATGTTAAAATAGAACTATGGCTTAAAGTTAAAAAAACACTTTATTATGTTTATCTTCACTTCCCTTTTTCTCTTAGTCCTGCTGCAAAATCCCAAAAAATTGCTGTGGAGCCTGTCAGTGAAGTCCACTTTCTGTGATGGTGTGGCAATGATGCTGCTCCTGAGTTCATAGTAGAGTTGTCGCTTTTATGTGTGTCTGTTCATGCTAGGACTACCGTGGAATGAAAAAATGTTGCAGGGTGTTTAATTGTTGGCATTATCACAGCTGATTCAGAAGGCTGTAGCTTGTCAATCAGCACCTGGCCACACCTGGCCCTGCCCATTTCTTTCTGGATTAACAGTGCTGCCTGAGGTTTGTGCATCACATAGTAACTGGATATTGGATTCGTTTGGATTGTCATATAGGGGCCTTTAGTTTTAGTTTAAGTCATGTTTTACTGTGGGGACAAGCTTTAATGAGTAAAGGGGATCTGTTATTTGCAAAGGGAAAATATTTTCTAGCAGCTGCACAATCGGTGCCTTTGCTGCAAAACCATGTAGTACTTTTTTTCCTGCTTCTTTCTTTTTAATTCCAGTGTGTAGTGGTTTGTCATTAATTAAGACAGACCAAGGGTTTGCAATTTTTCTATTATTACTATTTCTCTCTTAGTATTGCAATTTCTTTTCTATGCCATTTGCATTGCTGTGTGATTGGAATATTACAGCTTTTTATGCTTCCAGATCATTTATGATATGGATAAAAGAGCCTAACCTTTCAAAGCTGAAACAAAAAATATCAATCTAAAAATGTATAATAAGCATATTAAAAACTTCCACCATTCAGATTAAAAAGGTATGAGAAGTGGAGGACACTCAGTGTTATATTGTAGAAGTCATTAACTAATTGTGGTATACCACAGTTATCTACACCAACCTTTGAAGGTCCACTTGCCTTTTTAGATTTTAGTTTTTTATTTTTACTTCCCTCCACTTAAAATATTTCAGTTTGTTTTTCAATTGAGTTGTACAGTGTATAGGTCACATTAAAGGTAGAAAAAGTTCTAAAATTATTTATCTTTGTCTCATTTATTTACATCATAGAAACCTGCCATTTTAACAGGGGTGTGTAGACTTTTTATATCCACTGTATCTATTAACTACTGCCTAGTACCACAAAAACATATTTTAATGTGCTTTTTCTGTCAGTTAGGACTCATTCACATGGATTCACTGACACATACAAGTTTAAAAGGGAAGGAAAAAATGGTACATGGCCCCATGGCATGGTTTAGGGCCATACATCTGTCCCTGTGTACCTGTAAAACTCAAATGTGAGGGTGAGGCCTTACAGTTACTGCGTCTCCATTGAATAAAAGCAGGTTCTTCATTTTGTAGGGGTATCTGCATCCATGTGAATGAGCTCTTACAGTGAAAATAGCTTGGTACTTTCCTACCCTAGAATTTCACCTTTCTGTTCTTCTTGCTGATTACTTCCAGTTGACAGATGATGAACATGACTTCTCAGACCGAGAGGTGGATGGAGATGAGACAATGGACCTGTCTGATCTGCAGTGGCACACAAAGAATTCAGGCGGCATCCTCTCACCTCTGCCTTCTTCAAACCATTCACTGTCCCTAATTGTTCCGATGAGGAGTGAAAGATCAGGTCGAGATACACCAGCTAGTGTGGATTCCATACCACTGGAGTGGGATCATGACTATGACCTCAGCCGTGATTTAGAAACTGCAGTATCCCAAGCATTGCACTCAGATGATGAAGATGACAAAAGTTATTTTCTTCAAGGAGCAACTGGTTTAACTGGTAAAATAGTCCATCTTTTATATGTTCATGCTTTGATGTAAAATGTTCTAAAAGCATTTAAGTGGTCTTAACAGACACCTATTGTTGAGAGTGAAAGCACTTTGACACAAGGCCAGATTTTCTGTTATTTGTTTGTGTTTTGTCCTAAACAGTGGCAAAACACTCTAGACGTACATAAAAGAGATTGCTCTGCAAACCTATTCAGTAAAACAATGCATTGTGAATTGGTCTTACTAAAGTAACTTGAATGCCAAATTATTGTATTGGAGTGGAATGGATTATCTTTCATTGTGCACCTTTTTGCTGTTTCTGAATAATTCCACTACTGCATTTGTCAAGTTAACTCACCATGATCATCATTAAATATTTATCCCCAGAAACTTTGGCTCTAAATTCCTGCCAGTTTCCAAAAAACTCCTGTCTAACTAGCATATCAGTTAAACCTTATGTGTTGATGTCTAATTTGTAGGATCATAGTTCACTTTAGTAAATTGTGTTTACATCAAAAGATTGAATTTAGATCTGTTACTGTGTAAAACAACCGTAACTGAACTTAATATTAAATCAGGCAACCTTTACTGTGGGCACAAACCTTAAGTATGCAAATCTTAATGTTTTTCAGAGAATGCCTAGGTGGGGCCTACCACCTTCTGTAACTCGTTTGGTCATTGAGACCTTGCATTGAAAAACCAATAGGAAATTTCCTTTATTTACATATGTTGAGATTTTTATATTAAAATGCTCTTGGCTTTTACTCTACTGATTAGACTTGGGCAGAGATAGAAACCTGCATCTGTGGGTACCTGCTTTGAGTTTTCATACCAATTTAGCCAGTCCTACAGATATACTTTAATTAAATGTATTTCTGGCATTGTGTACATTTTTATGTGATGAACAGTGCAAGATTATAAATTCACCACTAAGTTACAAGCCCTTGAAAAAAGCATAATATCAGAAATTGGTTGCGATTTTTACTTCATGTGGGTATCAGAAATGTTTGTAAGCTATGTTAAAATTACTAATATTTGTTCAAACAAGCTTGCATGACAGTTTTTTTTGATTGCTTGGTTAATCAGTAGTATTCTTTTTGAGGCCCATTAACCTCCCTGGCGGTATGATTATTTCAGATTTCTGGTGCTGAAAGCGGTACCATTATTTTGCATGGAAATTTGGCGTTTTATATTGTAGGCCTGTAATTCTTAGGAATAACTCACTGAAATCTGTCCGAACAAGAGTCTAGTAAACATCCCGGGTAGGATAAAACTTGAAACACGAAATCATAAATTAGAATTTAATAAATAATCATAAAAAATAATAATATAAATAATAATAAATTTAATTCAATAATATAATCAAACCAAAAACACTGAAATTTGAAATATAGCGCCAAGTTCGCACATCACTGAGCAAAGTCACAAAATCGTTTTCAGTGTCTGATGACGAATTTCCCCACAAATCATCACTCAATTCTGCAAGTAGTTCCAATTTACTATCGCTGTTCTCTAGCTGGTCTAAAACTGCTTTTGACCTAAAGGGACGCTTTTTGGACGCCATGGACATTTCTCAGTTTCCAGGTAGAAAGAACAGTAAAAATGCAGGCAGGGCACAGGGCAAAGCACTAGGGACAAAATGTATGTGAAATGGTTTGGTACAGTAATGTTTTACTATGTGATTTTAGTAAATGTAACTTTTTGTCATTTTCAAATTTCCCGCCGTTCCCTCCCCCGTACGTCCCGACGCTCGCAGAGGACGGAACCCAGATGACAGATGCCGGCATCCGCCGGATTACATTGCCGGGGAAACTGCAGGAGGGACATCGCAGGAGCGCAGGACAAGGTAAGTGACCGAGGGATCGCGGAGCAGCGCCGCATGGTAAGCCCGAGTGTAGCTCGGGGTTACCGCTTGTGGTACTGAAACTTTACCCCAAGCTACACTCGGGAATACCACCAGGGAGGTTAATAGGTACTGGTGACCACACTGCTGTAAACATTGGAGAAACAGTAACACCATTTTTTTTTGCTCTTTCCTCTCAATGTATACAGGAGTTGAGAACGTAGTAGGGGGCCAGATAAGGAAATAAGAAGTTTGTTTCATGTTTTCCCATACATGGTGGCTCGTGGTAGCAACTGATCTTCATTAAAGTAATTATATAGAAACATGTGAGAGCTGATTGGGGTTAGACATTGAAGAGCCTCTGAAATGTTTATATTCATGATTCTCAACTGTAAGGTTATAGTTTACACATGCAGATATTTTGTTCTTTTAAAGAGTAGGAGCTAAAAAGTGGAAGTGTCCTACACCTCAGTTAATAACCTTATCAGTTAATTTCCTTCATTTTCATGTGGACACTAGACTACAAAAGACTGCAGTTGAGTGATCTGTGCCTTTCAGCTCTTTAGAAACTGTAAAAAAGTTGGAAAACCATCTTGTGGCTTGGGATTTTTGAACGAGCATGGCATGTCCAACTGTGTTATAGATAGTGTAGCTTTATTGTGAGTGATGTAATAGGGACAAGCTGGAATATGTAATAACTGCTGCATGATCTATAGATGGTGACAGTCACATCCAAAGGTTCCAACAAATCTGGACACCTGCAACATTCTCAGCCTGTCCTTTGTCTTTACAGATGTAGAAATCACTGAAAGCCCTGAAGCCTATATTAAACTTACAGAAAATATTCTGAGAAAGTCCACTGGTAGGCTGAGTGCCGAGATAAAGAAACTTTATGTATAACTTTCACATTTAGTTTGAACATCATGTCACAGCTTTAAATCTTGTCATTTTATCTAACCTATTTTCTATGTTACACACCTGCCCCATTCTGCATGTATAACAGTGAATATTAACCTAACCTTTATATTTAACATCAAATGAGCAAAGCTAATACAGTGTTAACCAGTTGTAGATTCTTAACCTATAATATTATGCAGTATCAAAAATATCACTGAAAAAGCATTGCATCCCCTGGGAACATGTTCCGGACTGGTGCACATAACTGGGGTTAATTTACCAAAAGGCAAATAGACTGTACACGTTGAAAGTGCAGTTACTCCAGAGCTTAGTAAATGAGGGGAAGCTCTGCTAACTTCCATTATCCAATCTTGTGCAAGCAAAAATGCAGTTTTTTAATTACTTTTCCTTGCATGTGATTGGGTATTCTTTGTAAAAGCAAAGCTGTACCTCATTTACTAAGATCTGGGGTAATTTCACTTGCAGAGTTCAACTGCACTTGCAAAGTGCACAGTCTGTTTGCCCCACAACATAGTGAGGTAAATCAACCCCACTATGTTGTGTTAATGTGTGCCTCACTAAAAGAGTACATGGTTTGTTTCTGTAGCCCTATAAAGGTACTAGCATACATGCTTTGTACTTTTGTACATATATCTGAACTTAAAGGTGACTGCTGTTATCCATAAAGTTCACTGAAAGGCTTGTTTTATTCCTAAAATACACCTTTGTTAATAAAATAATTTACATATTGATTGACCTGATAAGGCCACCCAAAAACTTAAGATGATGGTCAATGAACCCTGTAATTCATATTTCACATTTCCAGCACCTGCTTAATACTCAACTTAGTAAACATACTGACGTGTATGCAAGATAAGCCTATAAGAAAGACTTAAAAAAAATATGTGTTACAACACTGCATTTGTTATATATTTATTACTTGGATTTTTATTTTTGCCCACAATGGCTTAGTGGTAATCCACAATTTAAAAAAACCTTTGCGTTGAAAATCAGTATGAGGTTGCATGAAATTAAAGGAGCTAAACCCAAAAACAAATATGTATTAGGATACATGTACACTAAGCTCCCTTGGACACCAAGCTCTTGTGGCAGCTGAAAAATGCTAAACATAGCAAAAAACACATGTAAACACGGTACTGCGTTTTAGCCGTGTTTACCTCCATTTAGCTGCATTTAGCTCTTTGACGTTTATTCATTTTATTAGCCAGAGTACTTGCCATTGAAATGAATGAACACCCAAGTGCTAACCTTGGCTAGCTTGGGAAGATATACGCACATTTTGCATTTTTTGGCCAAAACATTCCCCTCCTGAATGCGATTCTTCTGCGTTCAGGATAGAGAAGTTTAACTGCCCCTATTGAGCTGAGTTTAGGGGCTTTGGCAAAAGAATGCCAAACGCTCCTAAACTGAAGTTTAGGAGCAGCAGTGTTTTTATACCGCAACCTGCCAGTACTTGGATGTAATGGTGGCAGTAGTTTTCTTTTTTTTTTTTTTACCAGAACAGTTTTATCAAGCATAGAAAAACACCTTTTGATGCTGGCAGAAATCCAGTGTTTTATAAATTTCTGTGCATGACACAGAAAAATCTTATCATTTGTGAGCTACAAAACAACTTCCCCCTGTGTAATGAAATAGGGGAGGTATTTGTAATCCAAATTAGGAGAGCAGCCTAGGGTGACAACTCTGCTCCTCCACCCTAGGACAGGAAGTGTGCTAATGGCAGATTCACCTGGTGATAATAAAGATGGCCATACATGGATTGAAATTTGGCTGGTTCAGCAGCAATCGCCTGAATTTTGATCCATGTATGGGCAAGCTTGTTGTACAGAAGTCAATCTATAGATTGACTTCTGCACAACCAGCCTGTTGGTTTTTCCCGAACGATCAGTGCCGCCAGCTATAGCTGACAACACTGATCTCACATCGAGTGTGGGGGGATGAGGAAATTGGGAAATGTTTTTTGTTCAAACCACTGGTTGAACAAGAAAATCATTAATGCATGGCCAGCTTAAAGGAAAAAAAAATTTAAAATGAATAAAGATGTAGCCACCTAATGTAAGGAATGGTAAGCTGCAATGTATTAAATTTTTGTTCTTGAATTTAGATGCGCTTTGTAAACAGCAAAAATGAGTCAGCTCTGACTCGCCAAAATTCTAAGAATCCTTTATTAAAAGAGATACAACTTAAATTGAATGTGAATAACTACTAATAATCAAATTTACTTTATATACAAAACAAGTTAAAGACATTGGTAAAAAAATATCTGACAAATATTTCAAACAATATTAACCACTTACCCTCTGGAAGATTACCCCCCTTCATGTCGGCACTGCACTATTTTAACTAACAATTGCACAGTCATGCAACAATGTACACAAATAAAATGTATACAATTTTTCCCCACAAATAGAGCTTTCTTCTGGTGGTATTTGATCACCACTGGGTTTTTTTTTTTGTTGTTTTTTTTGTGCTATCAAAAAAAAAAACCCAATATTTTTTAATTTTAAATAAAACTTATCCAATTAAAAATTAAAAAAATAAAATATCTTCATAAATTTAGGCTAAAATGTATTCTGCTACATATCTTTGGTAAACAAAAATCCCAATAAGCAATAAGTGTATATTAATTGGTTTTCGCAAAAATTATAGCATCTACAAACAACGGTATAGATACTGGAATTATTTTTTTATAGTAGTAATGACGGCGATCAGTGACTTATAGCAGGACTGTGATAGTCTGACAGGCATTCTGACAATAACTGACACTGGGTGGGAACTGACTAACTGCCACTAACATCTTAAGTGACACTAATACAGTGAACAGTGCTAATAAAAAAGCACTGTTACTGTACTAATGACACTGGGCAGGAAGGAGTTAACATCTGGGGCGATCAAAGGGTTAACTGTGTGCTAGGGAGTGTTATTCTTGTGAACTGTGCGCTGTTTCACTAGGAGATGTGCTGGTTTTTATTCCCTGCTTTGCAGGTAGATGAAAACCAGCACATCCCCACTGACAGGAGAGATGTTGTTTACATACACATATCTCTCTCCTGTCACTAGTGATCGTTGGGTCCCGGCCATGAATCACTGGCCAGGACCCTGTGATTGACATGTAAAGGAGCCAATGACAGTGTGGATTCTCCTACCCTATATATATGTGATTCAGCACAGAGCAGCTGCCCTGTAGCAGTAAAGCTACGTGGACCGGTCAGAAAGTAGCTTTTAATGCTACCCACAGGAAACGCTAAAAGGAAATATGTGAGTCATCAATAAATACATTTAAATTATGAACACCAAGGGTTTATTTTAATGCACTAAAGATAAAAATGGAGGTGCGTTAATAGCAACCAGCACAATGCTTTTAAAAGAAAAATTATAGCCATGGGTATCATCTTTACCTGTTACCAATTGATCTGACAAAAGTCACCATAGTTCACCCCTCATACTGATCTCTAACTTTATCCATCAGAGATATGAATCTTCTGAATGGCTTTTACGAGCAGTCCTGCATCTGTTCTTAGAACAAATATGACTTCCCCTACAAATTGCAATGTTCATATTGGCTTTCTTCTATTGCCTCTCTTTACTGAACAATAAGATAAAAAGCACAAACCAATCAAACTGCACTTTAAACATGCTAAGCATGTAATGTTGGAAGTGGTACATGATAATGCTATTTTTGAGCAATCTATAGATATGTAGTCCCAATTCACATACAATGAACTTATTTGAGCTTCTCTCAGTAATAAGAAAGGGTTAGAGTCCCTGTTCTTTTTCATTCTTTAATAGTGCTGTTTATTAATTAATTTTTATAAAGTACATACATTACTTGCCTGGCTATCTAAGTTACTTACTGACACACCCAATAGTTAGTACTACTGCTATTCTCTGCATGCTTACTATACTAGTTATTCTAAATGCTTATCCCATGCTTATCACAAATTTTGAGAACACACAACTCATGATTATTGTTTTTTCATTCTGTATCAGGAGAGTCTGGTTTGTTAGAATCACAGATCCGTCAGCTAGACAAAGCACTGGATACAAGCCGTTTCCATTTACAGCAGACAGAGAATGTCATTCGCAGCAGAACCCCCACTGGACCTGAACTAGATTCAAGTTACACAGGATATGTAAGTATTGACAATGGGGAATCCAACTATTTATTCTATATGGATGCCTCTGAAATGTCAGAGCTGTCTCTGCATTGTTAATGACTTCCATGTCAACCAAGGAAAAAAATTCTGTTCCAGAGCCAATGTTTTTAAAGTGACCCTGTCACCAGCTGGAGAATGTTAGAACAGAATCACCCTGTAAGAAAAGTAGAGGAATACTAACCTTTCCACGGGGCAGCAAGGGAAATCTTTGCTCTCTTCGTGAGCTTCGGCAGATGCTGCTTTGCATCTGTGTCCTATAGTGACATTGCACTAAGTTTTTTTAAAAAAAGCACAGTGCGCAACCAGTGATGCATTATATAACATACCCAGAAGTATTGCACAGCAGCACCAGCCAGAGGTAAAGAAGAAAGCGAAGATTTTCTTTGCTATGTTTTGGAAACCTTTTACAGGTTTATTCTGCTCTTATGTCTTTCATTGAATGACAGGGACACTTTAGGTTATGGCTATAGATTTAGACAGGTTATGCCTAGTACACACGATGAGAAAATCAGACAAAAAAATCATCCCATAATGTGATCGTTAGTACACAGCTGATTATCTTATAATGTGCACGAGCAGTAATAAAGGCCCATTACTTTGAGGGGAACATTTGCAAAATCAGATCAGAGATTCCCTACTCCTGTTGCCCTTCAAGTAGTCTGATTGGTCATTATGGACACCTGCTCATCTTTTGTTACCTCTATGTGTAATTCATCTCCTTAAAGTTCTTGGGCAGAATATACATTATGTAGCCAAAGGTTTGTGGTCACCTGACAATGACAGCTATATGAGAAGACCTGGATCACAGCTGGCATTCCATTTCATCCCAGAGTTGTTCAGTAGGGTTGAGGTAAGTGGTCTCTGCAATGCGGTTCTTCCATGCCAAACTGATCACATTGTTATGTCTTTATGGACCTGGTTTTGTGCAATACAACTCCATTTTTATAGTTTTATTTAGAGGGGTGAACTGTAATGTCACTTAAAAAAACAGGAAATTGTTTCATATATATATATATATATATAGAAGAATGCACAACAGTTCCCAGCATGTATAATGTTAGTCACCTACCAGAGCCAGGACACGCTCTTCTGGGTCACATGCTCTGACTGAGTAAAGGTCAAGTTAGACAGTCCCTTCCTAACAAGTGGTTGGAGTGCTCGCTAGTACAGTGTGATCTCACAAAGCATCCAAATCACAGGCCTCCAGGGAGAAGGTTTTCTGTCTCTTTACTTCTCTGAATTCTTACCTAATTGGGGTTAACTATGGCAAGGATCAATAAATCCAGCAGCAGCAGTTCAGTTTCTTTGCTGCACACGTGTTTGCTCCAAGCCAGTTCCCATCTCTTCTCACCAGCCTGCGGACACACTTACACCTGGTTCTGTTGCATCTTATAATCACTGTCTTCCAGTCATTCCAGACCCAGCCAAGATGGCTGCCCTGTGCATTGGAGACACTCCATAGATGAGCATTACAAAGTGATCACCTTAAAATTGGCTGATGCACTTCTGTGTTAATGAATATTCAGTTTAACCCTGTCCACACTGCAGAAAGATAATACAGCAGAAACAAAGAAAGACATCTTACAGCAGTTATCAGCTACAGTCCAGGTAGCATAAACATTTTTCTTACCTCCCTGTAGATGGGTGTTGGGTAGAATTCATTTTAAACAGTTAACCTGTTGCTCTACAACACTTTTAGATTAACAAACACTGCAATAATGCTTTTAGTTTTTGGTAAATGTTTAAGAGATAAACATCTGAAAGTTCCTTATATCACTAAGCAACTCAGGAATATATCTGTTCTTGCATTCCTGGATCTGCACATTTGCAGTGGTGATTTTGAGGTATTCTCGCTGCCTTTGTGATTAACTTTATAGCTTTTAGAACACAACAGGAGAAACTGGAACACACCAAGATGGGTTTGAGCACTGAAATCTCTCAGGCGAACAGGAACAGAGTTGGGAACTATGAGAAGCAAAACTTACTGTTGGCGTATCCAAGAAATATAAGAAGCCTGGGACTGAGAAAGCCCATCATTCTCTACCTACAACTGAAATGTTACTTTTTGATGTAGACTTAACAGTTTATTGATTCTTTATCACATTTTGTATGTCTTTTCCAGCCACTTCGCAAAGTTATAACAAAAATGGCAAGGGACCCCCAAAAGCATATTGCTTCCACTAGATAATTCAGTTTAATATTATATGTTGTTCTTCTTCAGATGAGGCTTCTTGGAGAGTGTCGGGGTAGTATAGACACTGTGAGGAGAGTAAGTGAGAAATTAAAAGAGGAAGAAGAGAAACTCTCAGGTTTCATTAACCTAAACAGCACAGAGACACAGTCTGCTGGTGAGTAATATATAAGGGTTTACATTTACCTGTTAAAACTCAAAACTGTATATGACATATATACGTATAATTATTCTGAAGTAAGCAGTAATTTTTATTACATTTTTAATGATTGTGCAATAAGAGACAACGGAATAGTCAAACATATGAAGACTTAGTGGTCCATTTATAAACAATTTGATGGTCAATTCACCTGACATTTATCCAAAATGTATTTAACATTCTTTGTGCAACATTCACCTTATGTTTAAAGCAATATTAGTGTATATTCACTTAACATTCACCCAGCGAAAATTGCTTTCCTGATATTTGGCAACATATATTGTTCAAAAGGAGAAAGCCTTTATAAAAGGGAGATTGTTACCTTTCTTGTATATTGACATTCTCTCCTTCTGTAAATAAAATAAAATATGGAATCAGTTTATTTTTTACTGAAATGCAATTGTGGATAGAAAGTGCTGAACCGGTGAGTCCTCATTCACATGGGCATACTGATCCATATGCCTGTGTGAAAGGTCGTCTCCAGCCACCTGGGTTGTACAGGTGTCTTGTGCAGGGGTATGCAGGCAACCTCTTCAAATCAATGACAGGCAGCTGGCTGCACATTTCAAGTACTTCTATAGCATTGTCAATTTACGCAGTGCTTTACATATATATATATTTCACATTCACATCACATGCACATACCAGCAGAGATCTCCATGCTCATCCCAGAGTTTACCAAGTCTGCCTCTGAAAGACAAGGTGCACTGAGTCCTTAAATATTTTCAGGTTTTCAATAGGAACTTCAGTTTTACTTAATTGATGTCTTGATATCATTGCTGTCCCAGGTGTTATCGAGCGATGGGAATTAATTCATGCACAGGCCTTAAACAAAGAACTCCGAATGAAACAGAAACTACAGCAGTGGCAGCAGTTTATGTCAGATCTGAACAACATCATGGATTGGTTGGGAGAAACAGAGGAGGAGCTGGAGCAGCTTCGCCAGCTTGATGTCAGCACAGATATCCAAACTATAGAACAAAGAATCAAAAAGCTAAAAGTAAGTTAATTCCACTACTACGTTAAGATGTGCATGCATGGATGAGAAAAAAACAGTAATTGTAGCAAACCCCTGAAGGGGCTGCTGAGAATATGCCCAGGTTCTCCCAAATAATACAGAGTCTGCAAGTCACACAAGCACAGTCCCATGCACACCAATAATTAAGGCTCAGTCTAGGGAATGTCTTTTTAGTATTTACTGCCGAAGAGCTTACTCCAAAACGATTAGTAACAATGGTAGGAGGACAATGTTTTCTTTCTGTTTCAACTTTTTATTAAGTTTGAAATAACAATAGAACAGTACAGGAGTACCAAAGTATGTATCAAATTGAAATGTCTACATACACAAGATTTATACATAGGTGACCATAAGAAAATTGCACAAAAAATGAGGGACCTGAGGGAAAACAGGGAGAGGAGATAGTAACACTATAGTCGGTTCAAATGCAACATCCTCATATCCCCCTAGGGGGTGGAGCACCCATGTATTCTAGACTATAAGGGTCCAAAAGGTGGACCAATATTGCACCAAAATAATTAAAGCAGGAAATGCAAAGGAGGGGGGGAAGAGGAATGAAAAGTAGAAGAGGAGAGAGAAAGAGGGAGAGGAGAGTAAAAGAGGAAGTATACACCCATCCCAGAAATCCGCCACACCTCCAATCCGATGAAGACCTGAAGTGTCCAGTACCAGCAGGTAGGATAACCAGGGGTGCCATATTTTGTCAAACAGGGGTTGTTTATCCTGCAGAACACTGACTAGTTTTTTGTGTAGCATGATCCAGGTTAGGCTCTGTTTCATTAAGGCCAAATCAATCACAGGGCTTTTTCAAGCAGTAGCAATACCTATCTTGGCAGTCAGTAACATAAAGTGTATCAAAGTCTGTGTAGATCTCAGGACATTGTCTACAGGTTCATTGAGTAACGCGGTCCGAAACTTTCCTTTCTAATCTCCCAAAGCAGCTTTTCTGGAGGTAGCAGGGAATGGCCAGTATATAGGTCCCTACAGCAGTCACTTCTAGCGCCCCAGTCCCCAACAAGTTCTTTAATCAGAGTGTCTCAGGAACTAGCCGCCACTCAGCATCCACACGTAGATCCTTCGTGGGGGAGATAACACGTTCCTTCTGCAGACCCAGGACTGCAGTGCAGTTCTCTCCAGGAAATGTGATCATCAGGCAATCTTTCCCAGGCTCTCAGCCCTACTAATGCCTAGACTGCAGCTTCTGAACTCTCTGGTTATCTTCCAGGGGCAACAGCCCCCCAGGAGAACTGGAACTCTCCCTTGAGGGAAAGAAAAATTTTGTCCAGGCCTCCTGAACATTTATCGCCTTCCTAACCACCTTTTGGATACCTGTTTCTAGGGATTGGTTGGGGCATGGTAAATAGTCAACTGATCATTAGAATCTCCCATCTTCATGCTCTGGAAACTTCTTTCAGAGTCCAGGGGAAGTAATCAAAAGCTTAGGAAACCCCGAACAGACCAACACAATCAATCACTGCTCCACTAACTACAGTGGAGCCAATAAAATGAATTTACATAGCAGCCTAACTAGAGGAGGCCACTGCATTGCGAAAAAGGTTGTGTAGCTAAACAAGTTTACTAAAATGCACTGGTTTCATTTAACTATTCACTATTGTTTGTTTTTGGTAAATGGATGTGCTAATTAGGAGAAGGTGTGTTCCATCTTTGTCCATAAAAGACCTCAATTTTGCTTGAGACGTGACTGATCCAAGCACTGTTATCAACAATACAGTATATTCAGAAATGTTCACAGCATTTATTGTGTAGCGCTCACCCCCAAAGGAGCTACTGGAATTAATGGGCACTTCTGTCCTTACTTCAGTGATGAACCGTATATATTGGATCCACAACACACCAGTACACCTTGTGGGAAATTTAATAAAAGGTTTAATAAGACAGGTAAAACTCTGCAAATAGACTGCAAATTAACTTGGAAAATAGCAGTTAAATGCACTGAATACACAAACCTTTTAGAATTGGCACAATAACATCATAAACACAATATTAATGTATATACGTTGTGAGGGATTAGCTCAGTAGCGGGTTGTGCTTGACCCCCTGGATGAGTCAGAGCAAGGTGAAAGAGGCTCAGCACGACAGCAGGATCTTGGTGAAGAAAGCTGTGCTTTATTTGCAAGTCTGGTGAACACAAGGTGCATATAATCAAAACAGCAAAAAAATAAAAAAAAACTGAAAATAAAGCCTTGCCACTCTGGGCATCTAACTACAAACACAGGTTCCTATTTACCTGTCTGGAGACAGCCTATCGCTGCACAGACACAGGGTGGTCACACAGAGTGTCTCCCAGTCCAAGATCACACAGATTTACTCTCACCGCAATATTGTTTGGTTGCTCCCCAGTCTGTCCTGCACAGCAAACTGGTTCCAGGTTGGAGCATTCTCTCTAAGCAGCCTGGGAGTTTTATAGAGCCCAAAGCCCTTAACTTACTACAGCTGAGCTCATGAAATCATCATTGAGCCAAACAGGCTCACTACACAGCACAAAAGGAGAAACAGTCGGTGTAGAGCATGAACCTGGGACAAATATACCTCCCATTCTGGACACATCCTTAGTTCTCCCTGCCTTCCTGTCACAACATATATACTGATATAGCTATAGATCAGTATTAACCCCCTGCAACTACAGCAGCAATATGTCCCCAGCTAAACTGACGTCTCTTTAGGCTCAGTTCCAAATTCACTTGCATGCTGTAGGATTGTAACACTGTGTGAGTCTATGTGTTGCACAGGTCTGTGTTAGTGAATTAGTGGAGCACTCTTAAGCACTGACATGCCACTTGTTAGCAGTTGCTCACCACATCCAAGAAGAAAAGTCTCCAGGGGTTAACTCCTTGAAGGGATGATGAATGGGGCTCTGTCTCTCTCTGACTAGTGTTTCTTGTTGTCAGGTGCCTCACCTGGGATGGTCACAGGCCTCCTCTGCGATTTCCAACACTCTGACCTCTCTCTGTGGTGGGAGATGTCGTTGCTGTCGGTAACTGCCGTTGCTGGTGACTGGTACCCATGATCACAGTTGCCACTGACTTCAGCTGCTGTAGATAACCGTTGTCCTTAGCATCTGCTGCCAATCTGGAAACAGTGTCAATGTACTTCAACAGTAGGAGCTGCAGACTAGCTCCCACATGTCCTCTGCAAAAGCACACAGGGCTTTCCTCCCCCCTCCTCCTTGCAAAGCATCTTGGTCCTGTAGTCCTGTGCAGTATAAAGTTACATTGTCTGCCTCTGTGATGAAACTGCAACTCCCACAAACACTCCAGTACTGCTGAGAGCTGAGCCAATCAAACCCTTTCTGACAACATGCAGTTTTAAAAGGGAAACAGCAATGGCCCGCTACAATTGTATATATATAAAAGAATCACCCCCTTTAAAATAATCACATTTTGTTGCTTTGCATCCTGAAATGAAGACAGACTGTATTTACTCGGTGCAACTTATAATATCAAAGTGAAAGATAAAATGCCAACATAAGTCAGAAAAAAAAACAGAATCACTGAGTTGGAAAAAGGATTACCCCCTTGTGTCAGTATTTTGTTGAATCACCTTTTGCTTTTTTACAGCCTTTAGTCTGTTGGGATATGTCTCTACTAACTTTGCACATCTAGACTTTGTAATATTTGCCCACTCTTCTTTGCAGAACTACTCAAGTTCAGTTACATTTGATGGTAATCATTTGTGGACCGCAGTCTTCAAGTCATTCCACAGATTTTCAATGGGCTTCAAGTCTGGGCTCTGACTAAGTGTCTGTCTTCATTTCAGGCTGCAAAGCAACAAAATGTGATTGTTTTAAAAGCAGCGGTTCTCAACCTGGGGGTCGCGACCCCTTTGGGGGTCGAACGACCATTTCCCAGGGGTCGCCTAAGACCATCGGAAAACACATATTTCCGATGGTCTTAGGAACCGAGACACCGCTGCAGTCTCCGGCGATGTGTGGGCGGGATGATACGCTGCTGTCACCTGGCCACACCTCCGGGATCGCTCAGCAGCTCCGCCTCCTCGCCGCTGATTGGCCACCGGAACTGTAGCTCAGGAGAGGCACACAGGCGGCCAATCACCGGCGAGGAGGTGGAGCTTGGAGAGGAGGAGCCGAGCGGCAGCGCGCGTACATCCAAGAAGACCGAGGGAGCTGCCGGAGCGAGTGAAGAGGAGAGAGGCCAGAGAAGGAAGACAGCTGACAGGTAAGTGAGAGAGAGAGCGAGCCCAGGCTGGAGCAGGGGTCAGCAAAGTAAGTATCATTGGTGTCAGTGGGAGGAATAGTGCCCCATCATTTGTAATACCAACGATGGGGCACTATTCCTCCCCCCACTGACACCAACGATGGGGCACTATTCCTCCCCCCACTGACACCAACGATGGGGCACTATTCCTCCCCCCACTGACACCAACGATGGGGCACTATTCCTCCCCCCACTGACACCAACGATGGGGCACTATTCCTCCCCCCACTGACACCAACGATGTGGCACTATTCCTCCCCCCACTGACACCAACGATGGGACACTATTCCTCCCCCCACTGACACCAACGATGGGGCAGTATTCCTCCCCCCACTGACACCAACGATGGGGCAGTATTCCTCCCCCCACTGACACCAACGATGGGGCAGTATTCCTCCCCCCACTGACACCAACGATGGGGCAGTATTCCTCCCCCCACTGACACCAACGATGGGGCAGTATTCCTCCCCCCACTGACACCAACGATGGGGCACTATTCCTCCCCCCACTGACACCAACGATGGGGCAGTATTCCTCCCCCCACTGACACCAACGATGGGGCAGTATTCCTCCCCCCACTGACACCAACGATGGGGCAGTATTCCTCCCCCCCCCACTGACACCAACGATGGGGCAGTATTCCTCCCCCCACTGACACCAACGATGGGGCACTATTCCTCCCCCCACTGACACCAACGATGGGGCACTATTCCTCCCCCCACTGACACCAACGATGGGGCACTATTTCCCCCCCCT